AGAGAAATCAACTTAGTTAATGTGGATCATAGAGAAATCAACTTAGTTAATGTGGATCATACAGAGAAATCAACTTAGTTAATGTGGATCATACAGAGAAATCAACACAGTTTGTGTAGTAATATGACGTAATCAACACAGTTTGTAGATCATACTGAGAAATCAACACAGTTTGTAGATCAAACTGAGAAATCAACACAGTTTGTAGATCATACTGAGAAATCAACACAGTTTGTAGATCAAATCAAGACTTATAATGACTTGTAATGGTTGTGTATTTGAAAACAACATAACATTGTGTTTATCCTACGAAAGAGTTGTCTCCAGTATAATATGTTGACTTATGAAACTAATACTGTTATCAGGAGTATTTAAGGCAGCACTATTTCAAGAAAACTTACTTGAAAATCTATACATTGTCTCCAAAGGAATATATTTAAGCATTATTCAGTTTTTGAAGATTGACAATACAAATTGTCAACTAAACAAATAATTTTACAGCATTTAGTGTGTACAGAAATAGGCTTTCAAAACTAACAGAATCCCAAAACCGAAATCTTTGATTAATTTATAATTTCAATACTATAAAAAAAAAAAAAAAGAGTTGAGTAAATTTTATAATTTTATAATCAAGTCAAAATATCAATAAGTGCATGTACATAACAAAAGACACTTTTTCATAACATTATATATTTAGTCAATTAAATTGCTTACTAAGACAGTATAGAGTAAAACCTCAATATAACCCCCACCCCCATTTCACTTGGCTGAAACTCACTTACTGCAAATGTATCTAAAGTCTGATTATTTTCTATCTTTCTTTCACTTCATTACCAAACTCCTTTACAATGCCAAACTTTCACTCCAGAAAATGGTGACGGTATAAAGAGGTTTTACTGTACTTACTTTTAAGATGATATCTGGACATTTAACAATGAATGACAATGTAGCCGTAATGCTATCGTGACACCACTTGACAATTTTTACGTAAGTCTTCTAGTAATCTTTGAAGTCTACATTTGATTTTCTTTTGATCATCAATTGTACAGCCTAAGATGGAACCCTGAAACCGCTGGTCAATACAGCCAGTGGGTTCTGCGAGACAAGCATTCAAATAAGCTTTAGTTTTTCCGATCGCTTTCTCTACAGAACATTCACATAACCCTTCAAGCTGCTGCAACAACTCATTGACACACTTCAGCGCATTCTCCTGGGACTCATTTCTGGGTGTAGTCACAGAAATCTCAATGGTTAGACATCGACAGACCAGTCGCTCAGCCAGGGCTTCAATTTCATCTCGCTCACCTGGGGGGGAAAAATATAGAAAAATATAATGAAACATTTCACAACAAGACGTTTGTCTTACAAAAATTTCAATGCCAAATTATCCAGGAGGTCTAAAAGAGCAAAGATCACTGAGGGTACTGGTTTGGATGTCCACCGTTCCGAAAGTTGCAGGAGTGTCTAGAATTTCTACAATATCTCCAGAATTTTCCCAATACGGGTTAATTTTCTGAATTTTGTTGATAATTTGATCACAGGGGTGACTTGATACACAGGACTGTACCATCACCTTTGTATAGTCTAGCAGTGTAACAGAGTGTGGGAAGGCCTACCTAGAGATATTTAGACTTAACTATGTACTATCAGACAAGGAACGCTCCCACAAGATTGTATATTATCCTGTATACCTGTGATGTTACCCAATTTTATATGTTTTGATTGTTTTCTTAATAACACAAAAGAGTACTCCTCAGGCACAGCAAAGATCTTAAAGAACATTTTAACATAACATATAAATAATCTTAGGGAATTTTTTATTTATAGCTTTGTTGATTTGTGAAAAATTTAGTATTTTCATATATTTATATGTAACAGGAAAAAGAGAAAATGTGACGGCCAGACCGGGGTTCGAACCCGGGACCCTCCAAACTCTAAACGGACGCTCTACCAATTGAACTATCTGGTTGCCGACGATCGACCCAGTCCAGTTCCACTATATATCCAAGTAAAGTTGGCTGTAGAATTTTGCAAAAACAGAGAATCTGCTTAGTTTATTTTTTAAATGTTGGCCATGTTTAGGTCAATGCAAGCTTAATATATACTCTGATGTACTTATTGTTATTGTAAGTAACCTAACCAGGAAGTGCCTGTATAGATAGCTTTCTTTCTCCACATCAGTACCTACCATTCACAGTCAGTCACAATCTGGTGACGGTGGCCTGGGCTAACAATCGTTTGTTGAATGTAACAGGAGAAAGAGAAATGCAACGGCCAGATCGGGGTTCAAACCTGGGACCCTCCAAAATCTAGACAAACGCTCTACCAATTGAGCTACCTGGTTGCCGACAATCGACCCAGTTCAGTTCCGCTACATTTCTCCCTTTTTTTGTTTAAGTCTTCACCACCGAAGATACAACTATTTACAACCCAGATTCGGATATCCCCTAGCTAAGCATTCACCCAGTGCTTGAGACAAGGGGGGCAAGCTCACCAGTTTGGTAAAAGGGGGAAAAAAGAGGAATGCATTGGCCAGATTGGGGTTCGAACACTATTCTCAATTGAGTTACCTAACACATAATGATATGTTATATTATTTAAAAACCTACTATCATTAAAGACAGTTTCTGTTCCTATGCAAGTAGGGGACCTTGCCCTGATGTAGCGGCTGATGTTATATTTGTGCAAAAGATGTGCATTGATTAGGGTGCCTTATAAGCGTCAGCCACAAAGGTTCGTTACAAACGTCTGAAATACACATATGCTATACTGATGTGAACTAAAACACCTATTTCATATTTTCTAAATAACGAAAGTCTTAAATAGGCATACCTTCTGAGAATTCAATATGTTTGTCGTTATCCTGCATTCGCTGTAACTCCTGTAGCAAAAGACATTTTTCTTGTTCTATATCAAGTGCACGTTCCCGAAGGTTCTCAACTCTACTTTCAATTGAATATAAGTGGCCTATAAATGTTTTTCGGTCGTCTTCCCCCTCTGGCAGAATTGCTATATCTTTGCATTTTGCATCCTCTTTTATAGACGAAGACTCTTCTAAATTTGGGGCTTCCTCTATGTTCGTCATGTTGTTTTCATTCACGACCGTAGTATTCCGCCATATAGGAAGTGATTTCTACCTCCATAAGCAAAGAGCTACACAGTTCGTCTATATCACCTGGAGCTTTGAAATAAGTCAAATTTTAAAGACATATTCAAACATTCGAGTGACTTTGACATTGATGCTCCTGAAGGTTATCGACTGAAGTAAGTTAGCTCTTCTTCTTCTTCTTCTAATATTCTGCAATACCTTCTCTGGAGTATTTTATGTTTTTTCTTGCAGTTATTTCATTATTTAACTCTCTTCCTTCGAACATAATCTCTTCTCAAACTCTGAGTGCTCAATGTAAACCAGCTGTAAACAGCACCCCTTGTTTTTAGCTAGTTTCTTTTTCTATTTATTTATATATCTCCGAAACCTTATCAACTGATAGACCTATAAGTTGGTATGATGATTTGTTAATTGTTAAAGAGTTTCACAACTTCCTAAGTTCCTATTGTGCAGGGAGTGCATGTATCATGTATGGCTATAGGTGTTTACAATATGGTTGTACACTGGTACAGGAACATGTGCCAAGACTGACCTACTTAGTTCCCTGTCTCCCTGTTGAGAATGGGGCCATGGACAAGTCCTCTATATCTCCATATGCCTAGAATATGGGATTATTCAGATGCATCTTGAGTAGGTCCGAGGTGGTTGACTGAATTTCCTGTATGAGTTTTGTTTTAAAGTGTGATTGTTCTTCATATATATTATATTACATGTATGTGTTTGTCCAAAGTGTGTTCAATATTCAAGTTCATCCTATATACATTTGTATATAGCTAGTGCTTGAATATTGAACAAACTTGGAAAAAAACAACCCGGTAGAGTTGTGCTGTTGGTCCTACATTTGGTTTGTCCATGTATAACTCTATGCGGTGGAGTTGTGTTGATGGTCCTACATTTGGTTTGTCCCTGTATAACTCGACCCGTTGGAGTTGTGTTGATGGTCCTACATTTGGTTTGTCCCTGTACAACTTTACCCGGTGGAGTTGTGCTGATTGTCCTACATTTGGTTTGTCCTTGTATAACTCTTCCCGTTGGAGTTGTGTTGATGGGCCTACCTTTGGTTTGTCCCTGTATAACTCAACCCGTTAAGAGTTGTGTGGATGGTACAACATTTGGTTTGTCCCTGTACAACTCTACCTGTTAGAGTTGTGCTGATGGTCCTACTTGTTGTTTCGCCGACTGTACAAGTCTATCTTGTGGCGTTTTGTGTTTGTGATTGTACATGAGTGCATTCTAAGAAATAAGTAAGAAAATTCCTATTGAATTTTAATACTAACATGTATGCACATCAAATATAATCAAATTATAATATAATTAATTGCAGTCTAACAATATTGAAAATTATCTGTAAAACAGTTGTATTGTGGGACAATGTAGTAAATCTATAAACCCAACATGTTTTTTGTCATTGTAGAAATAATGGATACAAGACTGCCAATCATTTATCAAGCAAAAATAACAAGATATGCAGGAGAGTTGATTCCACCGCATGGTTCAGGTGCATCCAATAAGTGCCGGGGTCTGGAGCAAGAGTACTACACCTGTATTAGTAACTATGGCTTTGATGTCGGAAAAGACAAATGTGCTGCAGAGAAGATGAACTATCAAGAGTGCAGAGTTCAAATTAAAGCGGTGTGTCTTTTTTGTTTTAAGTTCACAATCCAATGGATTAAAACATGAGCATTATAGACCATTAACCCTTTCACCCCTATGTAACTTTAGTAGACTCTACCATGCATTGACCTTTAGTAGACTCTACCATGCATTGACCTTAATAATAATAATATACAACATTTATATAGCGCCCTATATAATTTGTAAAATTACTCTAAAGCACTTTAATTTTACAACATATGGATAATAGTAATGGTTATAATTGTGAAAACAAAAAACAAAGGCTTACAATCACTTTTCTACTTTCAGTAGACTCTACCATGCATTAACCTTTAGTAGACTCTACCATACATTGACCTTTGATATACTCTACCATGCATTGACCTTTAATAGACTCTATCATGCATTGACCTTTAGTAGACTATATCATGCATTGTTCTTCAGTAGACATTACCATGCATTGACCTTTAGTAGACTCTACCATGTATTGACCTTCAATAGACTACCATGCATTGACCTGCAGTAGACTCTACCATACATTGACCTGCAGTAGACTCTACCATGCATTGACCTGCAGTAGACTCTACCATGCATTGCTCTTTTACCTTTTTCGTTCGTTTGATGTTTTTCCTTTAACATGTTTTGTCTACTTTTATTGGCCCTAATAACCTCTTATATATATATATATATGTGTTGATGGGCCTTTAAGAATATAATAATAATGATATTAATAACCATGCATTGATATGGATGAGGCCATTATGGTCTACAGTGGTGAAAGGGTTAAGTATGACAGTCCTTATGTACATCAATCAGTAATCATATGAAAGTTCACCATATCATATTCATGTAGGATAGTCCATTCTAAATAATCTATTACAGATGAGGAATCATACTATAAGAATAAAGTAAAAGGCCATGGAAAGCATTTCGTATATTGTTGGGTGCTCAAATTTGGTTTAAATTCTGTGATGCTATTCTACTCTGTGAACAGGACTAGTACTGTCAAAATCGTCCCAAGTCTGTGGTTAATGGTCCATGTCACTGTGCTTGACAAGTCTATCTCAATTTTCATCTGCATGTTTCCCTTTATCCTTCATTGTACATGTTAAATTATGAGACTGATTGGAACAACAAGATTGCCGCCTGGCAGCCTTCTGTGATTTTGACAGCTCAAGTTCTTTTATTGCTGTTTCTCAATGGAAGAAATCCAGGACAGATCTTGGTCAAATTTTTGTATGAAGGTTCCACTTGATCCCAAGTTGTGCATGTGTCATTTCAGGACAGATCAAAATATTAAGATGGCTAGGTAGCCATATCTTAAATTTGACAGATGAAGTTATTGGTTTTTCTAAGCACCTAGTGCTCAGCAGATCTTTCTCAAACTTTTAACTTCTGTGTGTTATCTAGTTGCATGTTTTGTTTTGAGCTTCAAATAATCTGATCAGTAGAAAAATATGACTGCCAGAACATAAAAAAACCTGTCTTGTCCTGTTTAAAGCCCCTACCTATTGAGGGGAGTATATAGTCATTACTCTGTGCATCAGTATATAAATATACGTATGTATCGATGTGTGTGCTCGGCATGTCCGTCCGACCGTTCGTAGTAAAATCTTTTTTGCAAGATACTGGTATCTCATGAACCCCTGATCACGTTAAGTTATCATTGTACTTTAATCTGGCTATATCAACTACTACACACCTGATTGCAATTTGGTGGTCATCGGTCAAGGCTAAAGGGTGAAAGGTCAAGGTCAAAGATCACACTTTACCACTTTTGAAGTACAAAAAGCCTGCATACAAGATATCTCATGAACCCTTCATCAAACTTTGTTCATATTTGCACCATAGTATGGTAACATTGAGTTCTACACCCGATTCTATCACGTTGGCAATGTAACAACACTTTTCATTGGTTAATTAACCATGGCCATTGTGTGATGTACTGCACATTACCAGATAACCAGAAATGTTAGCTGTAATGTACTACACATTACCAGAAATGTTAGCCGCGACGTACTGCACATTACCAGAGATGTTAGCTGTAATGTACTGCACATTACCAGTGATATCAGCTGTGATGTACTACACATTACCAGAAACGTTAGCTGTGATGAACTACACATTACCAGAAATGTTAGCTGTGACATACTACAAATTACCAGAAATGTTAGCTGTGATGTACTCCACATTACCAGAAATGTTAGCTGTGATGTGCTACACATTACCAGAAATGTTAGCTGTGATGAACTACACATTACCAGAAATGTTAGCTGTGACATACTACAAATTACCAGAAATGTTAGCTGTGATGTACTGCACTTTACCAGAAATGTTAGCTGTAATGTACTACACATTACAAGAAATGTTAGCTGCGACGTACTGCACATTACCAGAAATGTTAGCTGTAATGTACTGCACATTACCAGAGATGTCAGCTGTAATGTAATACACATTACCAGAAATGTTAGCTGCGACGTACTGCACATTACCAGAGATGTTAGCTGTAATGTACTACACATTACCATAAATGTTAGCTGTGATGTACTGCACATTACGAGAAATGTTAGCTGTGATGTACTGCACATTGCCAGAGATGTCAGCTGTAATGTACTACACCTTACCAGAAATGTTAGCTGCGACGTACTGGACATTACCAGAGATGTTAGCTGTGATGTACTACACATTACCAGAAATGTAAGCTGTGATGTACTGCACATTACCAGAAATGATAGCTGTGATGTACTGCACATTACCAGAAACGTTAGCTGTGATGTACTACACATTACCAGAAATGTAAGCTGTGATGTCCTGCACATTACCAGAAATGTTAGCTGTGATGAACTACACATTACCAGAAATGTTAGCTGTGACATACTGCACATTACCAGAAATGTTAGCTGTGACGTACGCACATTACCAGAAATGTTAGCTGTGATGTGCTACACATTACCAGAAATGTTAGCTGTGACATACTGCACATTACCAGAGATGTTAGCTGTGATGTACTACACATTACCATAAATGTTAGCTGTGATGTACTGCACATTACGAGAAATGTTAGCTGTGATGTACTGCACATTTCCAGAAATGTTAGCTGTGATGTACTGCACTTTACCAGAAATGTTAGCTGTAATGTACTACACATTACAAGAAATGTTAGCTGCGACGTACTGCACATTACCAGAAATGTTAGCTGTGACGTACGCACATTACCAGAAATGTTAGCTGTGATGTACAATGTTAGCTGTGATGTACTGCACATTACCAAAAATGTTAGCTGTGACATACTGCACATTACCAGAGATGTTAGCTGTAATGTACTGCACATTACCAGAAATGTTAGCTGTGATGTACTACACATTACCAGAAATGTCAGCTGTGATGTACTGCACATTACCAGAAATGTAAGCTGTGATGTACTGCACATTACCAGAAATGTTAGCTGTAATGTACTACACATTACCAGAAATGTTAGCTGTGATGTACTGCACATTACCAGAAACGTTAGCTGTGATGTACTACACATTACCAGAGATGTCAGCTGTAATGTACTACACATTACCAGAAATGTTAGCTGTAATGTACTGCACATTACCAGAGATATCAGCTGTGATGTACTACACATTACCAGAAACGTTAGCTGTGATGTACTACACATTACCAGAGATGTTAGCTGTAATGTACTACACATTACCAGAGATGTTAGCTGTAATTTACTACACATTACCAGAAATGTCAGCTGTGACGTACTGCACATTACCAGAAACGTTAGCTGTCATGTACTGCACATTACCAGAAATGTAAGCTGTGATGTACTGCACATTTCCAGAAATGTTAGCTGTGATGAACTGCACATTACCAGAGATGTCAGCTGTAATGTACTACACATTACCAGAGATGTCAGCTGTAATGTACTACACATTACCAGAGATGATAGCTGTGATGTACTGCACATTTCCAGAAACGTTAGCTGTGATGTACTACACATTACCAGAAACGTTAGCTGTCATGTACTGCACATTACCAGAAATGTTCGCTGTGATGTACTGCACATTACCATAAATGTTAGCTGTGATGTACTGCACAGTACCAGAGATGTTAGCTTTGATGTACTACACATTACCAGAGATGTTAGCTGTAATGTACTACACATTACCAGAAATGTTAGCTGTGATGTACTACTCATTACCAGAAATGTTAGCTGTGATGTACTGCACATTACCAGCTAGTTAGCTGTGATGTACTGCACATTACCAGAAATGTTAGCTGTGATGTACTGCACATTACCAGAAATGTTAGCTGTGATGTACTGCACATTACCAGAAATGTTAGCTGTAACATTGTTTATTGTTGAATATTAAAGGAAATGTTAGCTGTTATACTTTAAGGTGTTTGATATTACTTGAAATGTTTGTTTGATCTTTATAAAGACTTATAGTTTTACGGAAAATTCCAACTGTTCTAGTTTCATTTTCTCAATGTTGCTGTCATCATGCAATAAACTTTTGTTTTATTTCTGGTTGCAGAAAAAGAGAAGAATTGCAATGGATTCCGAGAGACATAAACAGGGGAAGGAGGTCCTTCCAGATGGACCCGCTCATCTGCATGCTACTCCATTCTATTGATTTGTAATACCATGAAACTCTTAATTACCTGAATTTTATAGGTCAATAAAATATATTTGAAAAATGTAAAAAAAAAATGTTATGGGTTGAGCAGGCTAAACAAAATTGGCAACACTGATTAATTATTTATCTGAATGGTCTCAAAAGGAAAGACCAACAACAATGCAAATTTGAAATACATATAATATTTGGGGGGTGATTTGGTACTGAAACCCTGCACAGACAACTAGGGGCGACTCCTCAGGTTAGAAGGATTATAGCCCCTCAGTTACCTCACCTGGGGACACTTGTATAAAACATCTTAAAGTTAAGGAAAATTTCAAGCAATGGATTGTCTATGAGAAATCTTAGACTTGAGGAAATCTCAAGAGTTGAGATGTTTTATACAAGTGGGCCCTGGTCACTTTCTCAGGTATACACACATGCTGTATTGACGAGCATTGAGTATTAAAACAGTAAATCAGCAGTAAACGAAAGAACTGTACAGTAGAACTGGCTTGCAGTCTGCTGCCCAGGATGACTGAATTCTATACGCTGTATGCTTGAGTACATTGTATTTTAGTCCAGGCAATCTAGCCAATTTAACCATTCAATATGGAAAAAAATGAAGCAGAATTTATTTGGGCACAGAGGTCATCTATAAGATGTCCTGAATAACATACTAAAAGTCGTAAGAAATTACTGTTGCGGAAATAGGTTAAATATGCAAAAATCCAAGATGGCCGCCATAAATATATAATGTCTCATATCTCCACTATCACAAGAGACATTTGAATGAGTTAAAATGCTATTATACGTTATTTTGCACATAAGGAATCATTTCGAATAGGTTACGACTTGTTGGATACAATAATCATAGAAAAAAAATCCAATATGGCCACCAAAAATCCATTTCTTATCATATATTTGCACTGATATACGACATATTTCATTGAATGAAATTGTATACTAATATAATCAAGGCAGGTAAGTATTTTCAAGTTTATTCACTACATCGAACTTTAGTAATACACTCATCAACATCAATTCTACACATCACATATAGAGTATAACAGAAAGGTGACACAACATGATACTATTGTCAATACAGTGATTGAGTACTGGGTGCAACTCAACCGTCGTCATCATATGCATTTGACATGTCTGGTAACTGTGAGTTGGTACAGCTTACACCACGGCATTCTCTGCACACATTTGCGCAAGGAAAGCCATATTTTCGGCATGTGCACCTCCGGGTGGTACAGTCCTTTTTACAGCTACAACAGATGACATCCAGTAGTTCTGATGGAGCTGCTGGTTGGTCGGTCTGTTTTGGCAGATATCTCCCGTCAACAACGTTCCATCCAAAATCCTCTGGTCTCATATTGATGCAGGCATCTTTCCAATCCATAACCTGATAGTACACACGAAGGCTGTGATGGAGCCAGAGGTTGGTGGTAGACTTTGGGGTTCCACGGCGGCGGTGCCTTTTGAAACCTTGTCACAGAACCGCCGGTATCGTAAGCTGTCTAGTCCTTCGTCTTCGGCACCACCATACATTGACACCATGATCACCTCCTTTGCTTGATCAGGTTGATTGAACAATTTGGCCTGATTGTAGAAGACAGGGTCATTCTTGATTTTCTTGACTGCCACGCCCTTCCCTTGACCAAACAGGCGAGAGTTAGTATCACAGCCTGAAATGGCGTGGACAAATAGCAGATGATCACAAAGTGTAGGACCGAGCAACTCCCTGGGTTGTTTTATGCACCAGACTCTCTTCTTTTTGATAAATTGTTTAGGCTCTGGTGCCATGAACAACTCGTGTGCGTTCATTTCGACATGGTGCAGTAGGAGAATCAGCAAGTCTGTGTCATCCCCGATCAGTACAGTGTCTTATGTTTGGGCAGAGGCAACTGCTGTTTGAACAATCATCACGTCGGCGTCGTGCGTTGTGTGGTCTATGCTACAGCCAGCTCTCTCCAGCTTGTCGCTCAGATAATGGATGAATCGCTGTTTGTTTTCCTTGTTCAGGAAATTTTCTTTCTTTGATTGAATCATCATGTCACCATCGAAGTGTACTGTCACACCAGCACAAGCCCCTGTTCGTCTCAGTTGTGTGGCATCTTTAGTTGCAGGCTCATCTTTGTACCCATCAAAGACGACGACAGCAGCTCCATACTTCTGTGTGACGTACGCAACATACATTTGACACACACTGTCAAATTTAGATCCTCTTGGCCATGGTATGCGATAAAGTAGAGCACCACCATCTAGCACATACTGGACATTTGCATTGGGTTATCGTTGCTCTCCCTTCATAGACTTCCAGAGCACATCGGCCAGTGTTGCCTTATTTGCCTGCAGGAGGAGTGCAGCTGATTCAAACATTTCAGGTGGATGAGTGCAGAGCTCATACTTGAATAAGGATGAAACATCTTCTGAACGCTGTCCTACAGTTACCAACCTCTGAAATATCAACTGTGGATCCACCGTTACCGATTCTCCTTTGACCTTCACTGTTGATCTTGATCCAAGTGTCGTGGCCTGGTCAGCTTTCCAGAAGACATAATCTTCTACAGATACCCCGACCATGGAGTCTAGAATATCTTCCACAATTTCACTTGATCGGTCAACGTTGACTCCTTCTTGGGCCGTCATGCCATTGGCGATGTTGAACAGTGATGAATTCTCAACGAATGGATCCCTCTGTGCGAGATAGCTGATAAGATTCAGGGTGTCATTGACATCTCTAGCTTGTCTAGCCTTTGACAAATCCTTGTGTTGGTCACTGGTCTCATATGACACACCAGTGAACTTCTGCATGACATCATTCATGTTGGCACATGCCGGCATGGACATGACCCACAGTAGGCGCTGAGTTTCGGTCATGCCCTTTCCTCGTGTCAGGCCTCCGTGCGTCTTTACGCTCCTCATTAGCACCTGCTCTATGATGAGGTCTGTGAACAGTCTTCCCCAGTATCTGTCACTACGCCTCACTACATGATACCCTTCCTCGAATTTCTGATGGACATCGGGGTGTGTTTCGGGCAGCAGGGTCATCTTTTGCAGATATACAAATGCGGACTTCGCATAAAATTTGTGTCCAGCTGCTGCAAAGAAGGATTGCATTTCACGTTCTGACTGAAGATGCAATCTCCAGTTTCCTGTTCGCTCTGCTTTGAGAAACCTTCGGAGGATATCCACCATCTCCAGATACTGTAACCATAAGGTTGCTGTGCGCCCAGTCATCATTTCCTTCCTCGCATTCACTTTACTTTCGAGTCGCAGTAACGCTTTTGATGAACACACCTCTTCCACAGAGAATGAACACGACATTGCTCTGTCATACTGTTCCGCACTTGCAGTCAAGTCAGTCGTGATGGTGTCTGTGTCTTAATCGTATTTCAGTATTAAATACCCAAAAACTGGTGATTGGTGAAGATTTGCACGCAAATATATGATCAGATATGGATTTTTGGTGGCCATATTGGATTTTTTCCATGACCATTGCATCCAATCAAAACGTAACCTATTCTAAACGATTCCTTAAGTCCAAAAACCGTATAATAGCATTTTAAATAATTCAAATATCTCTTGTGATATTGGAGATATGAGACATTATATATATTATGGCGGCCATCTTGGATTTTTGCATATTTAACCTATTTCCGCAACAGTAATTTCTTAAGACTTTTAGTATGTTATTCAGGAAACTTCATAGAAGACCTATGTGCCCAAATAAATTCTGTTGCATTTTTTTCCATTTCAAAAGTTAGTTTGCATGGACTATTTCATGTAATAAAAGAATGGAACGTGTTATACCGAACACATTTTGCATGCATTCACGCCTGATCATTACATGTAAATCAATCTAGGTAAATCGGTTATGAAAGCTAACAACAGTTAACATAGCCTGTGGCATCTTACAGTTGTTTTTACAGCCAAAATTAGCAAATTTTAGCAAAATTAAATGTCCGTTTTAATGAACTGAAGCATTCAGCTGCAGCATTAGGAATGATACCTAATTAAAGTGAACAATATTACAAGTTGTTAAGGCGTCTGAAATGCTGCTACCACTACCCCTTCACTACTGGGTCGCGGGTTCGAGGCCTACGTGGGGCAGTCGCCAGGTACTGGCCGTTGGTAGGTGTTTTTTCACCGGGAACTACCGGCTTTCCTCCACCACCATTTGGTTTGGTTTAGTATTGTTTAACGTTCAACAGCTATGGTCATTCAAGGACGGCCTCCCCTGTGTGCAAGATGCATGCGTGTAGTGTATGCGTGTTTAATTTGGGGGGGGGCTGCGATATATTCGTGTTTGTGCCGATTTTATAGTGCTCACTCGTCCCTGAATGGCCGTAGCTGGTAATAGGACGTAAAACACAAACAAACAAAACAAAAGTATTTGACGTAGCTGCTTTAAAAGATGACACAACAGTCTATATCAATAGTAAACAGTTTTATATGTTAAACAAACACAACTATTAATGAAAATGACCGTGAAACAACGTAGAAATAAATATTGAAGCATCTACCAAGGATCTAACTCTTGCCTGAACAAGCGTTGGACTCATTGTCTTGATGAAAAGACATATTGCACGTTTTACATGAGAGACATAGGGCTGACAGCATCTTACGTCAACAGTGAACACAAACAGCACTGAACATGTTACAGAAATAGATAAGTATTAGAAACAATGAATAATACTGGAATGAAACTTATTAATGCCAATAATGTCTAAATACAACGGTTGTATTCTTCTAATATCTGCTTGAAAATATGTGGTCGAGATAAAAAAAAAATTACTTTCTAAATAAAATTTTAATGTACCAAATATTACAAGTAAATGTTTATACACTGATTAAGAACATTGCATATAGAAACCAAAATCGTTTGTATCATTTTAAAGCTGAATTCATATGATTTTTTTAAACAAACGGAATGATATTAGTATTTTTACGATAAAATCAAGTATTCTGTAGGTTGTTTTATAGAAAGTGTCAATATAATGTTCGAATATATATTCTTCCCAAAAAGACTTTTTTTTACTTTCAAACTGACATTTTAAATGTTGATTTAAAGTACACCTGAAATGGAACTGAGACGTTCAGTCTCAATACATATACATCTTTGCATTAAATATCATGTAAGCGTTTATGAAAATAACACCGAAAATAGAAATGTCATTTATCAAAAGTGATTCTTTCCCAAATGTTTTTTGAAACTGAAACATTCTGTCTGACACTATGTGTTTGATATATCGATGTTATAGAAAAAATACAAACAAAACATTTAGTGAAAATTTTGAAAAAGAATGATGAGGTATTCACTTCCATTTAGAGGTTCGGAACATAACGTTTTCCACATAATACGAGACTATAACAGTCTTTCACACGTCTCGTGCGTCAAACGCTCTCTCGAACTAGATATCACGTGATTCGGAAGAAGTCTCATGGAATATATGAAATCAAAATCCGCCTAAACATCATATCAGTCTTTGACTATCTGCTGCATGTCCAGTGCCTCCAGAGACTGGTCGTGTTTCCGCCGGAAGTAGAATGTAACGAGGGCCCCGATCAGAAGACCGGGAAGGAACAGTCCAATGCCTACACCAGCCATGGCGCCTGTGTTAAAATGGTTCTGTTTTATTAATGTGCACAAATTGTTAACGTCCTCCTTGTCAGTACTTAAACTTTTGTCTTCTTAAAATATATTGTAATGCTTTAGGGCGCAATAAGTCTACCTCTGTGTGTGACGTCATTATCTGTCCGACATAACACTTATGCTTAACTAAGAAGGTAAATTTCAAAAAGGTAAATTTTAAATCATGCTTGGAACTACCAATAAAGGAAAGGTACGCGGATCTCATTTATGAAATAATCATTTTACCAGCGCAATGTAAGAGGTTGGATGTTTTTATCTCTAGCAATCGCCGTGAAGGTATAAAAAGAAAGAGTAATCAATGAGAAGGAGTATGCTTAATTAACATATTGTATTGTAGTTACAGGATGAACTGTTAAAAGCTGACCAATGTGAGTAGTTTTACCTGCACTATAGCCCGTGTTTGAACTCTTATTGCCAGCTGTCTGAGCATTCCCTGTGCTAGCCTGCGAATGACCGGTTGAGAAGTACTTTCCTGTGAATAAAGAAGTGAATATCATGCAATGGATCCTTTTCACCAATTGTTGTTAAAAACGATAGATAACGAGTTTCCTAGATAAAAATAATAAACCTCCCTTTGTTTGAAACATACAGGAACACGCCTGTTACGAAACTATTGATATGGAGGTAAAGCACAATTATGAAGAACATTAGTTGCTAGCTTTACAACCAAATTCTATAGTTGGGTTTTGTACACATGGCTACCACAGCACACAAGTATGGAGGCTGCCGATCTCATACGTACTAATGTAAAGGTCACAGACGTCATGCGTGACCTTGCCACCCTTCTTGAGAGGACGATTACTTGTCAGTCGACACAGTTGAGTTGTATTACAGAAGGCGAAGCTCTGACAGTTGGTAGCCTCTGTAGTGACGCAAAGCTTGGCACAGTCATCCGCCGTCACATCAGTGTAGTCCAGGGTCTTCCCAAACGTCATAGTGGACCGTGACTTTTTCTGAAAGTCATCTATGTAGTTTCCTAAGGGAAAAAACGACTTAAATATTTACCATCAAGTACTCAGTGATAATTACAACATCCGTCAATCAATGTAAGATTAAGTTTTATTTATTTTACTGCAATTATAAAACAAGTTTATCTTTTATCTTACTGGTGTAAAAGGAACACGTTGGACTGGTGACGAGGGAGCTGGCGGGGAAGTCCAGTTGGTGTTTCTTCATCAGGCGACACGTCTTGGTGTTGGAGCAGTATTCGAAAGACTTGCAAGGGAACCCGCTATACTCTGAACATTGTTTGGCGCACAAATTGTCCGAGTTGACTTTGTCCAGCTCTTTGTCCGCCGTGACCGATACTACCATCCCAGGGCTAGAGGTATACCTATCTAGGTAATTACCTTCACAAATAAAAACATACCATACTGTCAATATACAAGGAGAGACACCAACACAGAAGGTAGTGCATCGTACCTCCACTCACCCATATATAACAGAACGGAGGAGGAGACAACAGGGTTTTATAATGAAATACTATAAGTGAAATATTCAGTAGCAACAACATGATTACTCTATTTAGAAATCGGTTATTGCTGTAAATTTATACATTTTCGCGGATTTTAATAAAATATTAATGTGTTTCCATATGGACGTATGATAGTTATTGGCCGCTATTACCAATTGACAAGAAACTACTCGTTATGCGTTATATAAGTGGTTCACGTTGATTGCCCCACAGTACAGTTGCGCATTGACGCAAAACATGGCACTGGGCACAGAAATTGGGCTCAGAACATTGTATTTATTGACTTTGGGCACAGAAGATATATAGTGACATCGTTACACAATGGTACCTTGTATTGATATATTGAATAACAGGACACGAACAAATTTGGGTAAGATTTTTTCGGTCAGTGATATCTTTTAAAACTAGCGTTATCTAATCGTTCTAATATATCCGAGTGTTGTCTATGCATAGTAATTGAGCATTTTTCTAAATTAGTCATCATACCGGGTTAAAATAACAACCGTTTATGATGGATATATTAGAGGTTTCTTGGTGTGGTAATAATATAAGCTTGCCATACATTACTGACATAAGGTGGAACAGGAGTAGGACCAGTGCTGTGTACATACGTGAATATACGTCACAGAAGTCATGATGCGTAAGAGTGGTATTCTGGGCGTCGGGATGCGCTTTGTACAGCAGGCAGTCCCCTTGCTTGTAGCAGAAGTCAAAGGACAGACAGTCGAACGACATTTCTGTCAGGCAGGCGTCGGCACACTCGTCTACAGATATTCCGGCCACATAGCCGCTGTTCTTCACTATCAGGATGTTGTTTTCTGTCAAATTAAAGTGACTGAGTACCTGACCTGAAACAAAAAACATTAACATATAAGCTATTGCCGCCATATTCTTAAGAGAAACTTTATATCGGATATGGTAGTCTACAACAGACAAAGCTTGTGTTTGGTGATTTGATCTACTGTGTAGAGTTTCCTTATGTTAGCTATGGTCTGCTCCTTTGGAGTGACCTGATGTAAGATAGGGTCTGGTCCTTTCGAAGGACTTTATGTTAGAGATTGGGTGCCCCTTTGGAGTGACCTTATGTTAGCTATGATCTGCTTTGTTTCATTGATTTTATGTTCGCTACGGTCTGCTCCTTTGGAGTGACCTGCTGTTCAAATGCTAGAGTCTGGTCCTTTCGAAGGACTTCATGTTAGAGATTGGGTGCCCATTTGGAGTGACCTTATGTTAGCTAGGGTTTGATATTAACTATGGTCTGTTATACATCACTTTTATTATAAGTTGTGACATGGATATTATACTAGAAATTCTAACTGTTTCCGAAATGTAATTTGATGTATTGTGTACGGCTTTTTATCAAAGTATGTCGAATGAATACATTAATCCATAACTATATACTAACTTGATGTCGGATATCTGCTCGCTCTCACTAAATTGTCCCTTATTTGGTCAGCGATAAAAATCGTTGTCTGCAAAAAAACACGAAAGCAATGAAGTAAAATAAATATAGCACAGCATTAACAGACAAGGAAAACACACTATAGCATAAGAAACAGTTCAAAATATAACATACAGTCAACACACATAGCCAAGATGACAATCAAAACACAATAAAACAAATATACTGTGAGACCTGAGATAGAATCTAACGATCTTTTCTTTCCATAAAATACTCAGGTTGACATCTCACTGTACACTTTGACTTTATCCAAACAAACATGTAAATACGTACACACACTCACGTACCGTACAGTTTGATCTTACCCAAATCTCTCATTGAACAGTTTGACCTCACTCAAACTTACACACTTTCTCATCGTACAATTTGATCTTACTCAAATCCCTTATCAGCCAGTTTGACTTCATTCAAACGTACACTATCTCATCGTACAATTTGCCCTGTTCTGTTTGAAGCCGCATTACTGTAATATCTTTTGTATTTTATGTTGCAATACAGTCAGTACCAACTGTCGTTTTGCCAATAAATTATCAATTATTTATATTCCAAATTAGTCCCGTTAATACAACGAAAAATTCTTGACTATTTAGACGTCTGTAGATAAGCGTCACTTCATGAATTTCTCACGAGAAATGTCTACAAGTGATGTTAGAAGAGTACGTACATTGCCGCCTTCCAGGATAGGTATCTGGAATAGTCCCTTATAGATAACGTCATTCAGCTTGACCATGATAGCGTCGATACTTGGCTGCACTGCATCTGTGCTATTCACGGTACCTTTGAACATTAAATTATATATTATTTTCATAACGTAAAAGACATTTAAAACATTACCCTTTGTATTTTGGTAGGTGTAAAAGATAAAACGACGCTTTAGAGCTGGAGATGACATTTTACTAGCAAGTCACATAGATTCAATATTACTCACGTGAGTAGTGATCGCATGTGCTACTGGATGAGAGGGCTGGGCCGTCGTCCACGTGTTCCTTACTGAGCAGACAGGTAGAGGACGCGCTGCAGTAGTCAAAACTCTCACAGGGGAAATTACTCTCTACTCGACAATAGGTGGCGCAATCCTTGTCCGACATGACATTGCTGTAAGTGGCATCAGTCTTGTGAGGATTAGCTTTGGAAGAAGTCTTAGTGAAGTCAACTGAAATCATAGAATATCCTTAAATGAGATTTTGGTGATTTTAACTGAAATCAAGACACAACCTTGTATGAAATCTTATAAAAGTCAACTGAAATCGAGGCACAGTTTTACTGAGTTCCCGCTAAAATAAACCGAAACTAAGACCTTGTATTACATAAAGATGTGCAACCAACGGAAATATAGGCACAGCCTCAACATGATGCGTTTAACACAAAAACTAAAACTATGAGGCACTTGGTCTTAATATATCTTAATCAAAACACAAACGTGAATGAAAACAACATATTAAAATGCGAGCGATCACATACATATACTATGGCTTCATTTTATCTGGGTATTTAAACTTTGTAGTAGGGGATATAACACCCGAATCACAAATCCCTTCCTTCATGCACTTCTACATAATGATGTACTTTCGCTAAATATAAGATATGGATATAAACTTTATGCAGTTTTACAACAATTGTGCAATTGCAATTACATGTACTTTCACACCCTCACATCGCAAACGGGGGAATTGACAATAAACCCACAAGACACTCTAATGAGCATAATAAAAAATTCGACCTTCATATCACACAGAGAATTAGCATAAATGCCTGCGAGGTCCTGATGATGAAACCATAGTCTTCATTAAGCTACATCTTTTGAAACCCTGCGTGGAAAGTTTTGCCGTCAGCAATCCACATCTGTTCTCTGTCAGAGTGTTTGCACTTTCAGAAACAAGTGACTTTTGCGGAGTCTTATTTCAGTCAGTTATTTATTGTTGTTGTATTGTTACTTATCATTTCATAACGAAAACTTTACTATTATCAAAATTAGTATTAATTATATCACTTTTTAATGATACATTTCCACTGGTAACACAAGTTTGAAGGTCATATGATAACTATTGCAATACGTTATCCTTCCGTTTTGGTAATTACCTTAATCTTCAGTATAACAGTGATCTCTGTTGAATAGTGGTATGATATACACAACTTGTTTTTAATTTCAAATTAATCAGTGTTCCTTCTTTTTTGAATTCATATCATCAAGCCCCTAGCGAATACCTGATGAGTCCTAGAAGGACAAAACAGCTGTATGGTGCAATTTTAATTCATTTTTGGCATACTGTATCTAACACTCTTTTACAATAAGTGCAATCACGTGTGTTTGTCTTACCAATGAAAGGAGCAATGTTGACAACCGTTCCTATGAGTTTTACATAGTTAGCGTCGTACGTCACTTCCGTTCGTTGAAATCGAATGGGTGAAGCCATGGACGCCTGTGCCAGCAGAGTCTGTGCTTTCTTCAGAAAAACCTTCACATTAGCATCTAGAACAGGATGATATGAACCTGGAAAAGGACGTTTGAAAATCATAATTCAAGTCATGAGCATAGGATTAAAAAACAGTAAGGCATGAAAAATCGCAAGCACAACGAGAATCGTTAAATGAATCATATAAAAAATATATTCCACATCGTCAGCACACAGGCACAGCACTGTGTCAGCACACAACCATACATTTTACCATAATTTCAACAAACAATTACTAGGTATTAACAGTTACAACATATACCACATCAATAAAAAGACCGTATACCGGGTGTTTTTGAAGGATATGAGATAAAACGTTAGCGTTAATAAGTAAAATGTGTATTAGGAACAGTATTCTTAGCTGTAAACAACCCTTCAAGATGTTAAAGCTGACAGTGCAAGTTAAAAAGCTTTCAATGGAGATTTAAAAAAATCAATTGTTTTTCTATTTTTGAGATCTTCCCCGTATATTCCGACAATCGTTTCTGAGGAAGTGCCGACATTATTTTTTTGCTTGTTTGATCGCGAGTATGGGTCTCGCTGGGTATAAAAAGCGCATTAGCTGTCAAACCGGTTATCATTTGTTAAATATGTGCACAAGGTGACACTACTTTACTATATATACTAGTATATATATAGAACACTTTCACGCACGATATTTTACCAACATTTTGATCAGTTGAATAAATTTGAAATGGAACTCATCAAAGATATCATTTATATAGGAAAAGTGGAAATCTACACTACTAAGACTAAGAGTTCATAATACAGTTTTCGTGTGTTGATGCAGTTCTATGCACAAGAAAGACCGATGGCATTTTATAGAAGTGTGTTCAGTAAGCCATAAGTAACAACAATAACAACAAGGAAGAAATGGTGGAGATCTCTAAACCAGAAAAACATTGATTGTATTTTTAAATAAATCTCAATTGAAATCTTTTAATAACATGCCCTGTCAGTTTTAAGTTTTCATACATTCAACGCTACGATATATTATTATCAAATTATACATCTCTACAAGATAGTATGTTTTAACTGTTTCATGTGACAATGAAGTGCCCAAGTGTGCAATGAACACACACCACCAGAGCGTCATTTAACAATCTTACCAGGAAATCGTATTAGGAACTCTCGTTTCTCTGTTCCTCCGAAGCAAGGGGTGATATCAAAATTGGTCAGATCTGGATCTTGTAAGTTAAAGTCGAAAAAGTTGTAGGTGAGGAATAAACCGATCTGTAACGAGAAATGTTTTTATTATTTACACATTACAAATAAGGTCATGTATGTGAAAATTTACATTTAAGTATTATCTAGGTTATCCAATGAACGTAATGGTATGCAGCAATCATCCAAACTTCTCTCTAACACTCTAAGTATATACCATTATTTCAGGGTTACAGTCGCACTGTGACGCTTTCTATTCCAGAAGGAGACTCAATGGCATGTTGATTAAAAAAAATAACAATTTCTTTTGATAAGTCTGAAATATTTTACCTTAGAAATGTTTCTTCTATCAGAACTAATGGCTCTTTTATTATTTAGACTACTATACATCATACCGAACTGAAGGCACATGCTTTGTTCTCTTATATCATGAGTCGATATAAATATATTGCTGTACAATAATTTGGTGCATTTGGGACAAAAGAAATAAAATGATGCTGAGGATGAACCTTCTGTTGACAATATCCTGGTTGAGTTCGATTCAAAGTTTCCAGCAGACTGTAGGCATTCCTCTGGTAACACACTGCATCCTGCTTTTCTTGGTCTATTTGTTTTTGTTTTTATATGCGTTTAAATTTATTTAAAAACTAACCAGAACTGGTAATACAAACCTTGTCAAGTTCATCAATTTCACTTTCAGTGTCTACGGTGTGCTTTCGATCGTTAGGTAGCAAGAAGTTTATATACACATCGACCGTATATACCCTCCTGAACCTGGAATCAAGGTCAGTACTGACTTACCACTAAGCAGGGTTTTCCGATCGTGAAGTTTCCTTTTCTTGATAGTCACCTGCCTACGTCCCCAACCTACACTGACTGCATATCAAAGATCATTTGATATTCAAGAGCCTGCTCCGAATATCACTTCGGTTTTGAATTATTCAATAAGCGATGTCAATTCAAATCAAAACATTGCTCATATTAGAAGCTATGTGAGAACTAGTGCTTACGCAATAAAACAATGATATTGGGATGTGCCAGCTAGCCGGACTGTTATGGTAAGGTAGGTTTACGCTATTTATTACATCAACTACATTCTGCTCGAACATCGTTGCTTATAAGATGGATATTGAGGAAAGTGCTTCCACAATGAAAAATAAAGATATTGGGATGTGCCAGGTAGCCGGATTGTTATGGTAAGGTAGGTTCATTCTGCTCGAATATCGTTACTTATAAGGAAGTCGTTTACAAACGGCTGCGATACTTACTTCCTCTGACGAGACGTCCATTCGTATTGGCTGAGATTGTACCGGGATATTGCTGCCAGATGGTGTCGTCTTCCAGGTGTCCTGCGAAGTACAGGTAATAATTCTGATACATTACCTCCCTTTGTTCTGCTAATATATTTTATTGAGCAGCAAAGAATATGTTTGTAAGATCATGCATTTGATACTTTCATACTAAATACTATTTTAATATTGGTTGAATACGTTGTAATGTTAGCTAAACACATTGATATATTGGCTAAACATATCGTTATAGTAGCTGAACATATCGTTATATTTACTTAACACCAGGTCATATTGACTAGAAAACCACACACACACACACACACACACACACACACACACAAACAAACATCAATAAAAGTCATAATTCATTTCATTGCAAATTGACCAATTATTTCATATTCATTTATGAAATAAAATGTTATATTACATTGCATTTGATGGTGAACCATTGACAAAGCTCTCACCAACAACCCAGGACGAGTTGCGCAACATTATCATGACCTCGGAGCTTGATCCACTGCCTACAGACCTATTAAAGCAATGTCTTGAAGCACTGCTTCCTTTGATTACCGCAATCATGAACAAATCATTGGTTGAGTCAAAGGTTCNGACGTCTGAAATACTCTTATGGAGTGACTGATACCGCAATATATTGGATACAGTCATACCTGAGTGAACGACGATAGTGTGTTGCCATCGGATCTGCCACCTCACATGACAAAGTACTAGATTTCGGGGTTCCTCAAGGGTCGGTGTTAGGACCACGAAAATATTGTATGTACTCCAAACCGATTGGAGAGATTTGTTGTCGCCATAGCCTTCGCTATCGTTGCTATGTCGATGACACACAAATGTACATGGTCATAAAACCACAGGACAGTTGTAATACAGTCTCAGAGAGTCTGGAAGCTTGTCTGACAGATATCAGTATCTGGATGAACGCCAACATGCTTAAACTTAATCAAGAAAAGACGGAACTAATCGTCTTTTCCCCAAAGTGTCAGCAAACAATGGCTCTCCAGCTCAAGGTTGGTGCCAGAAATATCGAGGCTGTTCCAGCTGTTAAAAACCTAGGGGTATACTTTGACAGTTCTCTGAACATGGAGAAACAAGTGAACGCTATTGCCAAATCCTGTTACTACCAGATCAGGAACATCGGCTGTATTCGGCAGTTTCTAACTGCAGATGCATGCAAGATTTTGGTGCATTCACTTGTTACCTCTCAGTTGAATTATGGTAACGCCCTGCTCTGTGGTTTATCTAACAAACTAACTAGTCGTCTGCAGAGGGTCCAGAACACTGCAGCACGGCTAGTTACTCGTACTCGAAAGAGAGAGCACATCACACCTGCGCTTTATTCGTTGCACTGGTTACCTGTACGATACAGGTCGCAGTACAAAATTCTGGTATACACATACAAGGCAATGAATGGAACAGCTCCTCAGTACCTACATGAGCTTGTTACCCTGTATCAGCCGTCAAGATCACTGCGGTCGGAGTCAGAATCTTTGTTGTGTGTCCCAAAATCTCGTACTGTGACCTACGGAAACAGATGCTTTGGGAGGGTTTCGGCTATGTTATGGAATAGCTTACCATCTGCTATTAGGAAGTCAAATACCCTGGCCAAGTTCAAGAGGGACATAAAAACTCACCTCTTCACGTCTGCATTTTAGAATCTTTGCAAAGACGTCATGTAAATACCACCCTTTTATTTGTTCAATTATGTGCACATTGCTTGTTAAATGTATGAAAGTGATTGCAAGCCTTTGTTGTCTGTTTTCACAATTATAACCATTACTATTATCCGTTTTTTGTAAAGCGCCTTAGAGTAATTTTACAAATTATATAGGGCGCTATATAAATGTTGTATATTATTATTATTATTTATTATTATTATTACCTTTCATTACAACCGAATAGAATTACATCACAAATTTATTTCAAAGTGATGAAATTAATTGTGTTAAATTCAAAAAAAGGAATGTTTTATGGCATTGCATTTCAAAATTATGAACTATATAACATTTCAATTGCATAACTGATGCATCAATTTAAAGAGTTAAATCGTATTTGTTTATTTTGAACGGAATTTTCATTTTAATGCCAAAAAGCATTGCATACGAGGACGCATATAAATAGTCATATCATTTTTTATATCATATATTATTTTAAATAATATATTACATATTTAATAGGACTATGTATGACTTGGGCCTTCTTTGACCTCCATATTTAGAAAAATTATAATCCTAAAATACTAAATTTTCCCGATTATGAATTGTTGTGTTTGATAGATAGGATTACCGTTGTAACTAGTTGAGTTTTTCATGAATAAGAAAAAAAAGCTGAATATTAAATTACATTTTGTAAAACATCACATTGTGTTTCTGTTTGTTGAGAGTCATTAAAGGTGACCATGGCAACGACAAATGAACTCCAAAACATATTATTCAAATCAAAAAAGGGGTATTCGAATTACGATAGAATAAGTGACCAATAAAGGCCGTAATGATATATAGTCGTTTAACTGCAAAATAGAATATTGTAATGCATTTGATTACAATATCATATTCTTTTTATTGGATAAAAATCGTATGAAATATTACATCGCAATTAATAATTATAAAAGCAAAACAGCTTTTTAAATCTAACCTTAATGTTGTTTGAAGATTTTACAGCGTAATGAGAAAATATAACACCTCCAAAAACAGCAAATGAATTCACTTAACTTTTTTCACTACATTTATGTATTACAAAAACTTTGGATAGAAATGTGTTCACTTATTGTGTTATTACAGTATTGGTAATCGTTGTATACATACGTAGGCGAAGAAGAACTGGAGACGACTGGTAAACTTTGTTGAGACGCCCTGTAGTTTGAATTCATCAGTGATAGTCTCAAAAATTATACACAGAATTCCTCGAATGGTTTTCTAAAAGACCAAAATGAAAATAAATTAGATTTCGATCATTTTCAAAAAGAAGGCTACTAATCAAATCTGCAAACAATTTTATTAATATACACCTTATTATCATAAAATAAAAACAATATACACTTTTTTTTATAATTTAATGAGTATGCAATCGAAACATTACAAATATCAATATCATTATCATGAATATTCAATTGAACAAAATATAATCAATTTATAATATCATCAATATGCAATCGACAAAATATAAAATCAATTGCAATATACTGAATATGCAATCAATTGAAAAATAAGTTAACATCACTCAATAACAAGAATTATAATTCATGTGTAACATAAAACCGCTAACTCATCAACAAGAAGTATTTGTATAATCTTTATTCTACTTTATACCATGATAAATTAATTATCATTGGTAGTATATAGATGATTAACAGTTTATCACACAGTATTTTCATGAATTGGCGCACGTGGATAAAATCGAGAGGCCACCGCAGGATTCAGGGTTTGTCGTGAGAACAATCATCGCTAGCACGTGGATAAAATCGAGAGGACACCGCAGATGGACTCGAGTTTTTATCCACGTGCTCGCGATGATTGTTCTCACGACAAATTCTGAATACACAGCGTGATAATCTATAAACTATGGTTATATCTACCTGTCCCGAATATTTATACACGTTGTTGACATCAAAGAAGTCCAGCGGATTTTTCATCTGTACGACGTACGCACCATTCTTCAGAGCATCCTTCCTGTTAGGGTTGGAATCGAACGTGCTGCTGGCTACAGGAGTGATGCTACAGTTTCCAAACGTCCTGTCAATTGTGTAGGCAAGACCTGTCAATACGTTGAAGGATGACAATATAAGAAAGCTATTTAACGAAATTGTAAATATATATGAAATAACGATGTTTTGTAGTCCATTAACGTTTCCTTTGTTTATATTATTTCTATGTTTATTGATTCAGAGCTCGAATAACTGTTTTGTTGACTTTTCAGTGCTTTTTTTTTTTACAAGAGGTCTCACCTGTGTTAAAATCGTTTATATACGACATTGGATTTCCTGTTTTGAATTTCCCGCCAGGCGGCGAAGTAGCCATGTCGTAACGCACTAGTTTGTAATTGTAGTCGTACCAAATCTGTAATACAACACAGCAAGATTCATATGAGTCACACATGTGATGTTATGATGTTAAATTAATGGAACTTCTTCTTAAAACCGCGAGTCATGAGGCGAAAGGTTTGAAAATCTTGATTATTGTTGACTACAGAGCTCAACAAGCTGCTATTGGTATTGTAACCGAGGAACAAAACCAAATATGAACTTCAAAACCATACAGGTGAATGCACCTTTAAGTATTCTGTAATAGATATGAAAAACAAATGAATTTACACTGCATCAAACAGTTGTTTCGCCTTTAAGGATACTTGGGACAAAAAAATGTGGAGTTCGAAATTCGTGTAAGCTACGGCTGAAATAGGAAAGTATAGGCGTAAAACCCTTAATTCTATTTTTGTTTTAATTTAGAGGAGTACTGGTCAATTTCAAAATAAAAAGGTGAGTAAATTGTGTATTTCAGTAGTGCCGTAGCATACATGTATGCTTCTATGCTCAAGCAACCACTAAATATTTGAAGATATTTTTAATCATGTACATTGTATAAGTATTTATTAATTTCTTTTTTAATGATTAATATGGATCGTCTGTATCAATCGTAAAAAGGAAAGAATAAAATAGAAATAAATCTTCTTCAAAATTTTAGTCTTATTCAAACATTGAAAAATCTCAAAGGTTTATGTAGAATTCTAAATCAAAAACTAGTTAGTGAAGTAATATTATTCATATAAAAAGTAGTGTTTTACTTCTTAATAATCAGACTAAAAGGATTTTCCAGAATACTAGAGATTGCTTCTAGGGCCTAGTAGAAATCTATTTTTTCAAGCTATAGGAGGGGGAATTCCCCCTCCCATACCCATCCCTCCTCCGGCCGTATGCGCATCAGACGCTCGACCCCCTGTAAGCATACACTCCCAAAAATGCTTTGCTACGCCACTGTTCAGGAACCATGCAACTAACTACCCACATTTAATTAGTGTGGCCATTAAAGTTACGGCCAACCTCGAGGACTAAGAAACATACTAGCAGAGTCTACCGCCTTGTATCTTAAGGACTCACACAACTAAATCAGCCCATCAGCAAGTGTTTCATACGTTTATAGTTCCTATCTAAGATACGTTCCGGCTAATTACTGGATCACTGAAGGAGTTTAATAAGAAACTGATGACAGATTTTTAGATAAATGAAATGTTCAGGTATTTAACTTTTGAAAAATGTATACTTTTGATTTATTTCCATGTCTGTGTGCGGATCTTCACAGGGGCAACATGTCTGGGGGCGTTTCTGTTTTGGGTCACCGGTTTTGCTTGTAAATTTCCGGTTGTCAACTGTGACACTGAACTTCAAATATTACAGTTATTAGCTAAAATGTTTGGCAATAACTTATAGTAAATGATTTAGTTGTGTGTTATACAATAAGGACATGCCACGTACGCGTGCTTCGTAGGCCATCTGAACATCCGGGACAACGATTTCCAGGAGGTAGGAGAACTGGCTATCCACTGCGGGAAAAGGATCCGAGGATAACCATCCTATGATTGGTGAAATGAAGCGTTATGACAAATTACAACGTGATCCCGAAGAAACAGCTCAGTTTTGTGTTAATAACATTCAGAAAATGCTTTATTGATTTGCGTAACTCCCTTAATATTTTCTAAGTCTTTATTTTTGTACTTTAATCTAACAATACAAAACCAAAGTTAGTCTGGTGATTTATTAAATTGATTCTTTTGTGTTTTAACAAAGCATTCTATTCCAGTCTTAATATATCGAGACATATTTTTTATCAGATTTTTGATATCATAACAACGTTTTTTTCATACGTTTTCATATCTGCATAATTTTAATTAAGGGACATTTTTAACTTTACTTTTTATAAGATGAATATACGGTGAAATACTTACCAAAAATAATTTCAATTTCTACTGCATTGTAGTAAGTGGTCTGTAAATTAGATATTTGTTTGATATGAATTTCATTGCAATATCAACACTATGTATATCAGGCCGATATTTCTATATGCAAAATTCATCACTGGAATAGTGAAGTATCAATAAAAATTTACTGACAGAATTTAAAAGAAAAGACAAACCAACCTAGCATCAACACTTAGTATAGGAACAATTGAGACACAAACAACCTAACCCCCACAGGAAGAACGTTGGAGCGAGCAGCTGCTCATAGAGAACTCCCCACAAGGCACCCATCTAAACGGTTCAAATCATCATCAGTCCATTAAGTACTGGTTTCTCTATCCCAGCCCCATATTCTGAATATCTTGACATTTTTTTTTATTATAAGAGTCCTGTCAGTTCGAAAATTGTTGTCCATCATTAACTATTAATTTGAAAAACACTGTCAGTATGTAGTAAACTGTTATAGGTGTCTATAATAGAATAAAATAAGAAGTGCTAACATGTTTCATAATGATGTATAAAATAATGCATGGGCTGTCACCTCAATACTTACAAGATGTCTTAAATCCTTTCATTAACAATCAAAACAATAATCCCTATTTCCTCAGACAAACAAGACTGTTTAATCCACCAATATGCAGAACGAATAATTATTTTGACAGTTTCCTCCCTCTAATGTACCGCACAACTAACACTACTGATAATGATCTCTTAAACTCCCCAACTCTTGCAACCTTTAAACACAAACTGAATAAAGATATTATTATCGATAATGAATCAACCTTAATTTTTAAAACTGAAGGTGATAGACGGGCCAATATTATTCTTTGTCAACTTAGAAACTTCTGTAGCAATTTAAATTTTGATTTATTCAATGACCATTTAACTGACTGTCCCTCTTGTGCTTGCTCTTTTGAATATGAAACAGTTTTCCATTACTTTCTTGAATGTCCATTGTATAATGATCTCAGACTTACTTTATTTACTTCTGTTGATAATTATGGAAATCATAACCATATTGATACAAACATTTTTCTACAAGGCTGTCCTGATTGTGATGGACTAACAAACAGACAGTTACTTAATGATGTACAGTTATTTATTGGTAAATCTAGGCGTTTTAATCTCTATATGATCTAACCAGCCATGACCTTATACTTTATACTTTTATACTTTACTATTCCTATTCCAATTATACTCCACAAATAAGTAACTTTACCTACTTTTCTATAAATGTTATTCTTCTACGGACATAGGAGTTTTAAGTTGAGCATGTTTGTTTGTTGTTGTTTGTTGTAAGATTTGTTCAATCTGTCTTGTTTTACAGTTTCCATCTTATACATTGAATTACACATAGACTAGCTATCTATTTTCATATTAAACTACAATAACCGTGTGCATATATTTGCACATGGACTTTTGGTCAATGTCTGCCAATATCTGTGTGATTTGATAGCTATATAGCTTATATACAATTGTAAAATGTTATAAAAATAAATAAAACCTGTGGAAGTGTTTTGTGTGTGATGTGAGAAGTGTGAATGTATTTGTATTTCAGTTACGTTAATTAAGAAGGAGTTACATCCCTTTAATAAAAAAATATATAATTTTCATTTCAAAATTGATGTATTAATTAAATCAAATAAAAATAATAGAATCCGTTAATTTAGCAACCGCTGGAGAGAATTTATATAGGCTTTGCCTGTTATTCCATCCAATTGACTTGTATCAACTTTGTCAATAAAATTTGTTGAAATGAAAAAAAATACTTGTAGAAAGAAGTATTTTTTAACTTAAATAAAAAAAGTATCATAAAAACGCATGGCTAAGATCTCTATACTGACCGTCATGTCTTCCTCGTAGTCTGATTTATAAATTCACTCACGTTCAGATCTGCCTAGTGCTCAGAGTCATGTCTGCCTTGTTGTGTTATTACAATGCTCAAAGCCGTGTGTGGCTTGTTGTGTTATAACAGTTCATGTCTGCTGTCTGACTAGACTATATCTGATTAGTTGTCTGATATCTGTTAAAATAGTTATGTCTGAATAATTTAATCCTGCTTGTAACAAGCATTTTCATTGCCTTAAAAAATCATGTTATCGACCCATAACGTAAAAAAATTACTTCGCCATTTGTAACGTCGCTTTTGATTGGCTGATTCAATGGCGTAATAATTTCTAAGAGACACAAGTCCATCAATAAAAGTGGATTTCCACAGGGATTGTGTATTGTAGATTAAATTATAAGGATTGACTTGAATATGTTTTTTATATTATGGAGCTAAAACACAAAAAAAACGTTTATTAAGAGTACACTCTGTTTATTTGTGTTATATCATAATAACATGAAAAATATATTCAAGTTAATCCTTAACTAGTTGTCTGATATCCGTCTCATTGTAATTTTTGTCTTGTTGTCTGATTTCCGTTTCAGCTGTCATAGTTGTCTGACAGCTGTTTCACCATTATGTCTGACTAGATGTCTTGTATCTTTTCTCAACGTCATGTCTGTCTAGTTGTCTGATATCATTTCTCTCTGTTATGTCTGTCTAGTTGTCTGATATTATCTCTCTCTGTTATGTCTGTCTAGTTGTCTGATATCATTTTTCTCTGTTATGTCTGTCTAGTTGTCTGATATCACTTCTCTCTGTTATGTCTGTCTAGTTGTCTGATATTATCTCTCTCTGTTATGTCTGTCTAGTTGTCTGATATCACTTCTCTCTGTTATGTCTGTCTAGTTGTCTGATATCATTTCTCTATGTTATGTCTGTCTAGTTGTCTGATATCATTTTTCTCTGTTATGTCTGTCTAGTTGTCTGATATCACTTCTCTCTGTTATGTCTGTCTAGTTGTCTGATATCACTTCTCTCTGTTATGTCTGTCTAGTTGTCTGATATCATTTCTCTATGTTATGTCTGTCTAGTTGTCTGATATCATTTTTCTCTGTTATGTCTGTCTAGTTGTCTGATATCATTTTTCTCTGTTATGTCTGTCTAGTTGTCTGATATTATCTCTCTCTGTTATGTCTGTCTAGTTGTCTGATATTATTTCTCTCTGTTATGTCTGTCTAGTTGTCTGCTATCATTTCTCTCTGTTATGTCTGTCTAGTTGTCTGATATTATCTCTCTCTGTTATGTCTGTCTAGTTGTCTGATATTATTTCTCTCTGTTATGTCTGTCTAGTTGTCTGCTATCATTTCTCTCTGTTATGTCTGTCTAGTTGTCTGATATCATTTCTCTCTGTAATGTCTGTCTAGTTTTCTGATATCTATATTGACTTCAATGTCTGTCTAGTTTTCTTATATCCCTTGTTATTGCACGTCCGTTTATTTGTCTGATATATTTTAACCCCGTCATGTCTGTCTAGTTGTCTGGTATCTGTACTCACCGTCAGGTCAGCCTCATAAGCTGGTATCTGCAGCATGTTATTATACACAGCCTGTCGCAGGTTATTGTAAGCTCTAAAAACATCAATTTCCTGAACCATCGGGCCTGTTACCGTTCCTGTCAGCACGAATAACATGAATGTTTACATGTTAGCTACGTATGTGATTTAGTACGAGTATGCTACTGTGACTAAAGCAAGTAAGATGTTAGTCATGTGATTCTGTTAGTGACATTGTTGGAGTATTTCTGACACAACACATGGCATGAACGGCATACGATTCTTTTAGTTAAACAAGTAATAAGTACGATTATGAAAGTTTTATGAGCACAGAATGTAACATGTAAGGTATTTGATACTAATAATATGTTTCTGTTATTACAAGAATAAAAACATTTGAGGCATGTGATACATTAAATAATACTCAACCAGTAATATGTGATATTTTTTTGTATTACTCCAGCGGCCACCCATGTGGGGATAAAGTAACAACTTTACTCCAGTGGCCACCGATTTGGGTATAAAGTAACAACTTTACTCCAGCGGCCACCGATTTGGGTATAAAGTAACAACTTTACTCCAGCGGCCAGCTTTCTTGGGATTAAGTAACAACTTTACTTCAGTGGCCACCTATCTGGTGATTAAGTAACAAATTTACTCCAGTGGCCACCTATCTGGGGATTAAGTAACAACTTTACTCCAGTGGCCACCGATCTGGGGATTGAGTAACAACTTTACTCCAGCGGCCACCTATCTGGTGATTAAGTAACAAATTTACTCCAGTGGCCACCTATCTGGGGATTAAGTAACAACTTTACTCCAGTGGCCACCGATCTGGGGATTGAGTAACAACTTTACTCCAGCGGCCACCTATCTGGTGATTAAGTAACAAATTTACTCCAGTGGCCACCTATCTGGGGATTAAGTAACAACTTTACTCCAGTGGCCACCGATCTGGGGATTGAGTAACAACTTTACTCCAGTGGCCACCTATCTGGGGATTAAGTAACACATTTACTCCAATGGCCACCTATCTGGTGATTAAGTAACAAATTTACTCCAGCGGCCAGCTTTCTGGGGATAAAGTAACAACTTTACTCCAGTGGCCACCGATCTGGGGATTAAGTAACACATTTACTCCAGTGGCCACCGATCTGGGGATTAAGTAACACATTTTCTCCAGCGGCCACCGATCTGGGGATTAAGTAACAATTTTACTCTAGTGGCCACTTATCTGGGGATTAAGTAACAAATTTACTCCAGCGGCCACCTATCTGTGAATAAAGTAACAACTTTACTCCAATGGCCACCGATCTGGGGATTAAGTAACAATTTTACTCCAGTGGCCACTTATCTGGGGATTAAGTAACAATTTTACTCCAGCGGCCACTTATCTGGGGATTAAGTAACACATTTACTCCAGTGGCCACCTATCTGGGGATTAAGTAACACATTTACTCCAGTGGCCACCGATCTGGGGATTAAGTAACAATTTTACTCCAGTGGCCACACATTTGGGGATTAAATAACAATACTCTTATGGCCACTCATGAGGGGAATGGGAAACACATTTAGTCAAGTTGGGATTAAGTAACATCTTTACCTTACTGAACATCCATGTAGGGATAAGGTATTCTAGTGAACACCTATGTTCGGATTACATAACAACTTTCTCCAGTAGACACCCAGTTAGAGATTAAGACTCAACAGTGATGCTATACACTCAGTGCTGTAGTCAACAGTGATGTTTACACTCAATGCTGTAGTCAACAGTGATGTCATACACTCAATACTGTAGTCAACAGTGATGTCTACACCTAATGCTGTAGTCAACAGTGATGTCTTCACTCAATGTTGTAGTCAACAGTGATGTCATATACTCAATGCTGTAGTCAACAGTGATGTCTACACTCAATGCTGTAGTCAACAGTGATGCCATACACTCAATGATGTAGTCACCAGTGATGCCATACACTCAATGCTGTAGTTAGCAGTGATGCCTTCACTCAATGCTGTAGTCAACAGTGATGTCTACACTCAATTCTGTAGTCAACAGTGATGCCATACACTTAATGCTGTAGTAAACAGTGATGTCTACACTCAATGCTGTAGTCAAAAGTGATGCCATACACTCAATGCTGTAGTCAACAGTGATGCCATCCACTCAATGATGTAGTCACCAGTGATGCCATACACTCAATGCTGTAGTTCGCAGTGATGCCTTCACGCAATGCTGTAGTCAACAGGGATGTCTACACTCAATGTTGTAGTCAACAGTGATGTCTACACTCAATGCTGTTGTCAACAGTGATGTCTACACTCAATGCTGTAGTCAAAAGTGATGCCATACACTCAATGCTGTAGTCAACAGTGATGCCATCCACTCAATGATGTAGTCACCAGTGATGCCATACACTCAATGCTGTAGTTACCAGTAATGCCTTCACGCAATGCTGTAGTCAACAGTGATGTCTACACTCAATGTTGAAGTCAACAGTGATGTCTACACTCAATGATGTAGTCAACCGTGATGTCTACACTCAATGCAGTAGTCAACAGTGATGTCTACACTCAATGCTGTTGTCAACAGTGATGTCTACACTCAATGCTGTAGTCAAAAGTGATGCCATACACTCAATGCTGTAGTCAACAGTGATTCCATACACTCAATGATGTAGTCAACAGTGATGTCTACACTCAATGTTGAAGTCAACAGTGATGTCTACACTCAATGATGTAGTCAACAGTGATGTCTCCACTCAATGCTGTAGTCAACAGTGATGTCTACACCTAATGCTGTAGTCAACAGTGATGTCTACACCCAATACTGTAGTCAACAGTGATGTCTACACTCAATGCTGTAGCCAACAGTGATGTCTACACTCAATGCTGTAGTCAACAGTGATGTCTACACTCAATGATGTAGTCAACAGTGATGTCATACACTCAATACTGTAGTCAACAGTGATGCCATACACTTAATGCTGTAGTCAACAGTGATGTCTACACTCAATGCTGTAGTCAACACTGTTTACTACATCATTGAGTGTGGGCATCACTGTTGACTTCAGTATTGAGTGTAGACATGACTGTTGACTACAGCGTTAAGTGTAGACATCCCTGTTTACTACATCATTGAGTTTATGGCATCACTGTTCACTACATCATTGAGTTTATGGCATCACTGTTGACTAAAGTATTGAGTGTATGCCATCACTGTTGTGTACAGCATTGAGTGTAAACATCACTCTTGACTACAGCATTGAGTGTAGTCAACAGTGATGTCTACACTCAATGCTGTAGTCAACAGTGATGTTTACGCTCAATGCTGTAGTCAACAGTGATGTCCACACTCAATGATGTAGTAAACAGTGATGTCTACACTCAATGCTGTAGTCAACAGTGATGTCTACACTAAATGCTGTAGTCAACAGTGATGCCATACACTTAATGCTGTAGTCAACAGTGATGCCATACACTCAATGCTGTAGTCAACAGTGATGTCTTCACTCAATGATGTAGTCAACAGTGATGTCTACACTCAATGCTGTAGTCAACAGTGATGTCTACACTCAATGCTGTAGTCAACAGTGATGTCTACACTAAATGCTGTAGTCAATAGTGATGCCATACACTCAATGCTGTAGTCAACAGTGATGCCATACACTCAATGCTGTAGTCAACAGTGATGTCTACACTCAATGAAGTTGAATCGGTACTGAACCTTAATTTGTAACTGAAAAAATAATCATAATCAGTATAAAGATTTTTGAATAATTTTGTTCACAGCCTTATGCATTATTCTGTCTTTTGCATTTCCCATGATACATTGTCATATACCCGTGTTTCTTGTTTCACCATCTACAATTTTCCTGTTCATGTTTAAGAGTAGTATTTAAGTGTATCGTATCACTGCGTTTAACTAAGGACGCAACGCATGTTATGTTGCATACTAAGCTAAGAAGGGATTCCACGATTTAGTTGTAAACAGTCGTAAAGTTCAGTTTTTATGATTGAAGGAAACCATTGAATCCGCTCCATATTTAAAATGAAATGCAATACTTACTAGAATAGTGATCGCACGTGCTCTCGTGCAGGACAGATCCGTCCCCGATGTGGCGTTTGCTGAGTCGACAGTTGTTATCGGTGTCGCCACTACACCACTCGTAACTGTTACACACGAAGTTGACATTGTTGATACAGTACCGAGCGCAGTCCTTGACATTAGCCACGTATCCGTACGTCTGGTCTCCATGGCGCTCGATTGACTTCTGCGCCACCAATGTAAACTGAGCTGTAAAAATAAGTCTACTCATTCACTAATTTGAATACTTTTTAAAAAAATAGCTTGCAAAATGAATGTATGAAAGAAAAAATACAATAACTTACAAAATGTTTATGTTTCTATAATATCAAAACGATGAATACTTTTCTTTGCGTTATTTCAAATTTGCTGTTTTAGTCCAGTAATGGACGTACCACGGTGTCAGAGGAAAGACACATTCGCTGTTTATTGCAAAAGGTAAACCGAAATTCCAGAGTAGAACAAGAGGCTTTAATCGTTGACATGGAATTTTCTGTTTTAACTTAAAGCCTGTTGACTACTGAATACTTTAATCAAATAGTGCAAAAAATATAAACTATACCAAGGACTGAGTTCATCGGGGCAGTGATGACACTGCGGACATGAATTTATTGGTTTCTCCATACCGTCAAATTAAATACATGGTTATAGGGTAGGGATCTCAATTCATTTCAGTACCAAAGGGTGAGGCGGAACCTTTGCTATATTTCTAGTAGCATCTCTTCATGACCATTACTGAATTTGTCTGTTCAATCCTAGCAATTTGTAAACGGCTATATGTTATCATGTTATGAACGAAGGAGTAAATCGATGATGTCATTTTACTTTGCAAACTTTGTCAGATTCAATCCCAGGAACATTGAGGCCAGGATTCTAGGCCTTCCAGTTCTTTAGATAAGGATGTTTTCGACGACATTTTTGACCCCTGTGACTTTTAAAGTGGGTAAGGTCATTTTACCTTTGCAAAATGTGTTAGTCTCTAACCAGGCCGATATCTTGATTCTAGGCATTTTCAGTGTTCTGTAGATTAAGTTGTTTAAAGTTTTGGACATTTCTGACCCTGACACCTTCAGAGTTGGCCATGGTCATTTTCATTCGAAAAGTCTATAAGGCCCCAACCCGTGAAGACACCACCCAGACATCATGATTCTAGGCCTTTTGGTTTTTCAGAAAAAGTTTTTGATATATTTGAAACATTTGACCTTTTCAGAGGAAAGTACTAGTACTAGCCAAATATTTAGACTTTCAGTCTCTTGGTTCTTCAGGAAAAGTCGTTTAATGGAAATGTTGAGGACGGACGGACGCAATCAGCTATCGGGCCAAGTGAGCGCAACATTTGGCAAGTTGATGCAGAGATGAATAAACGAATTTAACATACCATATAGGACTCACCAGTGGTATTAATATCAAAGATTGACATTCCATGTCTAAAGTTTTCCGATATGAAAAACGTGACTCAACACGTGTATACTACAATGTCAATACACGATGACAACGTAGTAGATCAGGGCCCAGATGCTCAAAAGGTGATCAGGCGAATTACTGAAAACAACAGTTTTCAACCTCTGTAAATTTGGTCAATAAACAAGTTTTCTTGCATTTATTTTTACTATATTAACATATTTGCAATCTGGAAATGGTTGCATTTTGAGATACACAATAAAACACTAAACTTTAATCACTGATTAAGCTAATCACCTTTTGAACAACTGAGCCCAGATCGTTAACCGAAACGGACAAAATATACAACGTAAACACCAGACATAAACCATAGCGTTACTATACAACCATAATATAAACCATAGAGTTACTATACAACGACAACATAAACCAAAGCGTTACTATACAACGACAACATAAACCAAAGCGTTACTATAGAACGACAACATAAACCATAACGATACTATACAACGACAACATAAACCAATGAGTTACTATACAACGACAACATAACCATAAACCATAGCGTTACTATACAACCATAATATAAACCATAGAGTTACTATACAAAGACAACATAAACATAAACCATAGCGTTACTATACAACGACAATATAAACATAAACCGTAGCGTTACTATACAACGACAACATAAACATAAACCATAGCGTTACGATACAACGACAACATAAACCATAGCGTTATTATACAACGACAACATAAACATAAACCATAGCGTTATTAAACAACGACAACATAAACATAAACCATAGAGTTACTAAACAACGACAAGGTACCTCATCGTCAACAAACTGAAACAGCAAACTAAGGGAGAATCAGTGCATAGGTTGAATATTATAACACGTACAAGATGGCGGCGATCTGTCCAGCATTGTGGCCGAAACGTAAACATTGGAGTTGTCGTTCTCAAGTTGAACGTTCTGTATCCGGATGTTGGACACGTTTGCATTGAGTGCAAATATGTTGTGCGCCCCTTGTCGAATCTGTAGGTCTGTATAGGGTTTGTATGCACCTGTGGTTTTGGAGAGAAAAAAGAGAGAGAAAAACTTAAACATACTGTCGCCATTTTATTTTTTGTTTTCGTTCATTTTGATATTATTCTTTAATGTTTCGATAAGCCGCTTTATAGCAAGGAAGATTTTCTGAATTGAATATCATTATATTTCATGGAATCTTATCTTTCATAGGATAAACGTGGGGTTTTTTTGGGGTTTTTTTAAACATTGTATGACATGAATATATATATATATATATATACATACAATGTACATGGGCATCTAGAATCGCCTTTAAATAATACTGTTCAAAATGTTCGATCAAGTATCAGTATTCGTCATACATATATATTAACAAATATTAAGAAGTATGACATTGAACCGAATTTTACTTTGTACAAAGGAATCTAACCGGGAACAGGATATACCATAACTTAGACAACAGAGGTAGTTCCTACCTGGGAATCTGACCTTGAACTGGAGGCTGGCCTGGTTGGAGTAACACGCGGTGACGTCAAACACAGACATATCCGGATGACCCTTGTCAAAGTCTAGGAAGTTGTATGTTATCGTGAAGTCTGGAAGTGCCTCTCCAAACTACAATATCAATAACATTACAGTGTTTGATGCAATATTTTAGGATATATTTATATTAACAAAATATACAAATCCTACTTTTTTATACCTAGGATGCTTTTGGATTTTTCTTCATTTCCTGTTTTATTACAAAAGCAATTACATGTACATAACTCACATCCAGACCTTATATACAAATTCAAAATTGTACATAATAAACTTTTGTCGAATATCTGTTTCAGTGAGAATCGTAATGCTTCCAAAACATTAATACGTGTACAAGAACACAATCTATCTATGGACTGCTACCTATAGATTATTTGTACATCACATGTATATTCTTACCAGATAATTGTCTCTTTTTAAATTCATCCCAAACAGAGAAAATAAAAGCTATACCTACCGACACAACATTGACCAGTAGCATGTAGGGAATGTCATGAGGGTCGGTATCTCCATCGTCGGGATGTTCTGTATACACATCCTGTAATAACAACACGACATATTGTCTTAAGGGATGCTTCGGGATGATAACCATTAAAGGTTAAAGATCCATCATGATCATACTCGGTCATATCTATCTACTTTAAATTTAATTTTAAAAAATAAAAATATAATATGATGATATATACTCACCGACAGAAAGTAATATTCAAACGTAGCATTGGTTTTCTGTCCAGCATAAAGGTAGTCGGTACGGAATGTTGAGAACACATTACATACAACTCCACGGGCTTTTCTCTGTGGATATCATAGATATATCATATATAACACTCCAATTTTCTCTCTGGTAATCAAAAATATATTATCCATATCACTCGGATCTTCTCTTTGGTAATCATAAATATATCATATATAACACTCGGATCTTCTCTTTGGTAATCATAAATGTATCATATAAAACACTCGGATCTTCTCTTTGGTAATCCTAAATGTATCATATAAAACACTCGGATCTTCTCTTTGGTAATCATAAATGTATCATATAAAACACTCGGATCTTCTCTGTGGTAATCATAAATATATCATATATAACACTCAGATCTTCTCTGTGGTAATCATAAATATATCATCTATAATACTCAGAAATTTCTCTGTGGTAATCATAAATATATCATATATAACACTCGGATCCTCTCTGCGGTAATCATAAATATATCATATATAACACTCGGATCGTCTCTGTGGTAATCATAATTATATCATATATAACACTCGGATCTTCTCTGTGGTAATTATAAATGTACTACATCAAACTCCATCGACCTTTCTCTGTTGATATCAAAATTAATTTACATCAATCACCAAAAGCATAACCCTGGGCTTTTTGGTTATTTAGAACGATTTGTTTAAAGGTTTTTAATTCTTTGACCCAAATACCTTGAAAGTGGGTCAAGGTTATTATTTTGAACAAATTTGGTAGCACTTTATATTCAAGCATGCCAATTGCGAAATATCATCACCCTGTGATAATTGGTAATTATTATTATTTGGGCCAAGTGAGCTAAAAGAAAACAATAATGGAACATATTAATATATCAACCAGTGAAATCGTGTAGGACAGACAGGTTCATTTAAAAAAAATGAAGATTACAAAAACTTACCATACCAACATAGGTATATGAATTATCCAGATAGAAGAGCTGCATCGGATTTTTCATGTGTACTACATAACTATTATTTGCAGAAAACGAACCCTGGGCTTCAAAAGAGTCAAAGGATGTGTTGCCAATTGGTAGGATTGTACAGTTTCCGGTCACCTGATCCCGGATGTACCTGAGGCCTGTATAAATGATGATGCAAAGATAAAAGACACTTTTGTGGTGTTATTTAATAGATTTATGGTATGAGATGGAAAATGGTAACGACTGTTATCATCATCGTCGTTCTAATTTTACTTCTTCATACATAATGTGTGGATACTTTTGTAATACATCGTAAGTCGTCGGCTAGTTATATTTTTGTTTTATTTTTTGTCAATATATAGTTGTAATGAGGTTCAATAACTAGTACGGTACGTACACTGTCACCTTCCTCAGACAAAATTTAAGAACGATTTGTCTGATAAAGATAACAGAGTACGTATACACACCGAGCTAGTTAGCATTAGTCACAAATAAGCACATGCGTGGTTGTGTTATGTGACTTTTTCTACATACCTGTTGGATGTGGGTTACCATCAAAGAGAGAAATAATTGTTGCGTACCTAGATCATGCTCTGTTAAATCTACAACATTTGCTTTACAAGCACACCGTCCACAAATGTTACTTCATGCTACAAAAGCATACGGAAGCTTTATATTTGTGTAAACACTAATAACTTTTTTACCCTCTTTATAAAGAAAAAATGAATTTTAAATGAGTGTTAATATGAAACGTGAGGGAAATAAACGTTGTGTTTACAGGATCTGGCCTGATCTTCATGTGTTGCTGTTGTGTACTTGTATGCATAATAAAGGTATATGATGTTGTTTCAGGGGTGTCACTCTACGTACCCGTGTTGAAATCATGGACTTCTGACAGTGGGTTCAAGGTATAGGTAGGCGGTATCGGGCTCAAATTTTTATAGTCATAACGAACTAATTTGTAATCATCGTCATACCACACCTAGTGAGTAACAAAGAAAAAATACACATATTATGTTTAATAGCTTAAAAGAAAAAGTTTAAAATAATCGCCATATCACACCTGGTGAGTAACGAAGACAAAATACACAACTTATGTTTAATAGTTAAGGCGAAAGAGTTTATAATCATCGTCATATCACACCTGGTGAGTAACAAAGACAAAATACACAACTTATGTTTAATAGTTAAGGAGAACAAGTTTATAAATATCGTCATACCACACCTGGTGAATAACAAAGACAAAATACACAACTTATGTTTAATAGTTAAGGAGAACAAGTTTATAAATATCGTCATACCACACCTGGTGATTAACAAAGACAAAATACACAACTTATGTTTAATAGTTAAGGAAAACAAGTTTATAAGCATCGCCATATCACACCTGGTGATTAACAAAGAAAAAATACACAACTTATGTTTAATAGCTGAAAAGAAAGGTTTAAAATCATCGCCATATCACACCTGGTGAGTAACGAAGACAAAATACACAACTTATGTTTAATAGTTAAGGCGAAAGAGTTTATAATAATCTTCATATCACACCTGGTGAGTAACGAAGACAAAATAAAGAACTTATGTTTAATATTTAAGGAAAACAAGTTTATAAGCATCGTCATACCAAAACTGGTGAATAACAAAGACAAAATACACAACTTATGCTAAATAGTTAAGGAGAACAAGTTTATAAATATCGTCATACCACACCTGGTGATTAACAAAGAAAAAATACACAACTTATGTTTAATAGTTAAGGAGAACGAGTTTCTAATCATCGTCATACCACACCTGGTGATTAACGAAGCAAAAAACACATATTATGTTTTATAGCTGAAGAGAAAGGTTTAAAATCATCGCCATATCACACCTGGTGAGTAACGAAGACAAAATAAAGAACTTATGTTTAATAGTAAAGAAAAACAAGTTTATAAGCATCGTCATACCACACCTGGTGAATAACAAAGACAAAATACACAACTTATGTTTCATAGTTAAGGAGAACAAGTTTATAAATATCGTCATACCACACCTGGTGATTAACAAAGACAAAATACACAACTTATGTTTAATAGTTAAGGAGAAAGAGTTTAAAATCATCGCCATATCACACCTGGTGAGTAACGAAGACAAAATAAAGAACTTATGTTTAATAGTTAAGAAAAACAAGTTTATAAGCATCGTCATACCATACCTGGTGAATAACAAAACCAAAATACACAACTCATGTTTAATAGTTAAGGAGAACAAGTTTATAAATATCGTCATACCACTCCTGGTGATTAACGAAGCAAAAATACATATCTTATGTTTAATAGATGAAGAGAAAAGTTTAAAATCATCACCATACCACACCTGGTGAGAAACGAAGACAAAATAAAGAACTTATGTTTAATAGTTAAGAAAAACAAGTTTATAAGCATCGTCATAGCATACCTGGTGAATAACAAAACCAAAATACACAACTCATGTTTAATAGTTAAGGAGAACGAGTTTCTAATCATCGTCATACCACACCTGGTGATTAACGAAGCAAAAATACATATCTTATGTTTAATAGCTGAAGAGAAAAGTTTAAAATCATCGCCATACCACACCTGGTGAGTAACGAAGACAAAATAAAGAACTTCTGTTTAATAGTTAAGGAGAAAGAGTTTATAAATATCGTCATACCACACCTGGTTATAAACAAAGAAAACTACACAATTTATGTCCTTGTAGTTAAGGTGAAAGGGTTAATAAGTATCGTCATTCTATGGATTAGAATCAAAGGTAACGCGAAAATATATTGTACCAGGGGTTTATCCTGAATTCAAACAAAAAAGAATGAATGAACTAATATACTGACAAGAACATTTGAACATATTACGCACCAGACAAGAAATAAACTTTCATTAAGCGTGAAATCCTTAAAAAACAATTGCTTCTAATATTTTTTTTCGAATATCGTTTGTAAATCGCATAATACGATCATAATTGAAGGCCGCCAATAGTGCTTAAAAATAAGACAATGTCCAAATGTTACAAACCCAAAACGAATCGTTCTACTCTACTACTTTGTGTTTGTTGTAAATCTTGAACACACCATACTTCTCTAAAATTATAAACTAGATTAAAAAAAGGTTTTGCACCTTATTCAGTGTGGGTTTAGAAGAAAAAAAACCAGACCTGTGAATCCCAGCTTGCTTATTTAATTTACAAATGACAAATATTTAAAACTTAATAACTAGTAACAGATGCGTTTGATTGCAATATAAGGTATATATCAACCTCTGTTTATTATAAATCATAGTAGGTAAAACGAAACCAATGATATAGAGTTTCTTCACATAACGGACTCAAACTTTTCAATCTATTTAGATAAAATGGATCCAAGAGAGAGGAAGTAGAACCATTTAGTTTAGGTAGGCCCCCAACCCAACCACTAGGTAGTACTCAATATCTGTCAGCTCATCAACTTTCCTCCTCCTATCTGTGATTATAGGTCCGGTCTGATAAACCCTTGTAGGTTCCCAATATTCCAATATCTGTCAGTTCAATAAACCGATTTATTCTCATATTTCTCGTGTAACAATTCAAAATGCATAATCTATTGAAAAAGATAAGTATGAGGAAGATCTAGATCTGAAATTTCCAAAAAAGTAAACACAAACCATTTCTACACTACATCTGATGTGCATATCTTACATTTACTGGTATAACAATGTACAATCCAAACTGAAAAATCTAAACTTATTCTGATTCATTTGTTTTCGCCTTATAGCGGGTACATTTTTAGGAATAGCGTATTTTAATTTTTGTTCACCAAATATAGAGTGCCTTTTATCACATTTGGAAATACGCTTTATTGTTATTCTGTAATAAATTTTATAAATTTATTCCAAAAAGAGTGATGTTTGGTTATGATTAATTTTCAAATTGTATAACGAAACAGAAACCTACTTACGAGAATTAAATAAACATGATAATCAACCATCACAAAATTGGAGATCTTTTCTCTCCCAACACGTTCATATATTATATCTAGAAAGTCCTATTTTCTCTTTGGAATACAATACTCTTGTTTCCGACCGGGGAAACAATTGCCAAGAACCATGTCGTCGCATTGGAGTATGACGTCACAATGGAGTATGACGTCACAATGGAGTATGACGTCACAAATCACTGTTACTTGACGCGATAATTAGATAACTGGTCAATGAAATAACGTCCAGGGTGTTAACCACTAGCGGGTAACCAAAACTACTTACCAACTCCTAGCAGGTTTATCCAACGACTCGGGAGTGAGGAAACCCATTGGTTTTTTATGGGAGAACTAAGTATCCTTACTCCGATCATTCTCGTGAAACATTTCACATCACAACATTAAGGTGCGGTGCTTTCAAATGCTTTGACGTTTGGAACATTTTATAGTTTTACGAGAGCGCTTTGCGCCGATCCTTTTCATATCAAAGGTTCATTATATCATTTTACAAACGTTTCCGAAGTATTTTGTGATATGAAAAGATGTCTAAATAACGCGTACTCTCACAATCAACTCGTTCCAAAGAATACCCTGTTTTGAAACGGGGAATCATGTAAAGAGAACTGCTTACGTCTGTTGAGACGATGCTATCCTGTACGGAGGTGATGATCTCAGAACGGTAGTGGTACTTGGTAGATAGTTGAGGAATGGGTTTCGTGCTCACTCGCCCAAAACAAATGACGCCGGGCGGGGTCTGTAAAAGACAAGAGTTCTTTCAACGAATGTTTCTTAACAATTTGTTTTCTGTCACAGATTGTTAAAGACTCACAATCAAAATGGTTTCGTTAAAGAAATACACGATTTTTATAAAGGTGTTGTTCAATCATTCGTATCTTATATTAAAATTCGTTCTAAATATTACGGAAATAGCAATATGTGTATCAAAATACATAACATCGTCGAATATCTGTCTTATTGTTGAAATAAAATATCACTCGCAAGTGTTCGTAACAAAATTGCAACATGAAGTTGTTTTGAATACCGACATACTTTCTTATGCATTCACTTACACGAGTTTTGATTGATTTATGCAAGTAAATATTTAAAAATGATATTGTTCCATACCTCATTGTGAATGTATGAACATTTTGATTTGTTCAGTATTAACTTTCTCGAGGGAAACGTTGTCGATACGTACCTCAAATATGACATCGTCTTCCATGATCTCAGGACGGAAGTCAAAATATTCGTACGTGTGGTTAAACTGGACCGCCTGACCAGTAGATAGTGTCTGAATACCGGCAGTTACAGCTCTGACGGGGATTTGAGGAAATGCTACAGGATCACTCCATGTCGACGCTGTCCATAGGCAAAAAAAGTTGAAGAAACAAGCAACACCAAACATTGTATATGTATTTAGATAAAACTATTTGAATCAGATATACAAAAGCTGTTGTCAACTTCAGTTATTTATTTACAAGAAGGAATGTGACAGTCATATCAAGGCCTGGTGGTAACATTCAACATGTGGAACGTACTCTCAATAAGTTGGTTAAACAGCTCATGTTTACTGTTATTTCATGGTTGGTGTTTTATAAAACATACACCAATGTCATATTTAATTACCATATATCAACAAACACGGAAATAAAACGGGTAAAGAAAGGGAAAAAAAGCGGCGGGGACAAGTCAATGCATTAGTCAGGTAAAGAATGGAAAAGCAATGCGCAAAAAAGTGGGTTTAATTTTTTTTAATTTAACAGCTGTTAAATTGATTGTATATGCACACACAAGATACAGCTATACTTTATTTAATGACAAAAAAGTTACCTGTAAAGTAGTAATCTAGAACGAAGGTGGAGTTAAGTTTCGGCCACTGAAGACATGTCTGCCAGTGGTCAGTTGTTATACCCCGCACCATGGCTTGACCCTTGTATACCTGTCAAAACAAACCCGCAAAAAGTTAGATATGATATCACATTGACCATGATACACAGAACCTAACCACTGTATTGGTCTACGTATACATACCCACAAATCTACCACATACCCACAAATCTACCACATACCCACAAATCTACCACGTAGCCACAAATCTACCACATACCCACAAATCTGCCACATAGCCATAGTGTTACCATATCTACCACATACCCTCGAATCTACTGACATGGACATACTATAGATACCCCCACCCACACCCTTCCCCACCCCCACACGCACATACAGATTAGCCCCTCATCCCTCAAAAACACTTGATAAGCCCCCCCCCCCTTCCTTCATACTTGATTAAACCTCATACGCATACTCGTAATAACACTTAATTAGCCCTCCAAAGCACACTCAAGAAACACTTGATTAGCCCTCCTACGCACAAGGCAAAGGCACAAAGCATTTGATTATACCTCATACGCAAGCTCACGGATCAACTGGACTTGCCTTTATACCCATAACGTCCTTCTAATCTACTAGGTTGCTTAAATGGTGACTATGTTCGGTAAAATATATGCATCTGACCGCTGGATTGAAAAACATGCAAGGCGGCCTTTGTGGTGTCTATGTATGCATACCCACCTGACCGCTTGATTTAAGGAAATGTAACGCTGCATTCGTCGTCACTATGTGCGGTATTCCTTTAATCATATCATCTCCAAACAGCATGGTATTGATGTCTGACGACAGATTGCCAATCTGGCATTTATTATCTGAAACCAAGTGTTTCTTAAAGTTTAAAAAGAAACAGAAGAACAAGCTTGGTAATGTAAAAAGATTTCAGTGGAAGGTAACAAACACATTTTATTAATTTTATTAATTATTTATTTGTTGTTTTCTTATTTAAAAATAAAAACAATGAATAAATCTATCACCATGATAAATAGAAGAATGTAATTTTGACAACGATGGCAGCTCAAGCTTTATCTCCAGAAAGCCACTTCCTGTTTGATTTGTTGATATATAAAACTATATTAAACTTAACATTTGTTTGCAAAGACTCTTGATGATTTGGGTATATATCTATACTTTGTCGATATCTCATTTAAAGATACTTTGTAGTATTGATTTCAGCAGTCATAGTATGTAGGTGACAGTTTCCGTAGTGATATTAACAGGTATAGTTTTCCTACCAAATATGAAGGTTAATGTTTTTGATTATCTCATGAATATGCCTTGTTGTCGCTGCCTGCGTCCTCGGTGTGAGGACGTAATATTACTTGGATTTGACCTAGATTTAAATGGCGGGTTTCATCGATAAAGAAGAAGACGCTTATCCTTTTGGAACACCTGGTCGCATTCTCCTTTATTTTCTCAGTGGTCACCATTCATATTTTAACCTAGTTTTATCGATTTAAGGTAGGAATTATGGTTTTGTGTTCCATTTTTCATCAAAACATGAGGTCCTGTGTTAACAATACATGACTTAATCAAGGCTTTTTTCTCTTCATAGTTTGTTACAATATTACTAGAATATACATTTAACAAAGAACATCTTATAATTGGAGGAGTCAAACAAATGAATTATTTATAAGTTTGACATAACAAAATAGCTCACTGTTTTCGAAGAAAAAAATCCGAAAAGCTTAACAAATACCTTTAACGTAGAAAAGCTGATTGTTTGCGTAGTCAAACAGAAGTGTAGTGATATCCCCGTCTCGAATGAGTTTCACTGTAGCTCTTTTATCTAAAGTACTGAAATACTCCTCAGCCGTCACCGTGAATCCCTTGTCTTGGATGTTAGCCTCTACACGTGTTTGAAATTCTGAGGGCAACGTTGGTAATTGGGGATCTGCAATAACATGATATGGTATCGTAACTGGTGTTTTCTATCTTAAAACACTTTGTGAAGAAATATTTTAATTTAATAATAAAAAAAAAACATTTTAATTATTTAAGCAAATCAAAATTCATAGATTACCTCCCTTTACCATGTCGATCAACGTAGACGACTTACTGACAAATCATTCATTTCGAGAGATTTAAGTTGATGAAGACATTAGCTCATACTTTTGTCTTGTTTGTTGCCACCCTTCAGGTTCTAACTTTGAGGACGTGACATAACTTGGATCGGTGTGGTCGTTGAAGCAAAGACACTGACTCTTTCGGAACACCTGGTCTTATACTCTTTGTACTTTTCTGGGGTATTCATGTAAACCTCGTATATCGTTCATTACTTAACATTGAACATGGACAATCTGAGTCAGCGCTTTTTATAAAAATAAAATATTATATGGATTATCCTCATAGACATGAAAGAAACCAAACGTTTCAAAAGATCTGGTCGTAGATTTTTTTATCTTATCTATTTGTTTGACGCTTCAGTCATGCCAGAGTATTATACCGTTACGAAAAGATAAATTATAGGCAGGACTTGCGGTAGTTCCTCTTCTAAAAACATATTTTACCAGAGGTTTTGAATCCCTGAATTCCAAAACAAACTATGTCTATTGTTTTGAGGGTGTTCTCCGTTGTTTGATAAGTGAAACTGAAACTTAGACGACATTATAGCTTCTTGGTACTGCAGTCCAGGAAGCAGTATACGAACTGGTTCGCTCCTCAAAAGAGGCGTAAACACAGACATGCACAGGGGTAATGTAGAGAAACCATTTCAGTATTTGCTTCCTCTCTGAACTCCAAACCATACATACTATTAATATCAGGGATAAAATGCGATATTAAAGAACATACCAGTACCACAATATGAGCACTAAGTGTTGGAGATTGTAATTCATATAAACACAAATATGTCAACGAAAAGATAATTTCATGGAATTTCTTCTTATTACATCGGTTAGCAGTATATGTTACCTGTATTATGAATATTCTTAGATTTAAACGTGAGCTGTAATAAAGGTAGATTTTAAGGAAACTCACCATTTGGTCCTGGAGTGACGTTTGGGGTTGGAAAACATTGAGATGTAACATGCCGCATCATACCACAGAAACATATCAACACTAGGACCTGTAAAAGGAAAATTATAACATACACATTTATTACAGAATTACCTTCATCAACATAGAACCTGTCTTTTGCGACAGCGTAAATTAACGCCGAATAATTGCATTGTTCTTTTTCATCCTTGAGAGAGAGCTTGTTTTTGATTCTACGTTTGTTCTGATTCTTGGGTTTGAAAAACTTAGCTAATTTTTAAACCTCTTAATTTCCAAAAATGTTATTTGATTTCTTAACTTGCTAAATTCCAAGGGTCAACTGAAAGACTTGATTCTAGTTGTCATTTTTATTGTGTTGATTATTGGCACTGACCAACTCTGCAGATGAACTGTATATACGATGTTAATACTCAGAATTACAGCTGACAATATACTTGTATCTTTTGATTAAACGTCTTCGTCAACAACACGGCTGTTTCTTCATCTTGAGAAATATAAATTTCCATTGATACTTATTTCTGTTCACTTTCAAAGATCGAGTCCCAGCGCTGTAGTTAATAAAATGCTATTTGTTATAGTGTTTCCAAAATTATATTGTTGAATCGTATCCAAAAGTACATGATAGAAACGTTTTCAAATTTTTATGACTGAAAGATATTTTAAGCATATTGTTGAAACGTGTCCAAAATTATATTCCTAAATATTTTCCAAAAGGATATTGTTCAATTATTTCAAAACACATATTGGTGAAATTTTCCAAAGGACTTTTTTGAACCACTTAATGTAATGACAAATAAGTTAGAATAATGAAACATCAGATAGTAAACAGAAATATAATCATACTCGAAAATACTTCAAATATAAGGTATCCAAATTAGCATCCAGCTGATTAATGATTGAACATCTACCATAATTATTTAGGCTATCTACAAAATTACACAGCCTTGTAAACATGAACCCCACAACGATAAAAATAGCATTGTTTTACGGACATGACTTTTATCTAATGATCGTATAAAATGTAGCTTCCCCACAAAAACACTCGACATTAATTACTTAAAATGTAACCATCACAAAAAGTTAGGATTCCCACATAAATATATAAAAATAAAGACATGCCCACCAACAAGGCTTTCAGCCCATTTGTTGGCCCTAATGACCTATCATGTGTTTGATGGGTCGTTAAGCATTGATAATAATAATATTAGCCAGTTATGCCCCTATTGTCAATTGCCTTCAACATTTGTAAATGTGTTTATATATATATATATCAGGTTTTGAATAGATAAAAGACGTGTTGTGTAAACATTGGATGGTTATTGACACACCATCACATAGATAACTTAGAACAATCACCTTCATGTTTCATGTTTACATAGTCGGGATTGAATATGGTGCATGACTATTAGTTGAAAAATTATGATGATTCTTAACATGTACATACAGAAAAGATAAGCAATTACCAATGTAATTCTTAACGTAACATCATTTAATTTGTACATGCCACACGAACACATATATACAATGGTTACTTAATCTAAAGGATAACCGGAATTGTATTCCCTGCATTATAGAAAATAACCGTTCACTGCTGGCTGGGATACAGGGATAGCGCTGCTAGTGATTGTTGGGTTCGGGATTAACCAGTCTACTAGTGGCTGGGATACAGGGATATCACCGTTAGTGGTTGCTGGGTACATGATTAACTGATCACTGGTGGCTAGATTACAGGGACTACCGGATAAGTGGCTTATTTATTTACTAATCATGTTATAACTGCTTGTTTCCATCGATGTACAACGACAGAAATAACGTTTCGGTATAATTGCAGACCATACAGGTATTAATTGGGTTGTTAAAAATGGGAAAAAAAACAGAAACATTAATTGGTCTATTATAATAAAAGAGATCTTTTATATATTGCACAATAAACAATCATTATGAACAGTTATATGTAATGCTAATTATTTTTGTGACACTACGCATTATACTTTGTTTAGTTAGATATGTCTCCGGATAGTTATTACGTATAACACTTTGTAGAGTTATATGTGATACAATTTACACCAATCACGATTGTTATCGCATACAGCGTTCACACATCGTGTAACATTGTGCGATCCGACAACTGTAGTTAATTATGTTTATTTTTATACTTCTATATGACACTATATATAGTTATGATGTATTACATTTTTTATCGTTTTATTACAAACTAACACACGAATTATGTACAGTAATAACAATACTGTTATTTACACAGTTTTAACTTCGGCACTCTCTTACATTATAACGTGTTATCACTGTAGAACTTTGATGAAAATACTTGATTCTTACTTGTGAAATGCATTAGAATAATTAAACATAAAAATAGAACAAATGCGTTAAATCATCTGGTGATATGATAGGCCATGTTTGATACCATAAAAGTATGTCATGTTTAAAAACGTCATCATTTCTCTACAGACCGTGTTATATATCATGTAAGTAACTACGTATTCTACTAAATTCGGGTCATTCGATTAGAAGTTTTCAATGTAGAATGTTTTACAAACCTTCATGATTCAGCTGATATCCTGTGTGATACCGATGTCCACTAAGCACCATTGGTGTGCGGACTTGAACCCCTGTGTGTCTCTAGAGATAAACCGCTATCAGGGTAACAGAGACCTTAATCAGATCTGTACCTGTGCGTATATGTCCTCATATTATCTACTTTATCGACATAACGGGAGAGTTCATGTGTATCTGTTGTCATATGTAATACCCGTATACATATGTAAACATACATGTATAAACGTACACATACAGCTACACGTACACACAGATACACGCATATAAACAACCCATTTGTCTATCAATAATTTGATATAGAATTAAAACTACTATATTCTTGATATAGTATTGGGACATTTACATGTTAAACAAAAAACTCACTAAAATCAAAAACAATAACAGACCCAAACATAGCAATATTTTCCCTTAATTACCTAGTGCAGGGTGACAGGTTTGGCGCTTGCCCTGCAGAAACATGTGATATCGCCTTCTCTGCAGGAACACGTGATTTCGTTTACTCTACAGGAACACGTGCTTTCGCTTACTCTACAGAAACACGTGATTTCGCTTACTCTACAGGAACACGTGGTTTCGCTTACTTTACAGGAACATGTGATTTCGTTTACTATACAGGGACACGTGATTTCGCTTACTATACAGGGACACGTGATTTCGCTAACTATACAGGAACACGTGATTTCGCTAACTATACAGGGACACGTGATTTCGTTTACTCCGCAGGAACACGTGATTTTGCTTGTCCTTCAGAGACACACGATTTCACCTTCGTTGTTTACAGGAGCCAATCATGACCTGTTTTGTTTTGTGTTACTTCCTGTTGGTGTCTACTTACTATCGACCGTGAATTCGAATTTAATCTTAATTATTGCCGCAATGCTATATTTATATGCATTCTATGTTCACTATATATTGAAGTATTGATCTAATGACAGCGGTAAAACAGAAAAAGAAATATGGCAAAGTGTGATGATTTCAGAATCCATTCAAACGGACAAAAGTTGCTCTCAAAAGGCAAATAAATTCTTAAGGCGTGTGTATAATTTTGGAGACTGAATTTATATCTGTTTCTATTTCTGTGCTTACTTTTGACATTCCGTTTTCTCTTTTGTTTCACTGATTTGTACTGTTAACACATCTCAATTTTAATAAAAAAAAAAAAAAATATGTTGTCCTTTGAACGAGCAATACCGTGTTGTTGTGATGATCCGTTAGAATAAACACAAAGCAAATTCAAGAGAAACGTTTTATCTCAAAATAAAGCTTCTTCAAATATCTTACATAATCTTATACATGTATATACAATAGTCACCAAAAGAAGGATTAAACGTCTTAGAATATTATCTCTGTGAGGTTTAAAGAGTTATCGTTCGTCACGCAGTAATATCTCACGTATCCACCCTTAGTATACCTTAACACAAATATGAACCATCTTGAGTGTGACAGAAAACATATATAAGAGACATTATATAAGGTAACTATAGAGACAATATTTGGTATATATTTTGCTTTATCTTTGTCATATTTTCCTTTTATTGTTCTTTCTTTGGGAAACTTATATAAAACAGGCTGTTTGGTATAATGTATATCCCTCGCTTACTCGACGACATTTTTGTAGCTGTGGTTCATTGATGTGATTTGGTGCAGACATACTTAGCGCAGGACTTACCAATATGTTGTCCATACTAAAATATGGATCTGCATACTAACTTTGATGGAAAACTTTCTATTTTCCAAATGATGATTTGAAAATATTAAAAACATATATGTATACCCACATTATTAATCACAACATCAAATCGTTATGACAATAATATTTTCAAATAATATCAAAAATATGTTAAGTGTTTGTAATATTGCTATTCAACAGTTTTGAAGGATGCGAGATTATATGACAATGTACGTTCTGTGGATAAACGATTGTTTTAAAATAAAATAAAAATACCATATAATACAAAGTAAACTATAGTAATTGTGATCTGAAACGAATATTTTGCACTTGGCCTCCTCTGAAGCGATGACAATTGCGTCCACTTCACAATGATGTGACGTCACATTGATTGTTCCTATTCGGTTGTGACGTCATTTCCGGAGTGATATACAACACGTTACATAAACATATTTTATGTGATGACCTTATGACACTGCTTAACATGGTCTTCATTTAATATATTTTGTTTCCTTTATTCTTTATTAATAAGAGCAAGGAGCTGAAATGAACGAGAGAGAATTATTCATCTTTATATGTTATAATTAAATATCACAGATAAATATATTTATATATATTATATACCATCTGAACAGAAATATAAGAGACAAAATTATGCTTATATCATTTAAGTTCTCTTAAGATATTTGTTTAACATAAATACCTATGATAGATTAAAATATGCATATAATCAATATAAAACAGAATTATGTATTAAAAGCACAGCATAATCTTTGACAATATCGGCAGTGTCAAAACTTTGTACTTTAAAAATAAAAAAATACTATATATAAATATAAACCACATAACATATTTAAGTCGATATTATTTAATTTATTCTAATCCTAAATATTTCACAGAAAATAAAGAAATATTTGCATTACTATTGGCAAATAACTTGCTAAACATTCGTTGCTTTCTTTTACAGCTGACAAAGTATTACGGCATCATATATTCATAAGAATTCAAGATAAAGTGCTAATTATAGACATATCCTTGAAGCTGGACAAACACCTTCGGAATGTCATCAATTAAATCAACAAAAGTTCTAGATTTGCATTGAATTAAAATCTAAGGGCACTTGTTCACATCTAAAAGCTTGCATGTGTATGTAATCTTTCGCTTTTAAATGTGTCTTTGTCACCCTCAGTTGCTATCATAGTCAAGTGTGATTCTCTGGACGGACAGGTGTACATATAAACGGTTCTACATCAGTCCTCTAACCTCAGACAGCCACTGCATCAAAGCTATGCTCAACAATTGTTTGTTAACAGGATGATAAGCGTAGGATAGGTCAAAAATGAATATAGCAGTTGCACATTACTTTGACTTCTCAATAATTGCAAAAAGAAATGGTTATGTTAGTGACTTGACTGTCCAAACTGTTAACAGCGCTCCTATTATTCGCGTATCGATCCGTTGCTTGGCATGTTCCATTTCAGATATGTATATGTAAGCATATATACACGTGTGTGCACATCCGCGCTAGTTTGCTCCACGCTTTATCAACAAAAACAGCGGACATGTGTTGAACACATTTGAATCACATGTAATAGGTGACAGGTTTACAAAGAATGATGTATGTCTCTGTATTTCACATGTTCACGATATATGTCTTATGTTTTTCGTTTTCCATCCACTGAGGATCCTCCACGTTAAGAGAGTTGTCAAGGTCGGGAGCTTCAGAGAAGTGCTCCTTGTCATAACCCTCAACGCGCTCCGGGTTCTGGTTCAACGTCTTCGACATCTTATGACTGCAACAGAAACGGAGCAAATGTAAATACCGTGCTTCATTCCATTTCAATTAAATCTATATTATAGGCACTTGTCCAAGAAACTCATTTTGAAATATAAATAAGGAAAGTAAGTTAGCCATATATAATTTAACCCATTTATATATGTTCACATCTTAAAGCAAAACGTGATTTTGGCTAACAGAGCGGCCAATGGTATTCATAAATCCAACAAAGGGAGACAACTATGGCAGACAGTACATTGGAAAGAGATAACATGAAATGATCGTATCCCAAGAACATTTACAATGATTAAGACAATTGGTAGAAAATCTGTGCAAAATTTAACATCAGTGCATTTTAATATACACAATATAGTGTATATATTGCCTAAATAAAGCATGGTGAACGTTTCACTAGATAACATTACAGACATGTCCAAATAATAAAATCTGATTATGAGTGTAAATCTTACCGATGACGTTTAATAATTGCTGTTAATATAGCCATAACTAGTAAAAACCCTACAACGCCGGACGCCACCGCAACAGGAATAAGCCAGGATGGTTTCTGAAATAATGTCAGACAAAATGATGAAAATCGTCTTATCCTGTCTTTAAGTTGTCAATGTATTCTCGTATGAGTTAACCAATATCTACGCCAAGATAACTCTATCATCATTGTTCACACCATCAGTGAAAGATTCATTAAATAACGTATATCTTCTTCTTCTTTCAGTAAGAGACGAATCACTAAGGATGGAGCGATTACTATTCTTAGGTACAATATAAGCAAAATGATATGAACCTCAACGCAAATACGTATCAATATGATCCGCATGATAGGTGAATAGCTGTTTTATTTCATATGTATTTTTATTATGTACAAATCATCTGTATCTAGACAGAGCAGAACGAAAGTTATTACCTCATCTGTATCTTTGGCAGCTGTTGTCCTGGTTAACGGATGCTCTTCCACAGTTGTACCCGGAAGAACAGCTTCCATGCGCGTCTTTATGTCTGCAAGACTCGGTATGTCAAGGTCATTCTCATCGACAGGAGTCCCGTGGATGAAAGGAGAAACGAAGTACACAACCTTTGTTGCTTTATCACTGTAATATAGACGACAGGTACCGGATATATATATCAGCACAATATAAGGACGACATTTACTGGGAAACCTCTCAGTTATACTTAGCCAACATTTACCAGGATTATATCAGCACAATATAAGGACAACATTTACTGGTGAACTTTAGTTATACTTAGCCAACATTTACCAGAATTATATCAGCACGATATAAGGACGACATTTACTGGGAAACTTCACAGTAATACTTAACCAACATTTACCAGGATAATATCAGCACAATATAAGGACAAAATTTACTGGGAAACTGCAAAGTAACACTTCGCCAACATTTACCAGTATTATATCAGCACAATATAAGGACGACATTTACTGGGAAACTTCACAGTAATACTTAGCCAACATTTACCAGGAATTTTTCAGCACAATATAAGGACGACATTTACTGGGAAACTTCACAGTAACACTAAGCCAACATTTGCCAGGATTATTATAAAGAGGCAATGATGACATTTAATGGGAAAATTTAACTGTAAAATAACAGCTACCACAGATTTCAATTAAACAGTCGGAGAGTTATTTTGCACCTTGTCAAGAATGGCAAAAATAGAGCATCAGACAAAAAGGATATCTGTTTTTTTTGTAAACGAAGACCTTAAAACCTTACAGTTACTTCTTTTAAGAGACGTGCATTTTAGTTTTAGGAACTGAAAAAAATCGGAACATAAAACTCTAAAGATACAAAACTAAGTTAAATGGACAATGGCAAAACAGATGATAGTTCTTCCAGGAGTATGGCTTCTATAATGATGGTCACGTAACAATGTAGGTCTTCAGTATAACAAGTCCTACATAATATAAGAATGTCGTACCCTGCTTTTGATTTGTAACCCGCCAGCATTTCCTTCACATGGCCAGATATAACTAGTGACAATCCTGAAACATTGTATAAATATAATAGCACATAAAAAAATCATTAGAAATACAATATGAAGAAACTTAACAAATAACATATTGGAAAATTAGTTTTGAAAGGGAAAAATTTAAATTGAACTTGTGAACGCACTTTTAAGCTGAAGTTTTGACATTTTCATCAATAAGAGGATGTTTGAACTATTACTTCATAAAAGTAGATCTAATGAAAACATTCCATAAAATAAGTGAATATCAAGTAAGTGTACACAAAAAAGTGTTTAAATAACCGCGATCTAATCATTGTATTTGTTTAAATTTTAAACAAGGAAGGTTCTGGATTCTGACCTGGATTTTTCGACTCCCAGACAGAAGAGATAGCTTGTTCTATCGCCTGATGGTCGTCTGTGCCTATGTTACCAACAACACCGATATCTCGATGCTGGTAAACCTGACATAAACAGACTCGGAGAGACGCTTGTCCCAGGAGCGTTATCATACTGGCTTTGGCTGGTTCCTGCACAGCCACCTCCGCGGAGTCACCATTGGCAACCGATACTTTGTAGTCGATCATGGTTACAATGTTCCTGGTCACATGGAATAAAGGATAAGGTAATTGATACTATCGTGAATATATATATATGATTACCTTTGTGAATTAACTATATATTAGATGTAAATCCACGGTATGAACTGTTACAAAGAAAACAAAAAGTAACATCTTTATCAAAATATCTAGGTCATATACCATGTTTTAAACCACACCAGTTTTCTCTTGAATTATATAATGCCAAGAGATTTTGATAAACCAACACAAGACCATCATATTTTAGTATCAAATTATTAAATGATAATATATATATCAATCCTACACTTTTGCAAATTCTAGGAAAGAGCAAATTTCGTTTCAACCAATGCGAGAACGTATGAGGCTTCAGTACTAATCTTGCCTATCTAAATAAACAGGAAATTGTGTTTAAACAACGCCAAAGAATGCGAGAGTGATTTGTAATAAAAAAAATCTCCAGTTCATACTTCTACGTCACTCTTAGCACACCTGCAGTTCAGGGACATGTCACGTGCTATGTATAACGGAAAACATATATAAATGGGCGTCAGAGAATATTTAATGTAGCACTACTTCAAATAGACTGTGACGACCACTGATATAATTGATCTGGCGTTCTATACAGCATGAAATATAATATTATTTAAGAAAATATCAAGAACAAAATTTTGAAATACCGTTTAAAAAATATTTCTTCGATATGCAAACTTTTATTTGATACACTGCTAAGTACGTAAAAAGGAATTATTTATTTATTTATTTATTTATTTAATTTATTGATCATATACAAGAAAAACGTTCATCATTTAACATACATTTGTATGGAACATACCCTTGGATGGAATAATAATTCGAACTCCATGCTACAATGTTTAGCTGCATACTATTGGCGTTTATATCTGAAACGAAATAAATCGTATAACATACATAAATGATTCAGACTCTTGTAAATGTAGATCGAATAACTGTAGCGATATTTATGAACTAGAGAATGTGCACAGAAGATTACAAGACCATTGGGTGCAATGATGAAGTGTGCTAAAACGAAAAGATAGTTTCAACTAAAGGCGGAAGATTAAAAAAAACACGGAACAATGACATCGGAAAGAGAATGACCACTCTCATAAGGTGTGCCAGAAAACGTGTGTCTACCTTATCGCTAGATACAACATTTAAAATTAGCTTGTAACCTTTTATCCGAAAACAACAATAAAATGGAAAACGCTAAGCGTGTCCATCAAAGCACAGAAAGGAAGAATTTGATATTTAACATGTACCTTATTATCGGTAAAGGAAAACATATTCATCCCGGTATTAATGAAGGAGAAATGCTGTATCGTATGCATAAATACAGTAAAACCTCGTTATACTGCCAACATTAATCTAGAAGAAAGAAGAAATGCTGTATCATATGCATAAATACAGCAAAACCTCATTATATTGCGAGCATTAATCTAGAGGACATTTGGCGTTATCAAGGGGTTTGCAAATGGAATTATTGAAATATATAAAGGAATAAAAGGGACAATGATATATGTTGGCGGTATGTGAGGTGGCAGATTAAACGAGGGGCATTATATCGAGGTTTTACTGTAAGTTCTTATCATTTAACCCAAAGGTTCGATAAAATTACCATGATATGCAATATTTGATTGTGATTACGTACGTTTATTAGCATCCGCCCAAGCCTGCTGAAGTTTCTGCTTGACCTCTGACATACGTCGCTGGGGAATGTTATCCTCTAACACAATTCTGTACAGCCTCTCCACCCGTAGTGTGTTTAGGGTATGTCTGACGTTACCCAGTCCTCGAGAGATGTTGTCCAATCGTCCTCCGATGTCGGGATGAGGCCACGTGCTGTATCGGTCAGAGGGGTCCAAAGGATGGGTATACCATAATCGTGTTACCAGGTCCCTGTGTTACACAAATCGCATAAATAACACTAATACAAGGTCCCTGTGTTGCATACATCACATAAATAATGAAATCTCCAGGGCCCTGTGTTACAAACATCACAAAATAATAATATCTCAAAGTCCCTGTGTTACATACATCACATTACATACAATGGCAGCACACTGTTACAAAGACACTAATACAGTTAGTTTCTATGTGATATTACTAATGATATAATAACCTTGAAGCAATGAAGCGATTTTATTTATTTACTTATTTATTTGATACAGGTATGAAAATAATTATATTGTTTATAAATCGATTTTGTAATCGTTCGCCATGATAAGCATGTAGTTAAAAATCTTTCGAAAAGAAAATGGGTTTTTTATATTAATGTATGAAAACAATTGAAAAATTATAATTCAGTGTTACAAACGAAAAATAATGTTGGTTTCATTACACTTTTGTTATTTTGGGCCAGTTTCTTTTAGGACTGAAGTTGTTAATCACAATATATAATATGTACAATAAATATAAACCTGTAGCTATTTTCATTTTGTTAGTCATGTTAAGGTTTTATACACAGTTACTTTTGACTAACCAAGAAGTGTATACTTGTTCTTTTTATGCGTTGAATTACGTACCCATTATTAGTTTGAAAATATTGTTTTTCCGCAAACATCAGTTGGTTAGCTGTGGAAAGAAATATCAATGATTATAAAAGTTGTGTAATGAAATAACCTTATTATAATATATCGTGATATATACCACTGTTCTCTAGTTAGTGTCTTCCACAGAGCTTTCGCTAATTTTTCGTTAAACAATTAAATAAAGGAAAAAAATTAATTACATTGAAAGTCGGGACATGAATAAAGTGTAAATTGCCAATTGACCGTTACAACAAAAGATTCATATATAACATATATTCAGTATAGTTTTATGTAACGGGATTGGTATTTATTAATGGGGATATATTTCAGTGACACATTGTTGAACTTCGTACCATTTTGAGAAGTTTTCCATGCGTCTTTGATCACCCGGTAGACGGCGTCCCTGTCTCGGAGTAAGATCCGACCGGACACGTCGACGTAGAACTGTCTCTCCAGGAAACACGTCACACAGGCTGTTGTAAACACCGCCCTCGTATCCGGTATATGTCGCAGTTCAATGTTCAGTAGACTGCCGTTTGATAGGACGGGGAAGTACACGGATGATTGTAAATCCGTGCTGCACAGACATATAAATAAAGACATTAGCGATAACATCATCTTACATTTAATTAGTTTACCTTCTTAGTTATCCTGACATTAAATTTATTCTCCATACTCAGATATTTCAAGGAATATCTGTTTATCCGCAATTTCTATATACAATGTACCTGCACTGATATCTCCTTATTTAGAAATATTTACATTGAACGAATTCTCGTTACTCATATATTACATGATTTTTTTCCGTGATGAAATATTACTACATGTATATACGTTTCATTCTCCTTACTCAGAAATGACTACATTTAATTCAGTTTCTGTATTTTGATATGCCTACCTACCTAAATCCGGGCCAACCAGAGTGATTAAAATAACTTCATTAAATTTGCTTCATAATTATTTTCCAACGAGAAAAGATACAGCTTACTCGGTCTGCGTTGAGTTCAATGTCTTAACTCAGATATGTCTAGTCTACAGTTAACTTTTATTAGATATACACATTGCAGCATGAACCATGGTCAGCTAGGTTGTATGGTGGTTGTTAAAGTTCACGGCTTATCAATAATAAGGAAATGAGACCATACAATGTTACCACGTTAACACATACTACATTAAAAAGTATCAATCGCTTTCTTTGTCAAGGCGTCTGTACAAAACGCATCGGTATTCGGACCAAACTCGAGAAAGCCGCGTGTTTGACAAATTAAGAATCCTCCTCTCTGGCCGTGACAACCTATCTTATCCGAACAGGTGATACCTTTTATAAGTTCCATCTAGGGTTGCAACAAGGGTGTTCCCCGTTTATAACATTGTATATCGTCATGTCAAAAATACTTTGCCGTAATTTTAACAATTCCTACCAAAAGGTAAGATAAAAAAGAACACGCCATTTAGGATTAACACAAACCCTAACCCCTGGTTAGATTAGTCCAATTGACGCATCTCAGCCTTCAGAAAAAAAGGTTGTGAAGACGCCAAATACTCGTTAAGTCTTCCACATCGAGCTGAGATGCCCTATCACACCCCAATGGGGTCATTGAGTAATTGGGTATACATTATAATTTGTACTGAGTCTTTGATGGGCATGGCTACCGACCAGACATGGCCTAATTCCTCGAGACGCACGGTTGCTAACCTGACAGCAAAAGTGACATACTTATGTATTCCTTAGTGACAAAGATCTTTCCCATAAAGGATAAAGGCGTATCTACCGATTCATTATGAAGCAATGATAGCTAGAAAAGGGCGATAATCTTTACTTACCGGTTTCCGGAGAAGCAAGGCTCTCGACCAGACATGACAATATCCACATTTGCACTGCTTACTTTCCTCGGCGTTTGTTTATTCGCTATAAACATATAAGTATATTGAATTCAGTTATATGTGTAAAGAACATTCAGGGTAAAATACATTATTCTCGGATATGATTGTAGATAGCTTGAATATGTCCATTTCAGTAAGCAAATGTAAATGGATTTTGTTTTGTAAAAGCATAAAATGTAGAATTTAAGATGATATTCTTTCTTATAAGAAATAAATCTGTAACAAATGTTTTTGTGGTGTTTAGCTGCATACACCTAACTCAACGACGTGTATTAATTGGGTTAAAAGGTATCTATATACGGTTACTGAAACAATACTGGGTATTTGTTACAGAGACCTCCTCTTTAATATTTATATTAGAAACGTAATTATTGTTGTACCGAGCCCTAGTTGATAAGTTTTTCACTAATAGTAAAGATATGAAGTACTTAAAAAATACTAGCAAACATTGACAATTAAAAAGCTAGAAGCAACATTCCAACCTGTATGAGTTTAACATGTTAGCAGTGATTGTAACCTGAAAGGGTATGCCTTTTTGAAACACCATAAATCTAGATGGTGTCGTAAAACTTATCATTGTAGGAACTCATTAAAAGCAGTTGAAATCACTTACATTTTGAGAAATCCGTCCATACTTTAGCCAGTGGACTGACGAGTGATGTTACCGGTGACGTCATATCAATGACGGGAAGTCGGATCCCCTCTGTATACCCGTACAGTGCATGCCCAGAGTATATACTATTGACCACAGGCACCTTGTTAAATTCCAGCTCAAAAGCAGATGTGGTCGGGGAGGGTGATATCCGGGGATCCAATAGTTGAAATCGTGACGTCACAAAATACTTCAGCTTTGTCACGTGTGTCCTGAAATGAGATTTCCCTATTTCGGTGAGATTATGATTTTTTTAGTAATATATAAGGAGGAATATCCTTTTTATATAAGAATGACAGGCATGTTGTTAAAATCACTCGTCATTGTGCAATACATCTCAATTGACAATCCTTTTATAAATCATTTTGACAAATGTCGAAATATCAATACACCATATGACATTCAACAAAATGCAACTTACCCATAATCCCCTACAAAATAATCTCTTAAGACAATGAGGGCTTTTATGTCCGGTATTTCTGCAATAGAAATCAATTCTTTACGTTATATGTGTGTGTGTCATTCTTACATTCTTATCACAATGTAATAAGATTGTTACTATAACGTCTGAAACATGCTTTCGTTTGTGGTTATATTGTATCAAAATATAAAAAGAAAATGATGGGGAGGGGTTGTAATATGCCTACGTAATAAATCGTACAGTGTTTTTTCAAAATAGTATGAGACATTCATGGTGCTCATTCTTAATGTTTAAGAAAACACATCAAACGAAAAAAGATGTAAGACGGGTAACTCTTACAGATATCACGGGATGATATGGAAGATATATATCAAAATAATATAAACGGTAGATAACTCTGTATGGCATAAACAATATGTAAGATCACGTTTATTACAAGAATAAACTGATATATAGACTTACGGGGATAAGTGGTAATCCAAGTGTTCACGATTTTCCTGTTGATGGCGTCCTCGTTCTGATTACAAACGTAGCCAATCAGGTTAAGACTATAGCTCTTGGCCAGGTCCTTTAGTTGGCTCACCTGCTGTCCCGATATGTGATTACCACTACTCCGGAAAGGCGGTGTTCTTCCTAGTAAACCGTTCAACATCGACACAATGTTTGGGTCCAGTGTCTTACCATGGATACACTCTGAGGCAATATCAACGCTGGTGACTTGTTCCCTGCATTATACCAAGTATATCAAAATTAACACCCACGACTAACTGTATATACGGACAATGCATAACGGATTGACATACTGGCAAATCATTGCCAGGTAAGAGAGAAACTGTCCAAGCCCGACAAAGTATTAACTATTCTCATGTAGTGCTTTTTAAGTTAGTTTTAACAAATACCTGTCTGAAAATATTTCAATTATTCTCGCTTGAATAATTTCATAATGCATAAAAACTAGAATGCTCTTGGTAAATTACCAGTATAAAGCGTACCTAATGTCGTTGATTAAATGATGAAAGTCGACAATTTTGGCTCCTTTCGTACAATTCAGATCTGCAATGATGACACATATATATATATAAATAGGATAAAAAAAAATCCATTTGAAGTAGGTAAGTATAGAACAAATAACATCGAACGACTGCCTACAAAACTAGCTGCTTTCACCCTTCAAATGGCTCTGCATGAAACAAACATGAAGAGCAATAATGTGTAGGATGAGTGTACATGAAGCTAGTTTTTGTAGTCGGTCGTCAGATCTGATTTTGTTTTCTTAATACATACTTGCTAAATATCATGTTCATTTTTTTATGTTATGCTTACTTTAGCTTCATACGTTTATTGATTAATAATGCGTCTGCAAAATTTGAAATTAGCAATAAGAACTGTTCATCAGATCTATAAGGTTCATAAAGACAGCTCATTAAAATTAAATTTCAAAAATGCACAATTCTCTAATTATTTTTTTTTCAAAATTCATCCATCAATTTATTTAACATGCGTAAATTATTCCAACTTCCAGACACTCACTTTTCAGCACATCATTCAATAACTTCTCCAGTTTAGAAATGTCCTTGTCCTTTATTTTCCCGTTCACAAGGAGATTGTGTGTCACGAGTGGCTTTGCAGTCGTGGTTGGTCTGTCTGTCGTGGTAGCCGTGGTGGTGGTTGGTTTAGTGGTAGTTGTACTTGTGGTTGGTTTTACAGTGGTTGTTGGCCTCGGCGTTGTAGGCGCAGTTGTTGACCTCGTTGTTGAAGTAGACTGTGTGGTTGGTTGGCTTGTGCTCGTTGGTTTTGACGTAGTTGTTGTTGGTTTGCTGGTAGTCGTTGATTTTGCTGTAGATTGTGATGTAGATGGTTTGGGATTTGTTGGTGCCTTACTCCTGTCTGTTGGGGAAGACGATGGTGTGGAGAACGTAGAAGGATGTGTTGTGATTTTATTTTCACAATTTATGCCCCCATAACCTTGACGACATTGACAGGAATACCCATCCTCCATGTTCGTACAGATTCCGTTGTTTTTACATGGCATCTTGTCGCAGAAGATTTTTACCCTTTCACAATATTTCCCTGTATATTTTGGCAGACAACAACAAGTTCCATTGAAACACGTTCCGTCATTTTTACAGCGGACGTTCGGACACTCTGGATCGCATGATTTGGACACGTTACGGACAGTACAATTATCCCCACTCCAGCCTCCGTGACAGTCCCTTTCACCTGTTGTAGGGTTGCACTCGTAATGGCCGCCTCCACATGTGTTCTGGGGGATACACGTGACGTTACAATTATTACCGTATTTGTGCGGTTGACATCCCGGAGATTGGTTTTGTACTGGATTAACTTGTTTACTGTAGCAAGACCCATTGTAATAACAGTTCGGACACATTGGCATTCCTGTGCTGTTTGTCGTACCCGTACCTCTCACGTCACAGTTCGTCCCAGTGTAGCCCTTGTCACACTCACAATAGTATGTGTTAGGGACGTTAGGTTCTATACACCTACCATGAATGCAAGGGTTGGTCTCACACTCCAGAATGTCTATCTCACATAAATCTCCGGTAAATCCTGGCACACATTCACACACGCCAGACACACATTTACCAAAATTCTGACAATTACTGTTGGAACAAGTTAATACCCTTGAACTTAAATTCGTTGCAATAGATCTGCGAATGACCGAAGCCATAACTGGGTCCAAGTTTTTCTCATGATACATATATCGAGAACAGTTGTTTGGAGGTAGACAATAATTGGAGCAGTCTTCACCGTAGAAATTAGGCTCGCAATTGATAGCTATAGCGGCTCTCATACTAAAACAAATAACGAAAAACAAACTAATGACACAGTCAGCGAAAAACAATTCTTCTTATCATCGAAGTGTAAATTATCAAACGAAAATTGGCTGAAACTAGTACAGTCAGCACAATAAGGAATATATGGGTATAAACGGATCAAATAGACACGACGTATTGTAGTGGAGGACGCTAATTCAGAAACACAGTTTTATAATCAGAACTACATTTAGAAGTAAAAAGCATACTATGTAGTGTTACAAAGGATGAGATTTGAGTGGAACTACATTTCGTAAAAGAAGGCATAATTCATTATGTTACATGTGTAGAAGAAGGCATAATTTATTATGGTGCATGGCGATATACAAGTGGAACTATATTTTGTAGAAGAAGGCATAATTTATTATGTTACATGGACGAAATACAAGAGGAACTTAATTTTGTAGAAGAAGACTTCATTCATGAAAGGTTTCTTTGTTAGATCTGCTATTTTGTTTTATGATTATAAACAGACATTTTTTTATGTTTATCACGAACACCTTACAGCATTATAATTGAAATAATTTTCCAAATATACATAAAAATGTACGGTATGCTGTAAACGTATCTTTTTTTAAATAACCTGTACTTATAGTTTGTTATTTCCCTTTCTTAATTACCTGCACTTGAATTTGTTTCTCTGACATTTGCCAGACACAATTCTAATATCACCAACAGAAACGGGGATGACTGGAACGTCCATCAGAATGTCTTCCTCCTCTGTATCAGTTATCAAATGTATGTGAACCACCATCCTAGTCTGAAAAAACGTGCGTTATTTATAAACATTAAAATTTTAAACGATTCGGAGTATAAGTCTTAAAATAAGAGCACGGGAAATAGGCAATCAAAATCAAAGCACATTACCAAAACATTAGGAGGAGTTCTATTTAACCTATCATACCAACCTCTATGTTTGCCAGGCTAATATGAGTGACATCCTTCTCCTGACCCCGACTGTCAAGTGGGTACGCTTGTGAACACATCTGCCTGGGAAAATGACAACATTTCAATTTGTGTCTCAAAAACCATTGTACAAACGATACGAATGCTTAGGGTGTAAAACACTAAAGTTGACTGGAGACATTTTGACGGGGTTTTTTATGTTACAGAACACTTTATTTTATCTCAGACGCCGCACACATTTACTGGTCGGGGATACGGAATTATGTGTATTTACGTTAATTGGGTCTTTTTGTGGGACGACATGGTACGGAAGATAAAACTATATATGTTGAATATAAATTGCTAAAATTGTCAGCAAAACTCTTAATGTAAGTAACACTATTAAAATCTTAATATCTTAAGAATATATCTGGGATCTAGGGTTTGAACAGTTTATTGCGAAGAGAAACATATTCAAACAAAAGATAAAATGTGTAACAGTTATCGAAGGTCAAAACAGCTGTATGATGCACTTTAACTCATGTACGATTACCTGTGTGTGTGCTCCGTTCACCTAACCATACATTTACTCTCTATAGCAAATATCAGTAACGTTAATCAGTGAATAAGGCACAACCATCAAAGAGGTATCCGAAATATTGTTATGTAACGTTATTAGAATTTACTATTGTCGGGGCTTACATAAAATACAAGTTTGAGTATAAATAAGTCTTCAAAGATAATATGCAATCGTAACGCTATAATGGTTTAATAAACACCTTTCCTTTTTTCTGTAATCTACATATGTATCAAAACACTTTAGATGTATTTTAGTTTGTTCTGTCCTTTAGTACCACTGCTGTGTCTTATATGGAAGAAATGAATATATGATACAGTACAAATGTTTCCTTTGTTTGGTTTTTGTATCTCCAATATATTCGTTTTCAAATATGAGCTTCATCTCTTGTAATTCTAGTGCGTATTTGCCTCACTAGAGCGGTAAAGTGACACCAGTATTGATTTCCAACATCGTTTGTTTGTAGATACATATTTTACGTATTAAATAAACATGTCAAATGATTGTTTTAGACATTATTTTTCAACCAATGTAATTGATCGTGCTTCTGAATGTTTTATAAAATGTTGAAACTTAATTCCGTTGTATAAATGTGTATGTTGCTAACACACGGGACTGTTCCCCCGATAACGACTTGTTTCTGTCTAACCTATTGGCTTTCTGGCCTAAACACAGATTTTTGCAATTTGTTTTACCAATGTTTTCTTTTTGAAAGTTATTTCTTCCGTCGTCTTTCCGTAAAAAGCCTAACAACGCTGGATTGTGTCAAACTAGAACTGCAATATATTGGAGAAAAGCCAGTCCAGAACACTAAGTGGAAAAAACCGTATCTTATCGTAAAGCCGAAGTAAATAATAATATAAACTTTACACAGCTAGAGAATACAGCTAAATGTCATACAAAATGTGTTTGTTATTGTGCTATGAGGAAGTTTGATAAATTGCTATCAGTGTATTTACACAAACAGTTGCTTTGATAAAATATTAGATGTTTGCTATTTTAATGAGATTTGGATGGCAGGTGCTTGAGGAATGTAATTAAAACGCGCCCCATGTAAACACCTGTCTCATCTTTTATCTCTTAAAACGTTTTCGCAATGCGGATTAACTTTTGTTTATTTTGAATGTCCTTATATAGCAGAAAAATTCGACTGGGGAAGGGGTGAAATTTCATATCCGCAACGTAAAATGTAACCGAATCATAAAGAACCAGGATTTTTCTAAATAATTTGATCACGAACATACATTTTTTATTCAGGAGTAATCTAGAACGAATTGATTTCCTGGGGGATTGAATCTTTTCAGCTATTTGTAAATAGTAAAATTAAGAAAATGATTAATATGTATTGCTTCTGTGCATTATAAACTAATGTGCTTTAAAATCAAATCAATGTATCTATATGAGATTACACAAACGTATCGGCTTTATTGACTAGAAATTTAATCGCATGGTGCATGCAATGAATCGACCAATTTATAACGAAATTTAAAAAAATCAAAATAATGCTTATAGCGCTACATCAAAATTGAAGTTCCTGTTTTAATTTCAAAGACTTTGATGTATTATGAGAGAGAGAGAGAGAGAGAGAGAGAGAGAGAGAGAGAGAGAGAGAGAGAGAGAGAGAGAGGTCACGCAATCAAAATTGAATATCTATATCTATATTTATCATAAAAATAAATTACCCTCGCTCTGTTCATCGATATTTATATTTTCCTAATTATCCTTTTATCCCCTCTTTCAAGCACTTTGAAGTTACGTGTTCCGGTCTATGATATGCTTGTGTATGTTAGCATGGTAAGAAATGGCTGATGTATTGTATTACTTCATTGATGTCTTCCTTTGACATTCTGTGTTGAAAAGTTGACATACATAATTCATACCATTCTGATTAATCTCGTTCCGAACAAATGCGACTACCAGTAATACCACCATCAGCACTGCTCTAATACCTTTGTTTAAAGTTGATAACTTTGTTTATCTGTTAAACAATGACAGATTCTTGACGAAATATTTCTCTCGCTATGAACATGTCAATCCCTAAATCAACATAGGTATGGGAATTATGACTAAGTGGGCTTAGCCGTGAAACTAGAACACGTTTTATACAGTCCCAGGGTCTCAAGGTGGTCGATGTGATTATACTCACTCCCCGTGTTTGGATGTTTTAAACTGGAAAGTGTTATCATGTTTGTGTATGCTACTACCGCCAACTCTGGCTACTTAGGGTCAATGAATGGGCAAATAGTTAACTACAATTACTAGCCCCTGTAAAGGGTTATTCCAAACTGACTATCGGAGGTAAAGTAATTTGTACGATTTGAAATATAAGACCAAATAAGTTGATATAAACATTTACAAAATCCTGCACTTAATTGACTCTTATTATATACAGTAGTCCTTTCTTGCGGGGAGTAGTCCTATTTTGGGGAGAGGATAACCCACAGATGAAGAAATGTAAGGAAAAGGGAGATTTGATCATATTGTTTTTAGATAGGGAAAATCAGTGGAGGTATAATAATAGCTAATAGCATATAGGCTCAGACATGTTGCGCTCTGCTTAAACATGTTTCTGTTCATTTAAGACCACAAAAATCAAAGATTTAGCACAGGGCTTTTGTTATTGTTGAAAGTAATGGTCTCCTAACTATACAAATTAGAAATCCGAAAAATATAGCACCTGTTTGAAAACGTTGTTTTTAAATGCATAAAGCCAAATAAATAAAATTTTACTGCACAATATGAGCCTTTGGTTTAGTATAGACTCAACAACGGTACTAAAGATAAAAAGATTAAAACCAATCCATGTTTTCTCCTTATGTTTAGACGTTAGTGTTTCTAATTACAAGTAGAATACAGATAAATGGAATGATGCCTATAAACCCGTTATAGAGAACATATAGGTTAAACATAAACCTTTAACGAGTGCATGGTTTTACTCCTTTTATTGATCCTTTAACGAGTGCATGGTTTCACTCCTGTTATTAATCCTTTTAAATCAGAGTGTTGGTCACAGGTTTGCATTATGGCTGAAATGGTCAAAGGTCTGTTACGTCTGTATTGTCTTAAGTGCTGTTACAGTTGAAATCACCTAAAGTCTGTTACGGTTGAAATATCCTAAAGTCTGTTACGGTTGAAATCAACTAAAGTCTGTTACGGTTGAAATCACCTAAAGTCTGTTACGGTTGAAATCACCTAAAGTCAGTTACGGTTGAAATATCCTAAAGTCTGCTACGGTTGAAATCACCTAAAGTCTGTTACAGTTGAAATCGACTAAAGTCTGTTACGGTTGAAATCACCTAAAGTCTGTTACGGTTGAAATCACCTAAAGTCTGTTACGGTTGAAATCACCTAAAGTCTGTTACGGTTGAAATCACCTAAAGTCTGTTACGGTTGAAATCACCTAAAGTCTGTTACGGTTGAAATCACCTAAAGTCTGTTACGGTTGAAATCACCTAAAGTCTGTTACGGTTGAAATCACCTAAAGTCTGTTACGGTTGAAATCACCTAAAGTCTGTTACGGTTGAAATCACCTAAAGTCTGTTACGGTTGAAATCACCTAAAGTCTGTTACGGTTGAAATCACCTAAAGTCTGTTACGGTTGAAATCACCTAAAGTCTGTTACGGTTGAAATCACCTAAAGTCTGTTACGGTTGAAATCACCTAAAGTCTGTTACGGTTGAAATCACCTAAAGTCTGTTACGGTTGAAATATCCTAAAGTCTGCTACGGTTGAAATCACCTAAATTCTGTTACGGTTGAAATCTCCTAAAGTCTGTTACGGTTGAAATCACCTAAAGTCTGTTACGGTTGAAATCACCTAAAGTCTGTTACGGTTGAAATCACCTAAAGTCTGTTACGGTTGAAATCACCTAAAGTCTGTTACGGTTGAAATCACCTAAAGTCTGTTACGGTTGAAATCACCTAAAGTCTGTTACGGTTGAAATCACCTAAAGTCTGTTACGGTTGAAATCACCTAAAGTCTGTTACGGTTGAAATCACCTAAAGTCTGTTACGGTTGAAATCACCTAAAGTCTGTTACGGTTGAAATATCCTAAAGTCTGTTACGGCTAAAATATCCGAAAGTCTGTTACGGTTGAAATATCTTAAAGTCTGTTACGGTTGAAATCACCTAAAGTCTGTTACGGTTGAAATATCCTAAAGTCTGTTACGGTTGAAATGTCTTAATGTTTAATGGCTACATTTGAGGGGTTAATTTAAAGAATCATATGAATACCTTGAATCTTACCATGTTTTATTTTAAACATCAATTAAACTTATAAATGTCGTATTCAATTTCGTAGTTGGGGCGGGAAGGAAACACGTCTCAGGTAATACTAAATGATCATGTTATAACGCATGGAATAACTAGATAAATTGTCGGAATTCCAAGACATAAATTGGATGTATAAAAATATGCCCACCTTTCGTTAGATTCTACACAGAACTTTAGACGGTACGGACAAACAGACAGACATCCAGGTGAGTTAACAGGTTCCTGTCCACAACAGGCAGGAATCAGTCCGAGGTCGGAGGTCAATGAGAACTCCTCCAGTCGAAACTGGATGTCAGCAGCTGCACTCGTCTAGAGTAAGTTAAAATAAATATAGTACCATTAACGCGGTTAGGAAGGAGAAATGTATACGAAATGTAAGTACACAAGAACAAAATCGGATACGTGCAGACAACAGCAGGAACAGAGGGTCATCAAAACAAAAGGAAATGCTATAACAGGATCCGAGGGGATATCAAAACAATGGACAGAACAACCACAAGATTAAGGGAAAACCAAAGACAGCAACTTAAAAAAGGGGCTTTATCACAAGAACAAGGAAGGTAACTACATATAAGGTGAGGACACCAAAACAAAAGGGAAGACAACATCATTAACCGAAATGTCAAAAGGAACCCCTTAAATCTGTAGGCGAAATAAGCATTTTAGCGAACAAAAAGGAATTATACTTATGATATTTTAAACAATGACCCCTTATGACGTATTAGATTACGATATAGAATATCCAGGTAAGCGTAAATTTCCGGTTGATATTCATTATACATTATAATCTGTATAACTCGAACCCTATATAACAATGTTACCTTTATAATTAAACCTCTTTTCACGTACACTTACCTGTAAATGAACTTATTTATACAAAAACATTTGAAATAAGATATTAGTTTCGGAGCTGTTTGGTATCGACAAGTTTCACAGATCAAGTGTTAGAAGAGCAATTCATGAGAAAGAGAAACTTGCTGCTCCTTCGTTTAATTAAATGCATGCTAATTTGATATGTTTTGCAATGGCAAATGTTGTTATGAGACTATAACAACATTTGCTGTTATAACGTCACCAATCTATTGGGACGTCATCAACTTCATTGTTGTCAACACTTGATTTAATGTCCAAAAACTGTTGGAAATAACAAAATAAAGCATAGCTACTCTTTACAAAATGTAAATATAAATAATGGATAACACACATTTCTATTGCTGAGAAACTTACGGAAAGCTCTACCAGGCTCTATTAAGTTTGTCATCAATAGCACTGTATGTTATAGGACCATAACAACATTTGCTAAAACATTCATTGCTTAAATGACAATTTTGTTTTATTAAAAAGTTATTCATAAACTCAGCATATATGTATTAATCTTTTCATTATATAAATCTTAAAATACAATTTTTTCCGGATCAACTATTGTTACGGACTCTGCTGACTTAATTTCTTAGATAAGGAAAAACAATAATAGATGAGAAACATTACACAATACTTGTTAAATATTAGTTTCTCCAAGACTAAATACTACATATAGCGCGTCATTAATGGAGTGAACAGAGATATCATACTGAGAAGAGAATATGATCCTTTTTTGGAGAGAAAATAATTAACCTTTTAGATTTACAGATGATTTTGTCCTTGCTTCCGAATACTTTTAATCATAAAATTGTTTTTCATTCTGTGAGAGAGAAAAAAAAGTGATATTAATAATAATGTCCAAATTCCACAAAAAATATCATTAACAATAAATGTTGTTTACCATATCAGAATTAGACTTACCATATGAGGATAGAAAGCTAATAAGACCTACAATTTAAAGATATCAAACCAATTAGACCTACCATATAAGGGTATAGAGCCAAAGACACAAGAACACACAATGTGGCGGCCATCCTGAGGAACAAATGTTTCTGTGTGACCAGAACCGGTCTGATATAAACAAGACCACGTGTCTACCTATATACGTCCTATAAATACCTGTATCGCACCCTGTATCACAGCTGGATTAGGAAGTGTAGCCATTGTGGACCCCTCCCGTCACCTCAGGAACGTCTCTCTCTCTCTACAGTTGTCAGGGTTCATTTTTATGTCGTCATTCATAAAATACATTATAATTATTGGTACGAACTCTTTAAAATAACATTTGGAAACTCTCAACCGAAACATTAGATATCTTTACCTATGTGTGTTTGCTGTGAATCATGTTTATTACATTGTGTTTTCGAGAGAAAAAAAAAACTTTTTTATATTTTATCTTTTAAATTTGTTTATTTTTTCACAATTTACTCTTACATTTAAATAAATGGTGATACTATTTGTTGTCACCACCTCACCCAAGTAGGAATAATCAGAAAAAAACTAACAAACTTTGTAGACAAAAACAGATTTCTAAAACTACCCGCTGTAATATCATCGATCGTAAATCGATCTATTATATCAACTGATTACGAAAAATGCAAACTCTGAATTGAGTTTCCTTGTGTATTTTCAAACTTAAATAATATTTGTTACATCATTACAAACTGTAAGGAATGCCACACTGAAAGCCAGTTGCATTCATAGAAGCTGGAAACCTCCCCGGAAATCAATGAAAATCTTCCCTTTGTTCGTATTTTGCCCTAGGTTTATCGAGTTTGAGTTAACATACCATTTTTCGTTTAACCCGGTTTTCCCTCGTTAGCTTCTCAGTAAGAGAGACGTTTACGTAAAGCAAGTCATTGGCAACTCAATAAACAGCGCGTTTAATGTAATTATTAGCCGGTGACGGCGATATAGTAAGCTAAACAATATTATGCAATTTTCATAAATGGATATTGTAGAATATAAATGTTCACCCAGTGAATACACTGTATAAATCACATATTTCGTCGTGGTTTTGCTATTTCCAAATCGTATCAATCTGATTGACAGATTAGTACCAACACCCCCCTCGAGATAATGGCGTAGTTCTGCCATTATCAGCCTTTGGGCGGCATTACGCAGGCCTTATCGGCCGGGTGGAGTATATTTCTAAATCGGCTAGTCGGTGTGAAGATGTTGACGAAGATTGTTTACTGTATATGGAAATGTCATGTTAAACCTCGGCGACACCCCTGGCATGATATTTGGAGTAGATTAAATACATCCATCGAGAGAACCAACCATATAATTATATAGTCGTTCTTCATGCTTTGTTCTTTTAAAAAAAAATATATATATATATAAATGTATATAAATGCCAACCTTTAATTCATCTCGTGCAAAGATACTATATTTAGCATGACGATGCCACGATAAACAGTTCCGTGTCTATAAATTTATGTCCTTCGAAGCTTCGTTCACATTGTTTTTATGCTGTTGGCAATAAATCCTTTATCTGTGACATTCACAGTAAACAAAAGTAAAGAATTCGAAACTTCATACATTAATAAGGTTATCCCATTCAAACCCCGAGACATTGAAAGGCGTTCGAGGTTACTTATCTGAAAAAACTTTACTGACCAAATATCATTAACTATATTGCTTCCTTAGAAAAAAATATTTACAAGTTTTGAAAATGTTGAACCCTTGGAATCAACTCGATGGCTCTTTTTGATAAACGGGTTTCTATAGCACATCCAGTACGGTGAATACTCTGTCACTTTCAACAGACAAATGACCAGTACTTTCTTCTATGAGAACTTTTGGCTTTCATACTCTATACATTAACATATATATTATTTAAAACAGAAGGAACGTCTTCGTTCTGTAATCATGACATATTTCTTTTTCCAACAATAAAAAAGCGAAAAAAAGAGAATACCAAAGTGTCCCCAAAACAGTAATGTGAACTCATTACTGATAAAACTAGAATAACTAGACCAGGTGTTCGGGAAGGGTGAGCGTCTTCTTCTTCATCGACGACAACAATCTAGTTTAAACCCAATTAAAGTCACGTCACGTTCCCGTTCACGTTTCGCTGGTGTACTACATATTTCTATAATTGTATTCGCATACTGATCATTCCGGAGCACCTGTCACCAGCATTTAGCATCAAATCTGATATCCGAGCTTGTCTGTGCGTTGACTTTGAAGCGTCTGGTTCTTTTGATCAAATTAGTAACAATGTACGTAAATAAACACGTGTGTGTGTTAATGTAGATACGTGTAAAAAAACACTTGGTAAATTTAGAAAGAAAACAAGGAAACCCAACCCATATTATCAAGTGGTCACACCAACGTCTTGTGTATCAATGTTGATATTGAAATATAACAGGAAATGAATAGACAAAGGAAAACAAACCAAGAATTATTCAGGATTAAATATAGGAAACATAAATATAGCCCTCAGTTATCAAACTATGGATCGATCAAACGAATATAAGCCTGGATATCTTTATGCCAAACGGTGGCCAAACAAGGACTAAACCAGTGACCTCCTTCACACACCGACACGGGATCGAGGTGAGACTTGAGATCAGAGTTTTGATTAATATCCCAAACACAGTGGAGATAAGGTAATGGTTAAATGATATCCGCCATTCCACTAGGAACTCGGGTCTCCCCGGACTCGACCCTAGGACGGGGGAAGTGTAACGTCATCAGGTGCCTGGTTCTGTGAGAGAAGGCTCACCTTTGTGGTATCAGGTCAGCCACTACAAGGGACTGCTTCCCTCCCTTTGGCTTGCCATGCCGCGGTGGCTGTGAAACCTTGGTAAATTACCTGTATGTAAGGTTGACTAGGGCATGCCAACCATCGTTAGTCACTGACAGGTGTGTGTTACGGTGAGTTATTGTTTAACAACGGTTATAACAATTTCGAAATATTCAATATAAATTCAAATACAAATGACGTCAAATATGTTTAAATAGTTTTTATATTTGTTTTGTAAGTAAGGAAATATTTAGATTTCTGCTCCTGAAATACAAAAGGGCATTGCTTTCGCCACTAAAATTATCCCTGTAGTCATAATTAAAAATGTCATTGTGTTACTTAATATATTTTTACATAGCTGAAAATGATTTTTTTTTTTTTATTAATTATTACCTTCAAGCTGGTCAAAGTTTAAAATTAAATCATAAAAGAAGACAAAAAATAAGAACTGAGGAGATGACCTGATCCCTAAAAAACGTAGAGCCCATCAATCTATGGATACCACAACAGTTCAGGAATGCCACCAAAGCAACTACTACAACAGGCATGTTAAATGTACCATCAGTGTTATCAAAGGGAAAAAATCACAAACCAATATATTTTTTGTGTTGAACAAGTCAGAAATGCCCATATGTGGCATAACAATCCAATTACGTCATGTTTATTCAGTTTATATCGTCTGTAAACGTAACTGAGAAACCACAGTATAAACATATATGTTATCAGTCAACCGTTCGTAAACTTCCAGTCAATGTTACATAGTAGCCAGAAAGGTCGAGAAAAAAAGTTAATAAATATTTACATAACAAATACCGATCACATTCTCGACGTAAGTATGTTATTTCTCATATACAGCGAAAACAGCGACAACACACAACATTGACAAGGAAGTGTATGAAAAGGTAAAATAGAAAACAAAAAATATAACGACGACAACACACAATCTTCCAATGAAAGACCGCCAAAAATAGAACAAAAATAATATACAATAACGGCAATACAGGTGTCTTAAGAATAATGATATATAGCATTTGACCATCAATGCACATATCAGAGAAACTAACTTAAACGCAAAAACTTAATGTTGATGGAGATACTGAAAAGTCAATGGTCCATGAAAGGTAGGCCGCATTCAGTATTTGATCCATGGGTTGAGATGTTCTAACTAAGATGCATCTTTGGTCTAAGTTTGCTTGGTCTAGTAGTTATACTTTTAGTGAAACTAAGTTAAACGCAAAACACTTAACGTTGACGCCGCCGAAAAGCAACACCTTAGTCTCGCTTCCGCTACTTCGTGGCGGCGAGACAACAAATAGGACATTCCACAGATAGTCGAACCACCAAAACACTTTGTGGCTTAGTGATTTAAATGTTCCCTGCGCAACATGTGGAACCCATAATAAAGTATCCCACAAACTCCATGAAGACTTACCGACCATACCATACAAAATGTACTAATATTNACTTAACTAAATGAACTAAATCCTACTTCTGATCGCTGTTTACATTAAGTTTTGCGATATATTACTGTGACAATAATGATCTGTTCAAATACACACGTATCATGTATAATTTACAAAACATAATCTGGACTTGATCAGCTAATGATCAATTGGAAACACAGATGACACTGAGGATTAAATAAACTCACCACATAGTATTTATATGTCACCAGTACTAATGACTGCTGTCAAATCTAGATGAAATTTATGCCGTAATCTATCTCAGGTCCACTCAACATATCTTTAATAATATCATAATAGTTATTCAAATCCCATAGTTTAAAAATCAGCTCAGGATTGCGACTAATTATTTCCAGTGTAGATTGGTAACGCTCTGATAGAAGACCCTGGTTACGAAACGTGAAGTCAGCATGTAGAACGCATTCATCCTGGAAATCTCAGTGTTTGGAATAGGAACTTGAGTAATGAATCATATTTTATAAACAGGTAGAATACTAACTCATTCTAGCTTTTACATAGACATAGCTTTGTGGCAAAATTATAATAAAGGTTTTCCAAAAATGGTTCGTTGTCACTACCCTAGGTATGAGGTGACATTATTTGGATATGTCTTAGATTAACATCGTAATCGATCAAACAAAGGACGCTTTGCCTCCTGAACACTTTGTTTTATTCTCCTTGTCCTTTTTAAAGAATTTCCATTAAGCTTTACTTTTTGTATATTTTTTTTTATAGCTATAGTTTTAGCGATTATTAGTTCGATATTCGATTTTGTCGACACTTCGGTATTTTTTTCCTGATGCTATTTTTTAAGGTTAATATGAAATATTGTTGTACTATATATGATCAATAAATAATGCGACAAGTTTATATACTCGCCAAAAACGCATCTTCTTTGTTCCGAACAGGGATTGACTATAAACTTATAAAAGTTATAAATCTATATAATTTAAATATCTTTGTTTAATATAGTGAGTTATTAAAATCGTCAATATTTATTGTCAAAAGTCTATCAACAAGTGTCTGATACAATACTGTTTACGCGGTTATTCTGCTGGTAGTCTCTGCTGGTGCATTTCTCAGTCCCCAATGTTGGCCTGAACCTCGTCAGTCACTGTCACACTTTGAGCAGTGACATGAAACATAATATACACACTTAACTCTTTTTACGTGAAATTAATTAGTACTTAAAAGTACTTTTATAATTTTTGTGAAATGAACATCGTTGAGAAATTTTACTCATCTCCCCTTTTGTTTCAACAGTAGTTAAGACAAATTTGGATTTCCATCGTTTTGGATTCTAGCATTACCCATAAGTCCCAGCAGGTATAAAACAGCTGTATGGAACATACTGTTTCTATTTCCAAGTTTATAGGTGCACACACATGTGTGTGTTTTTTGCGTTCATATCTCAAATTTACTTAATTTTAACAATCACTTATTGCACGTTGTACAATAGTTACCTAATATAACCTATAAACTCCAGCAAGTACAATGGAGCCTGACGTCTCGACGTATGAAGGTCAAAGGTTAAGTACAAAGTATTCTAATTTACCAGGGTTTAAAAGTCCTCGCAAAAGCAAGGGACATATGGAGACAGATCTTCCAAGGGGAAGAGAGCAAAAAGGAAAGATAGAGTAGAAAAGATAAAAAAAAATCTAAGGTGTTGCAATTGGGTCAGTAAATATTTTCTTGTCTCTTCATTGTCGGAGGTCACGAATTGAATACACTGTAATCTGAGTTAAAGGTTTAACGTGTAGGAAATGAGTTCTGAACTATAGTATAGCAGAGTCGTGTGTGTGTTAAATACTTTCAAGGAATGTGTATGTAGGTTAGCTACAGACTTCGAATATTATGTTGCTATAAAAACATCGAACATAACAATGTAAAAGGATTTTGGCAATAAATTTAAGGTACACAATCTTGATGTCTTTCCTTTAATACAAACGTAATATGTAAGACGATCAGTGGTCTGATCTGTTGCGTGTCGAGTGGAGATAGGAATAGTACAGACACAGGAAGAGTAGGTGTAACACAAAACCTGGGATAGCTGAATACGAGAACATACACCAAGTCATACACGGCATGATTCCGCTATACGTCAGACCTAACACTAATGACATCATCACAGCGTTCTCCAAGTAAAATATGACGTAATAGATTAGTGACGTATGTTTGGATTCTTCCTTGTTCATGTTGATGAAGCTGTAGATCTCGACGTAGCTGAGGAAGAGGTAGAAGAAGTGCAAACAGCGTTGGTCACACACCTGATTGTTCTCCGGTTTCACGTGACATACATTTAGCACGAACATAAGCATGAGATGGCAAAAGACACCTATCAGCGTCCACCAGCCAACGAACTTTAAACACAACACTAATAAGACAAGACGGGGCCCAAGTTCACACTGTCGCATCACTAGATATACCACCCATGCAAGAAACGTCACCGACTTCCGCCCCCGTTTCAACTTCCGGTGCATCATATAGCAAGATGTCACCGAGATCGATATAGATGCCAAGGAGATCAACAAAAACAAAGCTGAAAATAGAAATAATAAGGAAAACATGTGTTACAAAGAGCATTATCCTGATAAACCTATACTTTACAAATGAATTTAGTAGACCAGCATTCAGGTTGTGATTCGTTTTCAAGAAATTGATGAATCACAACTCACTTAGTATTACATCAACAGTTTATCCCCTCCGTAGTCATAAGATACAATAAAATATTTACTTTGTATGGATTCTTGAATCGAGAAACGGATTAATCAAGTGTTTACAATCTGATTAAAATCAACAGTTACAGGGCTCCGCTTGAACATCGTTCAGGCGTAGTACGAAGTTAACGAAGCCTAACGAATGATTTTAATCAGATTGCAAGTGTTTACTGACTTTGTATTTCTTGTTATTATTCCATGTACATACCTCTTGTCTTAGTTTTAGCATCAGTTGCAAACATCAGGTACAATTGTAACTGGAAGTTTGGGGCAGTTTCCATGTATCCCTCCAACAGGCCCAAAATTGAGGCATCCCGTAATTCCACTTCCGCTTTTTCTATTCGTTTCTCATCTTTTCTCTTACTCTTCCATCCCTGATATATGTTGTAAATGTACTCAGCTAGGCTGAAATTTAAGATAGTATAGGTAACCCTTTACATATTTTTATATAATTACTGATATTAGAATTACATATATAGAGGCGGATTGGTCGAGTGGTTAACACTCCGGCCTTCCACGCAGACGGCGGCCGGGGTTCGATCCCCGAAGTCATCGTACGCATGGATATTCAGAGAAAGTGTTTTTCTCCTTCCCACACAACTCCAACAACCCAGGTGGAGTATAAATTGGTCTGGGTAGGATGTTGCGATATCTGTGCTGTAGCATTCAAGTGAGGTGGCACTATAAATGATGCCGTTGAAAGCACGGTCCCACTACAAACAGAACACATTACATCTCCAGCACACACGCAGGCATACGCACATAGGGAGTCATTTGCCAGGTGGCATAGGACTAGTAGTTAGCGCCTACTAAGGCAGCTCCTGTGAGAATTCCTCAAAACAAATTGTATTTATTAATATATATGCTAATTATATAAATTGTCTATATATGTACTGTAAAGCGATTCAGAGTGGCTTATGTTAGCTAGATAGGGCGATATATCAAATGTTGTATAGTATTGTATATCGTGATTAGAGAGGTATCGTAAGCAATCCAACACGGCAGTTTCCGAGAACACGCAACTTACCGGAAGGCGCGGCCAAAATGGAGAAACGAGGCAATAATTCTACACACTATAAGTGATTTCGCAGTATCGATTGCCCCGACAGACTGTTGTCTCCCGTCCGAATTTTGTACTGTAGGTCCGTTTTGTTGCCTTATATCTATTAAAGTCCACAACAGTGTGAAAATACCAACAATAACAGTAGTGGTAAGCATAGAGCCTAGGGTGAGACCAAAACTCAGGTGTTCACCCGACATATAGTACTCCAAGAGTAACTTCACTTCCGATCCTACCTCACCGAGGCAGAGAAAGAGGGAAACAACAGCTACCAGCAAATCAAACGCACGATCGTGATCCGTCTCAGGAACTTGTCTTAAAACTGGAAGTCCCCAGAAATTGCAGCATAGGCATTGTTTTGATCCGTTTGTGTCGTTTGATTCGTTTGTGTCGTCACATCCGGTTTGGCTGTTTGTCCCATCATTGCAGATCGGTCTAACAGGTGAGTCGAATTGGTCTGTGGCTGAGTAAGTTTCGTCACGTACTGGTTTATCCTTTCCTGCAGGTTTGTATCTGTACAGTATAGCACCATCTACTTGGTCAGCACACATTTTGTTGATAGGTTTTCTGCAACTGTTTTTCGAAATAAAACTACATTTTATTCAGGTGGGTGAATATATATTGTATACAGGTTCATTATAAAGTTCGACGCTTTGGTGACTGAAGCACGATATGTATTACAGGTTATAAAAAACGTATCTGAAAAGGAACATTGAAAAATTGTATGTGCAGTATACAAATTGTAATGAATGAGATAAAAAGAAATGAACAAAGTTACAAAAACAAAGCTTAAAGTAGTAAATATTCTTAACAAGGTAAAAAAAAAAAAAACATTCTCTTACGTTTATGCGACTTGTGCTGTGGTTTGAAGACTTTTGCAATGTCCGTAAAAATCATGAAGTGCTTGGGCATTTATATGTTCCTTAATTATGCAGAACTATTCAAGGAGTGGGTAGGTGAACAACAATTCCGAGAACCGGATTTCCAAAATGTGTTTGAAGATATATTAAAATATACCCGCTACATCATCATGTTTATGTTTACCTAGGTATGTCGGACGATTACTCAATAGACATATGCAAATTTGTTATTTACACAGGTTCTCTTCATTGAAATAGATAAGCCTTTCCTAGAATGTCGTGCTCCAGATTATGTTGTTTTGTCATGTTTGTAAAAGTGCTTGAACATATATAGGTTACCTAACAATGCGGAACTATTTAGGGAGTCCGTAAGAAAAATTCAATTCCGAGTATCGGATTTCTAAACTGTGTGTGAAGATTGCCGCTATTTTCGATGCGTCAGACAATATATAATGGTTGTGTCTCGGTCACACGTCCTAGTTTTTAACTGTTGTTAGCTTCATGTAACATACACGTATTCGTTTATTTTTTGTACCATGTATCTGACATTTTTTACAACTTTTAATTATCACTCTTGTTGGCCCGAATGTTAGCGCGCGGACGTCTTACTGTGGGAAGAAACCGGAGTAACCGTACAAAACCCACGTGTTTCGCAGTTATTTCGGAGAAACTTTGCTGCTTTTCTTGACAAAGCTGGCTTCCTCTTTTAAAAGTTCTTTCAAAACCATCCCCCCCCCCATGGGGATGGTATTCAACCTGGCCTTCAGATTCTGATTCTGATTCTGGTGCAAGATATTCTTACAGTTTGTTACTCTGTCCTGTCTTAGCATGTGATGTCCTCAAGTTCTGCAGTCACCTGCTGTGATCTATACTACTGGAACTGCTTTAACAGCCTGTATGTTTAGATGATGGTCAAACAAGATATTGGCATGTAATGTTCTGTGTGACCAAAAGAGTAATAACAAGGTAGACAAGTGCTCGAATGTATGAAAATACAGTGTAACAGTAATATGTACTTAGTGTAGGGTGTTATCATTACAAATATCTTCCTGTATTGTCACACGTACACACGTACAAAACCTATATACCGTGACTATCGCAGCGTGACGGTGTATATAGGTTTGTCGTTGAATATATATAAGGTGCAATAGGTTACGAATGAATGAGTATTTCCACGTAAACGTGTACGTTATCCATGTTATACCCAGGAAAATGGTGTGTCAGGTGTGTGTTCCTGACCTGATCTTATGGCTAACCTGGTTCACCCTGAAGATATTATTAAAAATGGTATTGTGTTTCGTTACATATACATATACATTAAGATATATTTACCCAGCTGAAAATTAATTGTTTTGTTATTAGTATTTCAGTTTAAGCTTGGCAAAATACAAAATGAAAATTGATAAAAGCAGACAAAAACAAGAACTGAGGAAACGACCAGAATACTCAAAACGTAGAGCTCATCAATTGTATTGTGTGAATACCACAACTGTTTAGGACACCAAAGCAACGAAAGTTAAATTTACCATAAGTGTTATGAAAGAAATAAAATCACAAACGAATATATGTTCAGTGCTGAACAAGTCAGACATGCCCATATATGGCATAACATTCCAATTACGTCATGTTCATTACGTTTTTATCGTCGGTAAACGTTGCTGAGAAACCGCAGTATAAACATATAATTGTTATCAGTCAACCGTTCGTAAACTTCTAGTCAATGTTACATAGTAGCCAGAAAGGTCGAGAAAAAGTTAATAAATATTTACATAACAAATACCGATCACATTCTCAACGTAAGTATGTTATTTCTCTTATATGCCACACAGCGAAAACGACAACACAACATTGACAAGGAAGTGTATAAAAGTAAAATAGTAAAAAATATATATAACGACGACAACACACAATCTTCCAATGAAAGACCGCCAAAAATAGAACAAAAATAATATACAATAACGGCAATACAGGTGTCTTAAGAATAATGACATATAGCATTGACAACAAAGAATATCGGCCGAAATGTTTACACAAAATTGAAATAGAAAATAGCATACAACAACGACACCAAATGTTTTTCAAAAGAAAGTTTGCACAAAAGCGAGATAAACAAAAGCAATCATACACAATCCCGACAAGAACGTCGAAACAAACAAGCCATTTGATTGATATGCATCACCTGTGCCCCGCTTTGACCATCAATGCACATATCAGAGAAACTAACTTAAACGCAAAAACTAAATGTTGATGGAGATGCTGAAAAGTCAATGGAACATGAAAGGTAGGTCGAATTCAGTATTTGATGCATGGGTTGAGATGTACTAACTAAGATGCATCTTTGGTCCAAGTTTGGTTGGTCTAGCACTTTTAATTTCAATGAAACTAAGCTAAGAGCAAATAACTTAATGCCAACTCTTTATTAACATTAGAATGCAATTAGTAATACAAATCTCTCAATTTGATATAACTGATAATCATGATCATTTTTATCTAAAAAAAAAAAAAATGGATGCTTAATATGCAGCACTGATCCATTTTATCTGTATATCTGACTATATTTGTTAAACTAATAGACTTGGTATGTAATCTCACTAACAGCTAAACTTTACATTGAAAGTGATGCTATTATTTATAGTGTCATCATCACTCTGCTAATAAGTATTGATACTGGTGTATATACATTTTGTACATCTGTCTTCACAACATCTCTGGTATTCGGTTGACTGGATGTAATTTATGAGTGTACGACTCTATAACCTGTTCTAACTATTTCATAGTTACATGAATATTCTAAAGTGTTTTGTTAACTAAATTTTAAGAGAATCAACTCCAATAATAGATAATAATAACTATATTTTCCTTTATGGAGCCATATCATATTCTGAAATTTGACAAAATGTTTATTTCTTGGTAACTTATCCTATATATCCAGTAGATGGATGGCCAATGTGTTTATACACAGGGCCTGTATCCCTTAGAATGTATGTAGGATGGGTTGTCAACAAATATACGTGATTTATTTAATTGGTAATATCCAAAACGTAAACAAAAAATGATTGAATAATAGTAGAAAAATGTTCATTTCACAAGCTAAATTAGATTGTTACGACAGAATATATGTAATGTTTGCAAATAAGTTTGGAAAGGACTTTAATAGGCCTAGCCTGATGTCCAATCCAATTGACATATATAAAGTCAATAAAATCTGTTGAAATTGAAATTGAACTTAATGTTGACGCCGCCTCCGCCGTCGGAAAAGCAACACCTTATTCTCGCTTCCGCTACTTCGTGGCGGCGAGACAAACATTAGGACGTCGAGACACCAAAACACTATGCAGCTTGGTGATTTAAGTGTTCCCTGCGCCACATGTGGTACCCATAATAACGACTCCAACCAATTCCATGAAGACTTACCGACCATACCATACAAAATAAACTAACATTAAAGCATGGTTGACAAAGAAACGTGTAAATCCTACTTCTGATCGCTGTTTACATTAAGTTTTGCGATATATTACAGTGACAATTATGATCTGTTCAAATACACACGTAGCAGGTATAATTTACAAAACGTAATCTTGACTTGATCCTAATGACTGCTGTCAAATCTAGATGAAATTTGAGCCATAATCTATCTCAGATCCACTCAACATATCTTTAATTATATCATAATAGTTATTCAAATCCCATAGTTTAAAAATCAGGTCAGGATTGCGACTTATTATTTCCAGTGTAGATTGGTAACGCTCTGTGTTTGGAATAGGAACTTGAGTAGAGAATCTTATGTTTTATAAGCAGGTAGAATACTAACTCATTATAGCTTTTACATAGACAAAGGTCTGTGGCAAAATTATAACACAGAGTTTCCAAAGATGTTCCGTTGTCACTACCCCAGTTATGAGGTGACATTACTTGGATATGTCTTAGATTAATATCGTCATCAATCAAACAAAGGACGATTTGCCTTTCTGAACACTTTGTTTTAATCTCCTGGTAGTTTTTCAAGAATTTCTATTCAGCCTTACTTTTGTGAATGTTTTGCCCTAGTTATAACGATTATTAGTTCGATATTAGATTTTGTCGATACTTCGGTATTTTTCCCTTGTTGCTGTTTTTTTTAAGGTTAACATGAACTATTGTTGTACTACTTACGATGATATATAATCAATAAATAAAGCAACAAGTTTATATACTCGCCAAGAACGCATCTTCTTTGATCAGGAAATGGATTGACTGTAGACATTAACATAATATTTATATCGTTGTTTAACATAGGACGTGATTAAAATCGTCAATATTCATTGTCAAAAGTCTATCAACAAGTGTCTGATACAATACTGTTTACGCGGTTATTCTGCTAGTAGTCTTTGCTGGTGCATTTCTCAGTCCCCAAGGTTGACCTGAACCTCGTCAGTCACTGTCACAATTTTGAGCAGTGACATGGTACATAATATTCACACTTTTCTCTTTTTACGTGAAATTAATTAGTACTTAAAAGTACTTATATAATTTTTGTGAAATACACGTCGTTAAGGGATCGTTAAGACACCAAGGGGAAGAGAGGAGAAAGGAAAGAGAGAGTAGAAAAGATGAAAAAAATTTGAAGTTTTGCTATGGGGGCAGTATATTTATTCTTCATTGTCGGAGGTCGCGAATTGGATACAGTTGTAATCTGGGGTAAAGGTTTCACAAGTAAGAACTATGGTATAGCAGTGTCGTGTGTGTGTTAAATACTTTCGAAGAATGCGTCAAGGTTAGCTACAGACTTTGAATGTTATGTTGCTATGAAAACACCAATGTAAAAGGGTTTTGGCATTAAATTAAATGAACACAATCTTCGTTTCTTTCATTTAATACAGCTGTAATATGTAAGACAATCAGTGGTCTGATCTGTTGCGTGTCGAGTGGAGACAGGAATAGTAGAGACACAAGAAGAATAAATGTAACGCAAAACCTGGGATAGCTGAATACGAGAACATACACCAAGTCATACATGGCATGATTCCGCTATACGTCAGACCTAACACTAATGACATCATCACAGCATTCTCCAAGTAAAATATGACGTAATAGATTAGTGACGTATGTTTGGATTTTTCCTCGTTCATGTTGATGAAGCTGTAGATCTCCACGTAGCTGAGGAAAAGGTAGAAGAAGAGCAAACAGCGTTGGTCACACATCTGATTGTTCTCCGGCTTCACGTGACATAAATTGAGCACGAACATTAGCACGAAATGGAAAAAGACACCTATCAGCGTCGTCCACCAGCCAACGAACTTAACACACAACACTAATAACACAAAGCGAGGCCCAAGTTCACACAGTCGCATCAATAGATACAACACCCATGCCCAAAACGTCACCGATTTCCGCCCGTGTTTTAATGTCCGTTGCGTCATGTAGCAAGAGGTCACCGAGATCGATATAGATGCCAAGGAGATCAACAAAAACAAATCTGAAAATGGAAATAATAAGGAAAACATGTGTTACAAAGAGCAATTTCCTGATAAACCTATACTTTATTAATGAATTTAGAAGACCAACATTCGGATTGTGATTCATTTTCAAGAAATTAATGAATCACAACTCACTTAGTATTATATCAACAGATTACCCCTTCGTAGTCATACGATACAATAAAATATTTATTTTGTATGGATTCCTGAATCGAGAAAATGGTTAATTAAGTGTTTACAATCTGATTAGAATCACCTGTTACATGGCTCCGTAGTACGAAGTTAACGAAGCCTAACGGATGATTATAATCAGATTGTAAGTGTTTACTAACTTTATATTTCTCGTTATTATTCCATGTACATACCTCTTGTCTTAGTTGTAGCATCAGTTGCAAACATCAGGTATAATTGTAACTGGAACTTAAGAGCAGTTTCCATGTATCCCTCCAACAGGCCCAAAATCGAGGCATCCCGTAATTTCACTTCCGCTTTTTCTATTCGTTTCTCATCTTTTCTATTACATTTCCATGCCTGATACATGTTGTAAATGTACTCCGCTAGACTGAAATAATAGATAGTATAAGTAACCTTTAACATATTTTCATAGAATTACTGATATTGATATTAGAATTGTATATATAGAGGCGGATTGGTCGAGTGGTTAACACTCCGGCCTTCCACGCAGGCGGCCGGGGTTTGATCCCCGAAGTCGTCGTAAGCATGGATATTCAGAGAAAGTGTTTTTCTCCTTCCCACACAACTCCAACGACCCAGGTGGAGTTTTAAATTGGTCTGGGGTGGATGTTACGATATCTGTGATGTAGCATTCAAGTGAAGTGATACTATAAATGATGCCTTGATGCACGGTCCCACTACAAAAAGAACACATTACATCTCCAGCACACACGCAGGCATACACACATAGAGAGATATTTGTCTGATAAGGCAGCTCCTGTGAGAATTCCTCAAAACACATTGAATTTATTAATATATATGCTAATTATATAAATTGTCTATCTATGTACTATAAAGCGATTCAGAGTGACTTATGTTAGCTAGATAGGGCGCTATATCAAATGTTGTATATTATTATATATCGTGATTAGAGAGGTATCGTAAGCAATCCAACACGGCAGTTTCCGACTTACCGGAAGGCGCGGCCAAACTGGAGAAACGAGGCAATAATTCTACACACTATAAGTGATTTCGCAGTATCGATTGCCCCGACAGACTGTTGTCTCCCGTCCGAATTTTCCTCTGCATGTCCATTGTGTTGCCTTATATCTATTAAAGTCCACAACAGCGTGAAAATACCAACAATAACAGTAGTGGTAAGCATAAAGCCTAGGGTGAGACCAAAACTCAGGTGTTCACCCGACATATAGTACTCATAGAGTAACTTCACTTCCGATCCTACCTCACCGAGACAGAGACAGAGCGAAACTACAGCTATCAGCAAATTAAACGCACGATCGTGATCTGTCTCAGGAACTTGTCTTAAAACTGGAAGTTCCCAAAAATTGCAGCATAGGCATTGTTTTGATCCGTCTGTGTCGTTTGATTCGTTTGTGTCGTCACATCCGGTTTGGGTGTTTGTCCCAACATTGCAGATCGGTCTTACAAGGGAGTTTAATTCGTCTAATTTGACTGTGACTGAGTCAGTGATATCAGCGGTTTCATTACATACTGGCTTATCCTTTCCTGCAAGTCTGTGTCTTGACATTATAGCACCGTCTACCTGGTCAGCACACATCTTGTTGACATGTTTCCTGCAACAGTTTTCAAAAGAACAACATTAATTCAGGTGGGTAAATAAATATTGCATACAGGTCTATTTAGCAACCCAGTAAAATTATTAAGCTGGTGGCTAAAGCACGATATGTACTACAGGGGAGACATATTGTACTAGAAGTCATGGAAGCTTCACATACATACGTTTTAAATACTAGTTTGTAACAATGTAGTACAGAGTTAGAGCCATAAATAGCGCAAACGAATCAGAGAACAGATGAAGATTGACATTCTGAAGGGAATATGTATACAAACAATGACACTTGTTCTTTGATAAACACGTAATGTATTTTATGTGATATTAAGGCTACAATTTCGTCATTGCGGACGAAGACTGTGTCATCTCGAACAAAAGGGGATAACCCTATTTATCATATGAGAACCGTGAAATGCAGTGTAATAAAGACGACGTCCCAATCGAATAGGAACAGTCAACATGCCGTCACGTCATTGCGAAGCGGACGCAGTTTTCATCGTTTCAGAGTCGGTCAAGTGCAGAATATTCAGATCACATTTATACAGTTTACTTTGTATTATATGAAAATAAGAATATGTCATTCGTTTCCCTGCATATTAGATTATGATACTCGATTTGGATTTTTCACATTTACTCGCCAGTGGCTCGCAAACATGAAAAATCCCAAACTGGTATCATAAATCTAAAGGGAAACTTATAACACCCATGCCCAAAACGTCACCGATTTCCGCCCGTGTTTTAATGTCCGTTGCGTCATGTAGCAAGAGGTCACCGAGATCGATATAGGAAGTGTAGACAACAACACTGTTAATACCCTGTAAGTGTAGACGACATCACTGTTAATACCCTGGAAGGGTAGACGACAACATTGTTACTACCCTGGAAGTGTAGATGGCAGCACTGTTAATCCCCTGGAAGTGTAGATGGCAGCACTGTTAATCCCCCGGAAGTGTAGACGACCGCACTGTTAATACCCTTCTAGTGTAGACGACAGCACTATTAATACCCTGCTAGTGTATACAACAGCACTGTTAATACTATGGAAGTGTAGACGGCGGCACTGTTAATACCCTTCTAGTGTAGACGACATCACTGTTAATACCCTTCTAGTGTAGACGACATCACTGTTAATACCCTTCTAGTGTAGACGACATCACTGTTAATACCCTTCTAGTGTAGACGACAGCACTATTAATACCCTGCTAGTGCAGACGACAGCACTGTTAGTACCCTGCTAGTGTAGGGTATAGTACATTTAACTGTTAATACCCTGTAAGTGTAGACGACATCACTGTTAATACCCTGTAAGTGTAGACGACATCACTGTTAATACCCTTCTAGTGTAGACGACAGCACTGTTAATAACCTGGAAGTGTAGACGGCAGCACTGTTAATACCCTGGAAGTGTAGACAACAGCACTGTTGATACCCTGGAAGTGTAGACGACAACACTGTTAATACACTGGAAGTGTAGACGACCGCACTGTTAATACCCTGCTAGTGTAGACGACAGCAGTGTTAGTACCCTGGAAGTGTATACGACAGCACTGTTAATCCCCTGCTAGTGTAGACGACAGCACTGTTAATACCCTTCTAGTGTAGACGACAGCACTGTTAATACCCTGGTAGTGTAGACGACAGCACTGTTAATACCCTGGAAGTGTAGACAACAGCACTGTTGATACCCTGGAAGTGTAGACGACAACACTGTTAATACACTGGGGGTGTAGACGACAGCACTGTTAATACCCTGCTAGTGTAGACGACAGCACTGTTAATACCCTGGAAGTGTAGACAACAGCACTGTTGATACCCTGGAAGTGTAGACGACAACACTGTTAATACACTGGAAGTGTAGACGACCGCACTGTTAATACCCTGCTAGTGTAGACGACAGCAGTGTTAGTACCCTGGAAGTGTATACGACAGCACTGTTACTACCCTGCTAGTGTAGACGACAGCACTGTTAATACCCTGCTAGTGCATACGACAGCACTGTTAATACCCTGCTAGTGTAGACGACAGCAGTGTTAGTACCCTGGAAGTGTATACGACAGCACTGTTAATCCCCTGCTAGTGTAGACGACAGCACTGTTAATACCATGGAAGTGTAGACGGCGGCACTGTTAATACCCTGGAAGTGTAGACAACAGCACTGTTGATACCCTGGAAGTGTAGACGACAACACTGTTAATACCCGGGAAGTGTAGACGACAACACTGTTAATACCCTGCTAGTGTAGACGACAGCACTGTTAATACCATGGAAGTGTAGACGACAGCACTGTTAATACCCTGGAAGTGTAGACAACAGCACTGTTGATACCCTGGAAGTGTAGACGACAACACTGTTAATACACTGGAAGTGTAGACGACCGCACTGTTAATACCCTGCTAGTGTAGACGACAGCAGTGTTAGTACCCTGGAAGTGTATACGACAGCACTGTTACTACCCTGCTAGTGTAGACGACAGCACTGTTAATCCCCTGGAAGTGTAGACGACAGCACTGTTAATACCATGCAAGTGTAGACGACAGCACTGTTAATACCATGGAAGTGTAGACGACAGCACTGTTAATACCCTGCTAGTGCAGACGACAGCACTGTTAATACCCTGCTAGTGTAGACGACATCACTGTTAATACCCTGGAAGTGTAGACGACAGCACTGTTAGTACCCTGCTAGTGTAGACGACAGCACTGTTAATACCCTGGAAGTGTAGACGACAACACTGTTAATACCCTGCTAGTGTAGACGACAGCAGTGTTAGTACCCTGGAAGTGTATACGACAGCACTGTTAATACCCTGCTAGTGTAGACGACAGCACTGTTAGTACCCTGCTAGTGTAGACGACATCACTGTTAATACCCTGGAAGTGTAGACGACAGCACTGTTAGTACCCTGCTAGTGTAGGGTATAGTACATTTAAACGAAACTGGCAAATGTTAAAAACAATAGATCATTGTACAAAGATTGATACATGTGACCAGGTGCAATAAGACACGAATCAATGTTCCATGTTATACCCTGGAATGCTTTTCATAGTGTATCCCGAGCTAATATTCCTGACCTATGTCTAACCTGGCTCAGCCTGAAGACATAATTACAAATGTTATTGTGTTTCTTTATATATATTTAAATAGCTGAAAATTGATTTGTTTTGTTATCAGTAATTTAGCTTTAGCTAGACAAAATTCAAAATGAAATAATAAAAGAAGACAAAACAAGATTTGTGGAGATGACCTGATCCCTCAAAACATAGAGCCCATCCATCGTTTTGTATGGATATCACAGTCGTTCAGGAATGCCACCAAAGCAACTACTACAACAGGCATGTCAAATTTATCATCAGTGTGATCAAAGAAAATAAATCACAAACAATTTTTATTTTAGTGTTGAACAAGTCAGACATGCCAATATGTGGCATAACATTCCAATTACGTCATGATCATTAAGTTTTTATCCTCTGTAAACGTTACTGAGAAACCACAGTATAAACATATAATTGTTATCAGTCACCCGTTCGTAAACTTCCAGTCAATGTTACATAGTAGCCAGAAAGGTCGAGAAAAATTTAATAAATAAATTAAATAAATACCGATCACATTTTCGACGTAAGTATGTTATTTCTCTTATATGCCACACAGCGAAAACGACAGCACACAACATTGACAAGGAAGTGTATGAAAGTAAAATAGTAAAAAATATATATAACGACGACAACACACAATCTTCCAAGAAATGTCCGCCAAAAATATGATAAAAAGTAATATACAATAACGGCAATACAGGTGTCTGAAGAATAATGCTATATGACATTGACAACAAAGAATATCGGCCGAAATGTTTACACAAAATTGAAATAGAACATAGCATACAAAAACGACACCAAATGTTTTTCAAAAGAAAGTTTGTATAAAAGCGAGATAAACAAAAGCGATCATACACAATCCCAACAAGAACGTCGACACCAACATAAACAAGTCATTCAGATTGATATGTCTTGCCTGTGTCCCGCTTTGACCATCAATGCACATATCAGAGAAACTAACTTAAACGCAAAAACTTAATGTTGATGGAGATGCTGAAAAGTCAATGGTCCATGAAAGGAAGGCCGCATTCAGTATTTGATGCATGAAATGAGATGTACTATCTAAGATGCATCGTTGGTCCCAGTTTGCTTGGTCTAGTACTTATACTTTCAGTGAAACTAACTTCAACGCAAAAACTTCAAAACTTAATGTTGATGGAGATGCTGAAAAGTCAATGGACCATGTAAGGTAGGCCGCATTCAGCATTTGATGCATGGGTTCAGATGTTCTAACTAAGATGCATCTTTGGTCCAAGTTTGGTTGGTCTATTAGTTATACTTTCAGTGAAACCAAGTTAAACGCAAAACACTTAACGTTGACGCCGTCGGAAAAGTAACACCTTAGTCTCGCTTCCGCTACTTCGTGGCGGCGAGATAAAAAATAGGACATTCCACAGATAGTCGAACCACAAAAACACTTTGTGGCTAAGTGATTTAAATGTTCCCTGCGCCACATGTGGAACCCATAATAAAGTATCCCACAAACTCCATGAAGATTCACCAGCCATACCATACAAAATAAACTAACATTAAAGCGTAGTTGACAATGAAACGTGTAAATCCTACTTCTGATCGCTGTTTACATTAAGTTTTGCAATATATTACTGTGACAATTATGATCAGTTCAAATACACACGTATCAGGTATCATTTACAAAACATAATCTGGACTTGATCAGCGAATAACCAATTGGAAACACAGACGCCACTGAGGATTAAATAAACTCACCACATAATATTTATATGTCACCAGTCCTAATGACTGCTGTCAAATCTAGATGAAATTTGAACCATAATCTATCTCAGATCCACTCAACATATCTTTAATTATATCATAATAGTTATTCAAATCTCACAGTTTAACAATCAGGTCAGGATTGCGACTAACGCTCTGATAGAAGACCCTGGTTACGAAACGTGAAGTCAGCATGTAGAACGCATTCATCCTGGAAATCTCAGTGTTTGGAATAGGAACTTGAGTAGAGAATCTTATGTTTTATAAGCAGGTAGAATACTAACTCATTATAGCTTTTACATAGACAAAGGTCTGTGGCAAAATTATAACACAGAGTTTCCAAAGATGTTCCGTTGTCACTACCCCAGTTATGAGGTGACATTACTTGGATATGTCTTAGATTAATATCGTCATCAATCAAACAAAGGACGATTTGCCTTTCTGAACACTTTGTTTTAATCTCCTGGTAGTTTATCAAGAATTTCTATTCAGCCTTACTTTTGTGAATGTTTTGCCCTAGTTATAACGATTATTAGTTCGATATTCGATTTTGTCGATACTTCGGTATTTTTCCCTTGTTGCTGTTTTTTTAAGGTTAACATGAACTATTGTTGTACTACTTACGATGATATATAATCAATAAATAAAGCAACACGTTTATATACTCGCCAAGAACGCATCTTCTTTGATCCGGAAAGGGATTGACAAAACATTAACATAATATTTATATCGTTGTTTAACATAGGACGTGATTAAAATCGTCAATATTCATTGTCAAAAGTCTAATAACAAGTGTCTGATACAATACTGTTTACGCGGTTATTCTGCTAGTAGTCTTTGCTGGTGTATTTCTCAGTCCCCAAGGTTGGCCTGAACCTCGTCAGTCACTGTCACACTTTTGAGCAGTGACATGACACATATTATACACATTTTACTCTTTTTACGTGAAATTAATTAGTACTTAAAAGTACTTTTATATTTTTTGTGAAATACACATCGTTAAGGGATCGTTAAGACACCAAGGGGAAGAGAGGAGAAAGGAAAGAGAAAGTAGAAAAGATAAAAAAAAAGTCTGAAGTGTTGCTATGGGGGCAGTATATTTATTCTTCATTGTCGGAGGTCGCGAATTAGATACAGTTGTAATCTGAGGTAAAGGTTTCACAAGTAAGAAATGAGTTCTGAACAATGGTATAACAGTGTCGTGTGTGTGTTAAATACTTTCGAAGAATGCGTTTGTAGGTTAGCTACAGACTTCGAATAGTATGTTGCTATGAAATCATCGAACACACCAATGTAAAAGGGTTTTGGCATGGAACTGAATGTACACAATCTTTGTTTCTCTCCTTTAATACAGCTGTTATATGTTAGACGATCAGTGGTCTAATCTGTTGCGTGACGAGTGGAGACAGGAATAGTACAGACACAGGAAGAGTAGGTGTAACACAAAACCTGGGATAGCTGAATACGAGAACATACACCAAGTCATACACGGCATGATTCCGCTATACGTCAGACCTAACACTAATGACACCATCACAGCATTCTCCAAGTAAAATATGACGTAATAGATTAGTGACGTATGTTTGGATTCTTCCTGATTCATGTTGATGAAGCTGTAGATCTCCACGTAGCTCAGGAAGATGTAGAAGAAGCGCGAACAGCGTTGGTCACACATCTGATTGTTCTCCGGCTTCACGTGATATGCATTGAGCACGAACATGAGCACGAAATGGAAAAAGACACCTATCAGCGTCGTACTCAAGCCAACGAACCTAAAACACAACACTAATAAGACAAGACGGGGCCCAAGTTCACACAGTCGCATCGCTAGGTACAACACCCATGCCAAAAATGTCACTGACTTCCGCCCCTGCTTTAACTTCCGGTGCGTCATGTAGCAAGAGGTCACCGAGATCGATATAGATGCCAAGGAGATCAACAAAAACAAATCTGAAAATAGAAATAATGACGAAAACATGAGTAACAAAGAGCATTTTCCTGATAAACATGTACTTTACTAATGAAATTAGAAGCTAAGCATTCGGGATTTGATAATTTTTTCAAGAAATTGTTGTCAACAGCTTACCTCCGCGATTGTCATATGACAAAGAAAATATTATTTACTTTAATTGGCTTCCTGTATCTAGAAACTTGCTTTGTATTTCTCGTAATTATTCCAAGTACAAACCTCTTGTCCTAGTTTTGAAATCAGTTGTAAACCACTGATACAATTGTAACTGGAACTTTGGGGCAGTTTCCATGTATCCCTCCAACAGGCCCAAAATTGCGGCATCCCGTAATTCCACTTCCGCTTTTTCTATTCGTTTCTCATCTTTTCTCTTACTTTTCCATCCCTGGTACATGTTGTAAATGTACTCCGCTAGGCTGAAATTAAAGATAGTATAGGTAGCCCTTTACATATTTTCATATAATTACTGATATTAGAATTGCATATATATGGGCGGACTGGTCTAGTGCTTAACACTCCGACCTTCCACACAGGCGGCGGCCGGTGTTCGATCCCCGAAGTCGTCATACGCATGGATATTCAGAGAAAGTGTTTTTCTCCTGCCCACACAACTCCAACAACCCATGTGGAGCATAAATTGGTCCGGGTAGGATGTTGCGGTATCTGTGCTGTAGCATTCAAGTGAGGTGGCACTATAAATGATGCCGTTGAAAGCAGGGTCCCACTACAAACAGAACACATTACATCTCCAGCACACAAGCAGGCATACGCACATAAGGAGGTATTTGCCAGGAGGCATAGGACTAGTAGTTAGCGCATGACAAGGCAGCTCCTGCGAGAATTCTTCAAAACAATTTGTATTTATTAATGTATATGTTAATTATATAAACTGTATATCTATGTACTGTAAATCGATTCAGAGTGGCTTATGTAAGCTAGATAGGGCGCTATATCAAATGTTGTATAGTATTATATATCGTGATTAGAGAGGTATCGTAAGCAATCCAACACGGCAGTTTCCGACTTACCGGAAGGCGCGGCCAAACTGGAGAAACGAAGCAATAATTCTACACGCTATAAGTGATTTCTTGGAACGTAGTTTCATTCTTGAGATATTGTTGAAGTCGTGTCCTGTTTCAAAATACGCAGTATCGATTGCCCCAACGGACTGATGTCGCTCGTCCGAATTTTCCTCTGCATGTCCATTGTGTTGCTTTATATCTATCAAAGTCCACAACAGCGTGAAAATGCCAACAATAACAGTAGTGATAAGCATAAAGCCTAGGGTGAGACCAAAACTCAGGTGTTCACCCGACATATAGTACTCCAAGAGTAACTTCACTTCCAATCCTACCTCACCGAGACAGAGACCGAGCGAAACTACAGCTACCAGCAAATCAAACGCACGATCGTGATCCGTCTCAGGAACATGTCTTAAAACTGGAAGTCCCCAGATATTGCAGCATAAGCATTGTTTGGATTCGTTTGTGTCGTCACATCCGGTCTGGCTGTTTGTCGCATCATTGCAGCTCGGTCTAACAAAGGAGTCGAATTCGTCTAATTGGTCTGTAACTGACGGGTCCAAGTCAGTGATATCAGCGGTTTCGTTGCGTACTGGTTTATCCTTTCCTGCAAGTTTGTGTCTTGACATTATAGCACCGTCTACCTGGTCAGCACACATCTTGTTGACAAGTTTCCTGCAACAGTTTTCAAAAGAACAACATTTTATTCAGGTGGGTAAATAAATATTGCATACAGGTCTATTTAGCAACCNAAGTTAGCGCATGACAAGGCAGCTCCTGCGAGAATTCTTCAAAACAATTTGTATTTATTAATGTATATGCTAATTATATAAACTGTATATCTATGTACTGTAAATCGATTCAGAGTGGCTTATGTTAGCTAGATAGGGCGCTATATCAAATGTTGTATAGTATTATATATCGTGATTAGAGAGGTATCGTAAGCAATCCAACACGGCAGTTTCCGAGAACACACGACTTACCGGAAGGCGCGGCCAAACTGGAGAAACGAAGCAATAATTCTACACGCTATAAGTAATTTCTTGGAACGTAGTTTCATTCTTGAGATATTGTTGAAGTCGTGTCCTGTTTCAAAATACGCAGTATCGATTGTCCCGACAGACTGTTGTCTCCCGTCCGAATTTTCCTCTGCATGTCCATTTTGTTGCTTTATATCTATTAAAGTCCACAACAGCGTGAAAATGCCAACAATAACAGTAGTGGTAAGCATAAAGCCCAGGGTGAGACCAAAACTCAGGTGTTCACCCGACATATAGTACTCCAAGAGTAACTTCACTTCCGATCCTACCTCACCGAGACAGAGACCGAGCGAAACTACAGCTACCAGCAAATCAAACGCACGATCGTGATCCGTCTCAGGAACATGTCTTAAAACTGGAAATCCCCAGATATTGCAGCATAAGCATTGTTTGAATTCGTTTGTGTCGTCACATCCGGTCTGGCTGTTTGTCGCATCATTGCAGCTCGGTCTAACAAAGGAGTCGAATTCGTCTAATTGGTCTGTAACTGACGGGTCCGAGTCAGTGATATCAGCGGTTTCGTTGCGTACTGGCTTATCCTTTCCTGCAAGTTTGTGTCTTGACATTATAGCACCGTCTACCTGGTCAGCACACATCTTGTTGACAAGTTTCCTGTAACAGTTTTCGAAATAACAACATTTTATTCGCGTGGGTAAATATATACATGTATTGCATGCAGGTCCATGTAGCATACCAGTAAAAAGACTAAGTTCGACGCTTTGGTGAATAGAGCACGATATGCACTATAGGTGATATAAATTGTACAAGAAGACAATGAGCGTCGCATACAAACGTTTCACTGGTTGTGTTCTATGAACCTGTCGACCAATATAATATCCTTCAACACATTAATGAATACTAGTTTGAAACAATGTAATACAGAGTTAGACCCATAAATAGCGCAAACCAATCACAGAACAGTCGAAGATTGACATTCTGAAGGGAATATGTATATAATCAATGACACTTGTTCTTTGAAAAATACATAATGTATTTTATGTGATATAAAGGCTAAACTTTCGTCGTTCCGAACGAAGACGATTTCATATTGAGCAAAACGTGATAACCCTACATATNAATTTCTTGGAACGTAGTTTCATTCTTGAGATATTGTTGAAGTCGTGTCCTGTTTCAAAATACGCAGTATCGATTGTCCCGACAGACTGTTGTCTCCCGTCCGAATTTTCCTCTGCATGTCCATTTTGTTGCTTTATATCTATTAAAGTCCACAACAGCGTGAAAATGCCAACAATAACAGTAGTGGTAAGCATAAAGCCCAGGGTGAGACCAAAACTCAGGTGTTCACCCGACATATAGTACTCCAAGAGTAACTTCACTTCCGATCCTACCTCACCGAGACAGAGACCGAGCGAAACTACAGCTACCAGCAAATCAAACGCACGATCGTGATCCGTCTCAGGAACATGTCTTAAAACTGGAAGTCCCCAGATATTGCAGCATAAGCATTGTTTGAATTCGTTTGTGTCGTCACATCCGGTCTGGCTGTTTGTCACATCATTGCAGCTCGGTCTAACAAAGGAGTCGAATTCGTCTAATTGGTCTGTAACTGACGGGTCCGAGTCAGTGATATCAGCGGTTTCGTTGCGTACTGGCTTATCCTTTCCTGCAAGTTTGTGTCTTGACATTATAGCACCGTCTACCTGGTCAGCACACATCTTGTTGACAAGTTTCCTGTAACAGTTTTCGAAATAACAACATTTTATTCGCGTGGGTAAATATATACATGTATTGCATGCAGGTCCATGTAGCATACCAGTAAAAAGACTAAGTTCGACGCTTTGGTGAATAGAGCACGATATGCACTATAGGTGATATAAATTGTACAAGAAGACAATGAGCGTCGCATACAAACGTTTCACTGGTTGTGTTCTATGAACCTGTCGACCAATATAATATCCTTCAACACATTAATGAATACTAGTTTGAAACAATGTAATACAGAGTTAGACCCATAAATAGCGCAAACCAATCACAGAACAGTCGAAGATTGACATTCTGAAGGGAATATGTATATAATCAATGACACTTGTTCTTTGAAAAATACATAATGTATTTTATGTGATATAAAGGCTAAACTTTCGTCGTTCCGAACGAAGACGATTTCATATTGAGCAAAACGTGATAACCCTACATATGGAACCCGTAGTTGATCATTGTTTTCCCCTTTAAATACATATTTCGTAATCGTCGTCTATGCGTAACATTATAAGCTAGGGTGCATGTGAAGAACGACAGTTGAAAGATATAGGATATATTACTTACAGTTACGTACGGTATATGTATATGTTTATAAAAATCATATCGATGGTTTAAGGTAGACAACTCTACCTATTCTAAGTACTTGGTCGAAAAGTACTTATAGAAAGTCTAAGATAAATGTAGTATTTAAATCACTTACCGTAGTCGTGAGAGCTCTCCTGTAAATAATACCCTGGTAGTGTAGACGACACCACGGTTAATACTCTGGTAGTGTAGGGTATAGTACACTTTACACCAAACCGGCAAATGTTAAAAACGATAGCTCATTGTACAAAGGTAGATACAGGTGACCAGCTAAAATACTGATGCGGTATCAATATCTTTCGGTATTGTCACACGTACACACACGTACAGTACCTATATACTGTGAGTTTATCCATCGTGACTATCACGGCGTGACGGTGTATATATTGTAGTTAAACGTGTATAAGGTGCAAAAGGTCACGAACGAATGAGTATTTCTGTGTACTAATCGGCATGTTACATATGTATACCCAGGTAAATGCATGTCGTAGTGTATCTTGCACAAACAAAAATAACCCTGTAAGCGTGTAAAATGTAATGTTGACCGTCCCGTGTGTGTGTGTTCCTGACCTGTGCTTGTGTTTTCACATATCAGTTATCTGTTCCTTAAATAAGTTGTCGGTTATTTAAATGTGTTGTCGGTTATAAGATTAAGGACTGACTACATATATATCTGTACAGTCTGGAGCTCTGTCCCAGTATAAACAAACAAGGCATCACAGACTACCAATGCATCAGAGTCGGTTCAGAGTCTCGTATACCATGCATATCAAATACCAAAAGGTTGCCTCCTATTACTGATGTTACATACCAAGCTTGACAATTAATATACATACATTTTGTTTTGGTATTAAAGATGTTTGACTGAATCAAATGAGCATGTAAACAAATATGTAATACTATACAGTATTGAAAACAAATCTGAAAAGAAAGAAAAAAAGAAATACGTTGTGAAGAATCAACTATCTAAATAAGTCAAATCGATGCAGAGAGCCAAACAAAGAAAATATCCTACCTGCATCATAGGCCATTTTGTCTTTAAAACAAACTTATTTCATTTGACAAAAACTATGAAACAAGTTATATCGGCAAATATTTACAATTCTTGTTGGCCCGCATGTTAGCATGCGGAGAGGAAAACCAGAGAAAACGTGGTCGCGCAGGTGAACCCATGCCTTTTCACGTTCGATCAGGGAACGAACTCCGGCAGTCTTGGTAAAAGGCGAGGGCACTATCCACGGCGCCACCCTACCATTTCCTCTATTTAGGACTATATGTGACTAAATGTCAAAGAATTAAAATCAATGTCTAACGTGTTTTGTACAGAAATACAACTAAAGGTGAAAGGTTAGGATTCTTTGGCTACAACAAATAATTTATTATCAAACTAGTGTTTTTAAAGTAAGTTATGACAGAGGAAATTCGAGATTGATACACCATCAGCAGTCAACCACATTTAAATCCAAATACAAAGCAAGGAAGATACCATTAAAACGTTCATATGCCGATACAGTCACTGTGCCGTAAGTGAACCGAAATGTTGTACAAAATGAGAAAAATGGGAAAGCTGCCTTTGCTGTTATGTTACTGTACAACTTCTGGGAACAACAGATCATTACCTCCTTGCGAAGTAGTGTTGAAGGGAATAACGCGTAAGATTTTGTCATCGCTCTAGCAACTTTTTGTTTGGAAATGATACGGATAAAACATCATATGTTGGTCAAGTATGAGAATAACTTTCACACGAGTTCGTGTTTCAGAGTGCCAAAGTCACGGTCATCGTCGTTAGTTCAAAATATGTTACCATCGCCCTAATATCTGTAAGGATCTCACTCAAACTTCATATCATGGTCAAGCATGAAAACACCTCAAACAAGTTTGTGTTTTAAGGAATCAATGGCATTGTTACCATTAACAGATTGTTTGTCTTCATTATCGCATGGATTTCTAACTCACTGTTGTCAACGTCATACCATTAGTCTATGACTACTGTGCCAGGGTTCAATTGTACATAGGATTAAGGTCGCCTTCTAGCTTCGAGCTAGAGGCAATTTCCCTTTAGCTCAGTGGTAGAGCGTCCGACTAGGAACCTGTAGATCGCGGGTTCGATCCCCGGTGGAAGCACACTATTCTCTTTCCTGTTACAAATGGTGTCCGTGGCCCTTCCTGTAGTGACAGGAAGTTAGAACCTGTGTTGTGGTGTTCGAGGACGAACACATTTAAAAAGGGGGAAGTAGTGTGTCAGGGTTCAATTGTACATAGGATTAAGGTCGGCTTCGTGCTAGAGGGAATTTAGCTCAGTGGTAGAGGGTCCGACTAGGAACCTGGAGGTCGCGGGTTCGATCCCCGGTGGAAGCACTCTATTCTCTATCCTGTTACACTACTATTGATGCATCTACTGGTGTAACTGGTACACACTCCTGGTCTGTACCTCTCGCTCTGTAGCATGCGAGGCTAAATTTGACTATGTGTTCCTTCCATGCGCTCAGTTAAATTTTAAATAGTTGACAACTATATAATTACCTAGAACGAGTTCGAGGGTGCGAAGACCAAAGTCGCCGTTACTTTTTGATGTCGCCGCTCCAGTGACTTCATTCCTGACAAATTCTTCATCAAACGTCATATATTGGACAGGTATGGGAAAATCTCGAGCATTTTCGTGTTTCAGTGTGTCAATGAAAAGGTTATCGTTACTTCTTATGAATTTTTGTTTTGGTCATCGCTCTAGCAACATTTTATTTTACAAAACTCAAAAGCATATAGCGATCATTTATGATATAGTGTGACAATTATGACACTTTCTACCAAATTCTTAGACATAAAAGAATGGCAAAAATGTCACTATATACTACAGAATTATTTGATAAACGTGTCAAGTACCATTTCAGTGTACACGATATATTCGACCGTTTGGTGAGAATCCTACTCTAACGTGCGGAAGGGCACCTGTCCAGCCACTGACCACGCTCGACGTTGCTGAAGTAGTGATCGCATCACAGGGTTGAACTGCATCCATGGAAAACTAGCAGGATGTCCCACTCTCCGTCCGCATATGCAATGGTTGTTGCAAGAATGTTGAACGCCAAACAAACACACTTCCCCCTCTTATTCATTAGCTGTTCCACTTTTCCCGTACGAGATCTTGACTGGGGAATACCATGGGTCCTCCCTGTGTACCAACTAGCCTTACACGGTGGCCCAGGACCCCACTGTCACAAAGTTTAACGTGCGGGTGCAACCCTCACACCACTGACTACGCTAGACATTACTGTACCTCGTGTCCATTGGCTTTACTGCATCATTGGGAAAGCTAGCTAGCCAGTAAGGCAGTATCCCCTCATACAGTCAAATAGTAGCCAATCACCGAACGTTAAATCTTTGCAACTACCCCTGAAATCCAGGATGCTAATATGCGTATGTGAAAAAAGTCGTAGACTTGACCAAAATGTTCAGGGTTGAGGCCAATTACACATTTTTTCTTTTACTGTTGTCAGTCTTTCCCTTCATCGGTTTGTCAGGACAGAGTGACATACATTAAAATCAGTCAGTCTCTCCCTTCATCGTTTTGTCAGGACAGAGTGACATACATTGAAATCAGTCAGTCTCTCCCTTCATCATTTTGTCAGGACAGAGTGACATACATTGAAATCACTCCGTCTCTCCCTTCATCGTTTTGTCAGGACAGAGTGACATACATTGAAATCAGTCCGTCTCTCCCTTCATCGTTTTGTCAGGACAGAGTGACATACATTGAAATCAGTCAGTCTCTCCCTTCATCATTTTGTCAGGACAGAGTGACATACATTGAAATCACTCCGTCTCTCCCTTCATCGTTTTGTCAGGACAGAGTGACATACATTGAAATCAGTCCGTCTCTCCCTTCATCGTTTTGTCAGGACAGAGTGACATACATTGAAATGCAGTTGATCTAGCTGGAGGTAGAAAAGGCAGCAGTTTTTCAAAATGTACCAGTCAGGATACTGTATACTGGGAAATTTTCACGGCAGTTTAAATTTCGCTGTTTTCACCCTCACCAAAATGGGTGAACTCATAAAGACTGATTATTAGTGCACAGCATACAACACAGACTATAATTACACGTAAATGGCAAAATGTACACGGATCAACGATGGATTATACAGAACTCGTGGATTCTCAAAATTAGGTAGATGGCAAACAGCTGAAGCACGACTAACGGTGACGTAGATTAAAATAAAATAGCAACACAGTAAAGATTCATCAGTATAAATAGGTGTTACCCCTTAAGAATATTGGACTTGGTTCGAACAATATTGTATATTGTTAAATCAATTGTACTACACGATTATCTTATGGGAAACGGCTCTTGTCACGTACGCGGAGTAGAATTCCGGGATTCAAAGAGGTGGTTGCAAAGATTTACCATTCGGAAATTGGCTAAGATCTATACGAATTGGCTGTATTGGTTAAGGCAATCCTGTTGGTCTCCCGGTGTACAAATGCACTTTCTCTAGCAATCAGGAACTGACCTAAGTGGTTCCCTAGCTAAAGGATCTCACCGCTGCGACCAAATGCAGGCAAGCATACATCCAGCCACTGACCATATTCGACTGGACTAGCGAGCGCGTCATACTGCATTGGTGGAAAAGCTAGTTTCTGGTAAGGCAGTAATTCCCTTTCTTATTCCTTGGTTGTTACACTATCTTCCTAAATTTAATAGACGTTTTGACGGGTGTCTTTCCGTATCGGCTTTTGCTGGGTATTTTTTTTTAATTTCACTTTGAACTAGTAAAGGCACTCAACTACCACACCTCCACAACCCACAAGTGCAAACAAAACCAAAATAACATTATTTCAAGTATGTTTATTTTTTCATGAAAAACATGAAATTATAATATCATCTTTGTAAATGCAAATATAAAGCACAAAAATATATATATTGATCTACCGAGACAGTTTTCAACAAAATGTTCAGTTAAATGCCTATGTAAACAAGATATCAACAAATATAGACATCTCACATTTCTTATCTCACAAAAATATGATGCATCCTTTCACAAGTAAAAACAATCCTAAGTTAAGATAACCCTAGGACGGCCTGTCATTCATCTATTGCGACACGCGTTAGTGAGTACGTCCCTGTACAAAATCTGACTTCAACACCAGTTACACTTTCACACACCGTTCCATATAGAAATTTGTACATATCCTAATGTAATACACAGTTATACACATCCCAATATAAGTCATCTTAGGTTTATCCCATTTATACACATCTCGAGGTAATACAAAGTGGAACACATTATCAGTACATTGTAAGGACTAGTACATCTTGTCTCCTGTAAGGACTGTTAAAAGTTGTAAAGATCTGTTCAGGAAGTCTGTTGTCCAACCATGCACATAATTGTTGGAACAGTTCGTGATTTTTCATTTCAGGAACAATAAGATCAATTCAAAAAACCAAATAATCTCATGTGTGTTCGCCTACTCTCTGAGCATTTCCTGTGAGCAAGAAATATCTTGGCACATTTCTTGTGTTGAGGACGTCTCTTCAAATCTATGTTGTGTAGAGGACATCTCCTAGAGTCTTTGTTCTGAGAGGCCATTCTCTTTCCCAGAAACATGGTTTCTTTGTAACACTGATGATGATGAATTATCTTGAGTATTACATGGAGAAAAGTCACAAGGTTGATTTTTGTCTGTGGAAGGATCGTCTGTGCGTAGTTCTTGATCCACAGAGTTGCTTCTAGATATGTACAAAGCAGATGCCTCTTTACTTTGTAGTAGCTGATGAATCAGTTCTTCATTATGAGATTCCCTGTAAAGAGGATCTTCTTCCTCTTTTTCATGCGGAGAGGAAAGGTTCCCAAGAGATCCCTGTCGGAAAGGAGTTGCATTTTTCTGTATCAGCTCTGTACTTGTTTTGTATAGTGGAGACTGATTCTTGCAGCGTGTTTTCTGAGGGTGACAGAACTTGTAGTACAGCGAGAGACACAACATATGAAGGACGAACCCAGGGATGACAGAGTAAGCTGTAAAATACCAGGGGGAGTAGAAGATAATCCCCGCCTGAGTAAGGCCCACCAACACACCCATTATTGCAAAGTTTTCCACATAGAACACTGCATAATAAAATACCATTATCCACAGTGTCTTTCTGTCCTTCAGGTTTATAAAACAAAACACACTGATGAAGCTGATCAACAGCAGAAAAACAGTGCGACAGATCTGCCCATTGCATACGCCAGTGAGACGGGGGTTGATGTACAGGTGCATGAGGAACATGACAATCACATGCAAAGCAACAGCTCCTAACAGAATATTCAGGAAGTAGGCAACACACAGACCCAGCAACAGAAGCCTTGGTCCGAGCTCGAACAGTCGATAGGCCATATACAGTGCAGAGGGACCATACCGGACATTGTATCTGTCATTCATAGCCCGCCTCACGGTACGGTAATATGACGTCACCGTCAGAGCTGTTGAGAACCATGATGTCAGCAGTGCCAACACTGAAAAGATAATAGAGATATTAACAGTGCATTCAAAAATAAAAAATAAAGAAGTTTCTAACACGAGACCAAGAAGGTCCTAATCACTCGCCTAAATATTTATTTAAAGTTCTCTTCATGACCAACAAGCAAATATATGGTGACACAATGTTGGCCTGAACTATTTGTAAGTAAAGTCACAAGGTTGAATTTATTTTGTGGAAGGATCGTCTGTGTGCAGTTCTTGACCCACAGGGTTGCTACTTCCGTCTCTTTATGCTCCCTTATCGCATATATTGCTACATGGTTAGACACAAAATTATTGCCATTATGACCAAGGTACGAAGTCCAAGGTGTTATATACAAAATTATTGCCATTATGACCAAGGTACGAAGTCCAAGGTGTTATATACAAATTCATTGCCATTACGACCAAGGAGCGAAGTCCAAGGTGTCAAAAACAGACCATGGAGTCAATTATGATAACTTCTTTGTTCCACTAAAAAAAACACAACAGAAATGGTATTTATGCTATGGATCTCGATCATTTCCTAATTTCAATTACTAAGTTATCAAAATATTCATATTGGATGGGGATTTCAACAGTTTCCATGTGTTAACCAAGGAGCAGAGTCAGTAGAGCAGGGGTGGACCCTTAAGTCAAGCCTAGGGGCAGAGTCAGTAGAGCAGGGGTGGACCCTTAAGTCAAGTCTAGGGGCAGAGTCAGTAGAGCAGGGGTGGACCCTTAAGTCAAGTCTAGGGGCAGAGTCAGTAGAGCAGGGGTGGACCCTTAAGTCAAGCCTAGGGGCAGAGTCAGTAGAGCAGGGGTGGACCCTTAAGTCAAGCCTAGTAGTATATGTGTATTCATCCTTTCATGCCCAGCAATGCATATATGGTTAAAGGGTAGGGGTTTCAAATCTTTCAATATTCTCACCCAGGGTGAATTTTTCCCATTGCTAACCATTGTATAAATAGTTTTATCACATAATGTACTGTGTTATCCTGTGAATATACCCATATCATATTTGTTTGCGTATTAACCCATGTAATATGAACTATCAGCCCTGTGATTGGTTGTAAGTTTCAATTGTTTCAATTGTGACGTCGCGCCTAGGACAAGTACATGATGTCACAGACTTACGCACTGGAGTCAGAATTGCGGCTTTTTACATTTCAAGGTTGCATGAAAATTGTCGTATAATCATAAAATAATCATAGGTGAAGCATATTCAGACAGTGTTTTGGATACTGGCCTCACATTTTATCAGTGTCCTTCGTGTACAGGATTAAAAATTAATCTAGTTGAATAAAAGAAAAGCAAATAGTTTTAAATGTTGATCATTTTTATTGTCGTAATGATATAAGATGTTCCAGTGCGTATCGTTATATATTGTATATACATGTATATTGATTGTATATATTGATATGTGATACACGTATACTGAGAATAAACGAGCTTAAGGTCATAGGAGTGTATTGATAAACGGAAGTAGGAAGTACATCTCTAGTTGGAAATCCAATTTAGGGAGACAGTATCACAATTTCCGCATATTCTAATGTTGAATATTAAACTGATGAATATTGTATGTTTATTATTGACAGAACAGTGTTTTCTCTCAGTATTAACGTATTTCAAAGCAATGCAGGCATTAATACAGGTTTTTTTATCAATGAGCCACATGTATCCATTTTTCTGTACTTCAGGAAACCGGCTACCTATTTCACTACTGTGAAGTTTTTCAAGAAAGATAACTCTTACCTGCAATTACAATGTACTATGTGCATATGGTTTTATTATAAAATGTCAATTTTTAATCATTTATAGATAATTTATTTGACATAATTTCAGCATTTATTAAATTGATATACATTAATGCAATACTAATCTATGGCAGTATCATTTTTATTGACATTATTTTGCAAAGAATTGTGTCTTTCAATTTTTTTTCAAAAGTCGCTCCTTTTAACATAAATTTCCATTTAAATTCCTTGAAATTATGACAACCTATATTTTTTTGTGGCAGAAAATTTTCGTAATTTCAGAGCAATATAACTACAAAATTTTAAGAAATTCTACTGAGAAATCGTGACACATTCCTATTACCTTAACTAGTACTATCAATAAAGTCTGAGCGGCAAACAAAGTTGACAAGAACTGATTTTATATTTTGTTAAGTTCTGCTTCACCTTAGATGCATAATAAAGTTCATCAGACAATTTTGATTACAGAATTACAATTGTCTTGTGATATATATATTTCAAGGGAGACAACTCTTTTTTTCTTTCTTTTTTTTCTGCAAAACTTCAGGGGACACTGCAAACCATATACATATAACATCCCCCCCCAAAACTGGATCACACCCCTCTGGCTAAATATGCCCACCCTAATACCCCTCTGTTATTCAGATTAAGACATTTAAGGATGTTAACATAGTTGTGTAAGAGAGGTCACTATTCTTTCTCGACACCTCTGCTAGGGTTCAAACATCAGACCTCTGATTTACCAGGCAGAGGTTCTACCAAATGAGCTTGCCACGGTAAAGGAAATTCTCCTGAGTGGAGTTGGTAGGAAGTGGCTATTACTTTAACAGGGCGACATACTCATCCCGTCGGAAGGAGCTTGTCTCAAATATTTCCAGTGGTAACAACAATGCTCTACACAGTACCAAATTTATGAAATAATAGACTTTCTTTTTTATGCATGCCTTAATCATTTAACCCGGGACCTCTGGTTTTCAGAATGCTTTCTGCTGAACATCATCACCCCTGGCCTCCCTCAGTTATTTAATATTTAGCTGAAGTTGTTGAAAGATTTGACCTCTGTGACCTTGAAACTGGGTAAAGGTAAGTTCTTTTAATTTCTTTTAACAGACTTGATAGCCCTTTATTCAAGCATTCTACTGGCTAATTATTACCACCCTAGGCCTCTAAGTCATTAAGAAGTGTAAAAATTCAATAAACACATGATGGATAAATGAGAGACAACATAAGCTGGATCATGACATTACCTCATTCGCCCTTCTGACAGGTGAACAAAGACAATACAATTTAAAGTTCATCCAGGGTCATGTAAGTATGGATGTCAGGGTAACACCACGGACTTATAATCTAATTCTGTGGTAACAAATGGTAGTTACCTCAGAGTTCATCCAGGGTCATGTAGGTATGGATGATATGGTAAAACATGGTAGTTACCTCAGAGTTCATCCAGGGTCATGTAGGTATGGATGATATGGTAAAACATGGTAGTTACCTCAGAGTCCATCTAGGGTCATGTAAGTATGGATGATATGGTAAAACATGGTAGTTACCTCACAGTTCATCCAGGTGCATGGAAGTATGGATGATAAGGAAAAATTTGGTAGTTACCTCAGAGTTCATTGAGGGTCATGTTAGTATGGATGATATGGTAAAATATGGTAGTTACCTCAGAGTCCATCTAGGGTCATGTAAGTATGTATGATAAGGTAAAACATGGTGGTTACCTCAGAGTCCATCCAGGGTCATGTGAGTGTAGATGTCAAGGTGTATGGATGATATGGTAAAACATGGTAGTTACCTCAGAGTTCATTGAGGGTCATGTTAGTATGGATGATATGGTAAAACATGGTAGTTACCTCACAGTTCATCCAGGGTCATGTAAGTATGGATGATATGGTAAAACATGGTAGTTACCTCAGAGTTCATTCAGGGTCATGTAGGTATGGATGATATGGTAAAACATGGTATTTACCTTAGAGTTCATCCAGGGTCATGTAAGTATGGATGATATGGTAAAAAATGGTAGTTACCTCAGAGTTCATCCGGGGTCATGTGAGTGTAGATGTCATGGTAACACATGGTAGTTACCTTAGAGTTAATCCAGGGTCATGTGAGTGTAGATGTCATGGTAACACATGGTAGTTACCTTAGAGTTCATCCAGGATCACGTGAGTGTGGATGTCATGGTAAAACATGGTAGTTACCTTAGAGTTCATCCAGGGTCAGGTGAGTGTAGATGTCAAGGTTACACATGGTAGTTACCTTAGAGTTCATCCAGTGTCGTGTGAGTGTAGATGTCATGGTAACACATGGTAGTTACCTTAGAGTTCATCCAGGGGCATGTGAGTGTAGATGGCATGGTAACACATGGTAGTTACCTTAGAGTTCATCCAGGGGCATGTGAGTGTAGATGGCATGGTAACACATGGTAGTTACCTTAGAGTTCATCCAGGGGCATGTGAGTGTAGATGGCATGGTAACACATGGTAGTTACCTTAGAGTTCATCCAGGGTCATGTTAGTGTATATGTCATGGTAAAACATGGTAGTTACCTCAGAGTTCATCCAGGGTCATGTAAGTATGGATGATATGATAAAACATGGTAGTTACCTTAGAGTACATCCAGGGTCATTTTAGTGTAGATGTCATGGTAACACATGGTAGTAACCTTAGAGTTCATCCAGGGTCATGTGAGTGTAGATGTCAAGGTAACACATGGTAGTTACCTTAGAGTTCATCAAGGTCACATGAGTGTAGTTCTCATGGTAAAACATGGTAGTTACCTCAGAGTTCATCCAGGGTCATATAAGTATGGATGGTATGGTAAAACATGGCAGTTACCTTAGAGTTCATCCAGGGTCATGTGAGTGTAGATGTCAAGGTAACACATGGTAGTTACCTCAGGGTTCATCCAGGGTCATGTTAGTGTAGATGTCAAGGTTACACATGGTAGTTACCTTAGAGTTCATCCAGGGTCATGTGAGTGTAGATGTCAAGGTAAAACATGGTAGTCACCTTAGAGTTCATCCAGGGTCACGTGAGTGTAGATATCAAGGTAAAACATGGTAGTGACCTCAGAGTTCATCCAGGGTCACATGAGTGTAGATGTCATGGCAACACATGGTAGTTAACCGAGAGTTATTATACAGGATCAAATAATAGTTACCTAGTAAAAATGATAGTTACCTCTAAGTTCATCCAGAGGCACGTAGGCACGGACGGTAAGGTAAAGCTGCAGCAATAATTGTAAGGTCGACTCCAGGAAACCATCCACCAGCCCCAAGATGGCCGCATCCCTCTTCTGCTCAATGGCTTTGAGAGAAATGTCTTTTACCTTCTCAGGATCTTGTTCCTTCCATGTGCGGGTAATGTGGTAGATAAACTCCACCATCCTTAATTAAAAAAAAAAAAGTTTGAGGCCCAACATTGTGTGTTAGAGAATCAGTACAGAAAATATTAGATGTGACAATACCCATTTCTTGAAATAGTTTTTACAAATATAAAATGCAAGTTAAAGCACATCCTCAACAAACAACATAAAAGATATTATCAGTGATAATTAATTATAATGAATGAAATCAAAAGGAACAGGGGATTCCAAAGCTGTTCCCCGACTGATTTTCGAAAAAGATAAAAGTGTAGCAGAAAAGTGAGTAATGCTCTTCGGCATAGGGGATGGAGCTAAAGAGAATTTTCCATTTAGCCCAAAGCCAGAAGCTAAGGTGCTTGTTACATGACCATAAATCTACCTTAATGTAACCTGGCACACAACACACTATCTAGCAATATATAAGTAACGAAATTTCATCAGACATAAAAATTTCAAAAAAGTCATTGATCTTGCCAGAAGACAAAACATAATACGTTGTAAAGCCGAGACCCCGCGAAATTACTAAATTTCCACACAAATTTTCGTTCGCGCGTTATCACCCTCCACAGAATTTCCCAATGGGGGTCATGACCCCCATTGGGAGATTCAAAGGTTAGCAGGTCTGCATAACGGTCAGAGGTTTAAAATCAACGGCTCCACCAGGAACTATTTATGAAGAGATATTACTGACCTTTGACCTCCTTGCTGTGACCTTGGCATTAGGGGTAGGGTCATTATAGAGACATGTTCTACCATATAGTGACCACCTTTTTGAAGATTTTGTCACGAAGGTGAATGTGACATTGAGTCTGAAATACCTGACTGTCTCCTTTGTGACATCAGAGACCTATAATGTATTATACGTCTCTGGTGACATCAATACATAAGTTATAGGAGATTAAAAGTCATGATTTGGACTTATTAAGTGATTATGTAATATTCTGGTACCCACCTGTACACTCTGCCTAGTTGGAAAAACGTAAACAAACATCGGACGACCATGGGCCACTTGCTCCTGTTATGACGCACATGGTTCCTGTAGTCTATGTAGCTCCACACGACGGACCCACAACCTGACGCTAATGATGGGACCAAGATGAAGCCCAGGGTCAAATTCCTCAGAAGGTACTGGTCAGTCACGTGATACTTCACCACTAGCGCGACGTCCGTCCCGAGGTCCACTGCAAACATGACAAGGGATGTGATCGAGAACGCGAGGTCCAGTCTGGTGTAAACAGGCGGCCAGGTTTTGACCGACGATTGACAACTGCCGTTATTTTGACGGGTCAGGTCAGCGAGGTCATACTGATCCCTAGGTAGGAGCGTTGCATCACTGACGTCAAGGGGGTCATCCCCGGCTTTCTCCATATTCAGCGCGGTTGAATCGCCAACGTCTGATGTTCCGTTATGGTCAGTGGCTACGTCATTGTTTACTCTATGAGAGATCACCGAACCGCGCAATTTTCCCGCTGTCTCACAGCGAATTTCTGGTTCCACTTCATCGGACATGAACTTGTAGGATGTTCTCTGCAGACCAGTATCTGGGACATCCCTTCCTCTGTTGTTATGACGAAAGCTGTACATATCGATTGGTTGTCAGGTAAAATTCAGCATGTGTAACCTCTACCAACCGGGTCTTTACAGCCTAACGGAAATTGTATGTGACACATTTCATACCATGGAAATATTAATAGATGCGCAAGGGGATTCCCCATTCTCTTCTCATAGCCAATGAAACGTACCAGCAGCCAGTAGGCCTATGATTAACCGTTTTACTAGGAGTCTTATACCTCAGAGACATTCAAAAAGCCATACCTCAAGTGTGTATTTCCGTTTTTCTGGAAAAGGCTTTAATTAAGGCGCTGAATAAATGCATCAAATTGTTTTTAAATGCAATAAAATATGATTTGAAATGAGAAAAAGTATGAATTTCCGTTTTGTATTTTATAAGAATAAGAGCGGTTGTCGAGATGTTTTATTGAATTGTAGCCGGTCAGGTCTAAGTTACTACAGGAGTGAAAACCAATATTGTTTAATTTGTCTTTCATTACATAAAGTAATCAAGATACTAAATTGATACTTATTGTACATGTACAGTATACAAGATACTCAGTTTATCCACGGACTTAGATAATCCAATCTAATTCCGTGGTTTATCACATGAAATTCCAACTCCCCGTGACGGTTAATATTAACTTTTAAGACTTTTATCATAAATAAATCAAATACTAGTTCAAACAGTTTATCGATTTAATTGACATACAATAATTACATTTTCATAATTATAATGTGCAAAGTATAGATATACAGGCTGTAATTTGGCAGGCTTCCAGCTGAACTAATCAACTATTACAATAATAATATTGAAGTTAACTCACAGCTGCGACGCAGTAGGAATAATAGATTTTAATATAAATCGATCTAGAAATTCCCATTTTGATAAAAATGTATATTCATATTGCTGATGAAATGTAATGCTAATTGGTAACTTTTTGTTTGTATGGGAAAATCCAAGGCATGTGAGAAGCTTAAGGACGGTATCACTGACGACCAACGGTGATATCAACCCGTCTATCATATGTTTACTAATAATTACACCCTTTTTGTATGTGTAATACGTATACAATTTTCACAAGTTGATATCAGCCCGGGTGATATCACCCCCCCCCCCC